TACTAAACAGCGACTCGAAATCACAACCAATTGATCACAAATCTCCTTATAAAGAATATTCCTAATATAATAATGTTGATCTTCAAGGTCATATGTATGCACTCCTCGTACTTCGGTTCAACAATTGCCGAAGTCTCGCTTCTGGATGCAAAAATAAGCTGGTATCAGTACAATCTTGATTGATGCACCGCGAGATATGGCATTGTGTCCGGCGCATCACCGTGACGGATGGTTTTATCCAATATAGTTATAATAATAATGCATTAACGTTTTTTGTATTTTTTATGAGTATCCTTAAGTTTGCGAATTAACAAAAGTGAAAAACATATACGATCTTCTTATATATAAAATTCTCGTGTCACAATGTTAGTTACCATACTCCTCCGAAACGGTTGGACCGATTTTTATGAAATTTTCTGTGCACATCGGGTAGGTCTGAGAATCGGCCAACATCTATTTTTCATACCCCTAAATGATAAGGGTGACCCACCCCAATTGTTTTTTTTTTCAATGTTACCTAGAAACAAAAACAAAGTTTGCCGGGTCAGCTAGTATTACTATAAATGCGAAAGTTTGGATGGATGTGTGTTTTTCAAACAGACTCTGGATGCAATTCTGGTTCCTAATAAACAGTCAGTTTTTTTTATATTAGAGGGGGCAGATGAGCAGACGGGTCACCTGATGGAAAGTGACGAAGAACGTCTGTAACTCAGGAGTCACAAACGCGTTACCGGCCTTTAAGGAACGGTCGTATCGGTCCGGAAATACCGCAGACGATAATCCATTCCACAGATTGGTTGTGCGGGGCAAAAGGTGTCTCGAAATGCGCACAGTAGGCGAGCGCCAACTATCCAGGTGATTAGGATGAAAATTTCGCCGTGTGGAACGATGACGGAAAGTTACTTTAGGAACCAGATCTAAATAGCCACAGTTCCTTTTTGACTGGAATAGTTTGTGATACATTGAGCGGACATAGGGGCGATGGCTCTGACTGCCGTAACACAGCTTCAGTCCTAGCTCGGGAGTTGCGGGTGAACATAAGATTGTATTAGTTTAAGTAATACTATGTGTTTTTTTGCAATGTATTTTTATTGAAAAAGGTTTTATTATTATTATTAAATTATGGCGTCTGTTATATCATTTAGTCTACTTTTTAGACTATAGACTGGCCTGTTAGTCTAGTGGTTAGTGACCCTGACTGCTACGCCAGAGGTCGTGGGTTCAATTTCCACCCAGGACAAATAATTGTGCGACGATCATGGTCATTTGTTCTGTGTCTGGGTGCCATTTATCCAAAATATGTATTTAAAAATATATAAGTATGTTTATCAGCAGTCTGGTTACCATAGCACAGGCTCTGCCTAGTTTGGGATCAGACGGCTGTGTGTGAGATGTGTGAAGTACATTATTAATAAAAATAATAAAATATTAATTGAAAAAATAGACTTTAACACGTGAAAAATCCAAGGGAAGAGCTAGTTTTTAAATAAGAAATAACCCAAACGCGATCGACAGATATTAAACAAATACCTTTGAATCGCCTGACTGCAGACAATGCAACCAGCTCGAAACGTGTCTCTTCTGTCTCTAGAGTTGTAGGTGTCCATAGCCAGACTGGATTTCCAGAGAAAAAAAGGTGTCCATAGCCAGCGGTAGTCCATCAGAGGACCTCCGTCCTTTGTCCTTTTTTATGTATTTGTAATTTAAAAATCTGTACAAAAGAAAATATTAAAGATATAAAAATGATAGCACTGTACGGTTAACCAATTAACTTTCATCAAATTGTAATTAAAATTTCATGGTTCCGTTTCGAATAATAAAATCCTTTCTGTCGTAAAAGTTAACAGTGTAACCGCGCCGCCAGAATAATTGGAATAAAACATATTATTGTTTGTTTTTTATTGTGAGCAAAAAAAAATCATTTTTCATTTTCGAAATGCAGTTTTTAATTAATCATTTTAATGGATTTTTTATTGTTTTGAAAGGTAAAAATGACTAATGGTTTTCGAACTATAAAAACAAATTAAGAGACGCACTTAATGAAAAAAAAAAGTTTAGTCTTTTTTTTCGTGATATGTAATTGCCTCATAACCGTACTTACTTTAAATTGTGGTCTTCATCTATAATTACTATTAAAGAGGTGATTATTTCCTGTTTTATGTAAGCACACGTTTCATAAGAATTCACAAGTACATTGGTGGTATAATTTACTCACAAATCTTATTGTACTCGTACATATATACCTACGTGTAGTTATGTTGTATGTAAATGTTTCATGAATAATAATTGAATATTTATTAATAGATATCTCTAAAAAATACTTAATTATTACTGTATGTATTAGTTAATGTGTTGTCAATATTAGTGTTGCCTTTTTAAGTATGTGTATGTATGTGTAGGTATACGTATTATTATGTACTACACCGACATCTACTAATTACTTTTGATACTGAATCGATCCCAAGGTTGATAGTAGAAATCTCTATCACCGAAAAAACCGCCCATTGCGCCTAATATTGACATTAAACTTAAGGTCAAATTTACATCTACACTGTGCAATATTCTATTCTATTCTCTTATATTCCTAACCAATAAGCGTTTATTCAAAAATAAGCCTTACCAAACCAAAATAAATACTAATAGCTTTGTAATGTAAATTTTAATAGATACCTTCATACATCCAACCTTGCCTATATCTCTGAAGAGGTGGGCAGAGGTGTATTAAACACCCAACATTTTGTTAGTTATAATTTTAGTTCCAATTACGTAATGGATGGTATTGCCATCGACCAGGCACTAGAGGTTAAGCTCAAGGTGGTCAAAATTGCTTACAAGTTACAGTCGAACAGACTGTTGGTGGAAATCTAAAGTTGACGAAAATAACTTCTCATAAAAAACTTTTCTTTTATTTATAACTAGCTGATTCACTTCGTCTGCTGCTCTTAAATGGAGTAAGTTTGCCCCTTTTATGCAACATTTTTCTCAGACGCTTGCCTCTTGTTATTTGACCTATAGGCTTCAACAAAAGAACACTAAAATATTTTTTCAATTCGAACCATTAGTTCCTGAGATTAGCGCGTTCAACTAAATAAACAAATTCTTCAGCTTTATAACATTAGTATAGATATATTATATTAGTATTTCATCCCGTGGGTGTCGTAAGAGCCGACTAAGGGAGCAAACTACGCAGGACAACACCACTGCAAAGAGAAGTAAAACTTGACACAAACGCTATATCAACCCGTCTGGCCAGCGTGGTACAGTAGGCCAAAACCTTCTTTTTAAGGAGAGGCCTATGTCCAGCAGTGGACTGTTAAAGGCTGTTGATGATGATAGATATAAGCTACGTGTTATACTAGATACTTTGGGTTTATTCCATTAACTAACTTTGTTCATAACAACTTGCTACAATAACTTACTTTTTTCCTTCATAAGGAAAACATCCTCTATAACTTAATGTTTTATTTCCTCCTAGCAGCTTATTGCTGTTGACATTATTTAATTATTTTTAATATAATTTTTCCCTTTTCTATATTTAACGCAGTCGACATTATTTTTTTCCTTGTAACTACTAAGTACATCGAATATCTTAGGAGCTCAAAGACTTTTCTTAAACAAGGTTTTTATTCGATTTATGTATAATGATATTGGACAAAGCGTATAAAAACTTGGTTTATAAATATGAGTTTTATATAGATTTAACAATTATTGTTTGAAAAATATTGGTAACATTAACAGTGTGCTTATGTTCTGCTTTATCGTGCTAACCACTAATCGTGCTCATCACACAACCATTTGGCTTAACTAGGAATCGAACTCTTGACTAGCTCAGCAGTTGGAATAACTGCCCACTAGATCGACAGGCCAGCTGATATGTAAATAAAATACATCAAATTCACATTATATCATTCTAATAAATTGTCTTAACAATAATCTTATCTTAGTTTCTTAGAAATATTTATAACGGAGGCCAACTATCTATTTATGGCGGGAAAACCATAAAACGACTATTAACTCACATCAAAATCATCACGATTTACAAAGCTACCTGTATTTCAACCTTGTTCACAACACATAGGAGAAACAGAGATATACCACTAGAGGGAGATAGCTAGATTATCGTATGGCTTAGGCGTGGGGCGGCGCTAAGCCACGCCCAACAGTATCGATCGACAACTCGTAATTTATTCATAATTTCTGTTATTATGTCCCCTTTGGTATAAAATTTTAAGGTGCCGCATTTGCAGGGTTAACCGATGTTATTGGTTATGTATACAGCGTGTTTCTTTCACGGTAGACCTGTAATTAAAATTTATAAAAAAATTAGTTTTAAATTTAAATTTTTCATTTATTTTATTGATGATCTAAATGGTGAACATGTGATAATTGTTTTCATACTTCCACGATTTTACCTATTATGCAGATGTGTAAATTGTTGTGTTGGTTGGTTTTGCGGATTCAGGGAAGGTGGGGGGGGGGGGGGGGGGGGTGCTGACTGGACTGGATCTAGTTCAATAAATTTCAAGTTTATATCAGTTCTATATCAATAAATTAAATACTTACTTAGGTAAGGTGAAGTTCACTATTTGTTATACGAAGGTATATCCATAAGAAAAGAGCGTACTCCTTCCTAAAACTAACTCCTGAGTTGCAGACGTTCATGGGCGGCGATGGTCACTTTTCATCAGGTGACCAGTCTGCTCGTCTGCCTCTATCATGAAAAAAAAACTGAAAATGTTAGTTTCATAACCAAGATCTTATTCTGCAAATAAATGTTATTATTTATTATTAGTTTCAACAACATGGTTAAGTGATTCCAAATAAAGCACAGTCTACACTATACATAGATGTAAACATACATACATACCTATCGATAGGTTCAAACGATACATTTTACTGAAAACCGATTTATTTCTGAATACATACGTATTACACTTTAACTGCTCCTAAACACAGAAAAAAACATCGAAAGCGCGAGAAAAACCTGCGAACTAACTAATATGCTAAGTGGTCAACTATTTTATAAATATTTCGAAACTCTCTCTTTTTTTACAGAAAAACTCCGCCTATCTCTCTGCGTGGGGTGCGGAGGTCAAATCCACGACCAATACATCCTGAGGGTAGCTCCCGACCTAGAGTGGCACGCCGCTTGCCTCAAATGCCAAGAATGTAGACAATTTCTGGACGAAAGCTGTACCTGCTTCGTTAGAGATGGAAAAACATATTGTAAAAGAGATTATACTAGGTGAGTAAAAATAACAACTAATTATTAAAAAACCTCATTTGTCCTTTGGCCTATGTCCAGCAGTGGACTATTAAAGGCTGTTTATGTGATGTGATGTGTTGATTGAAATATAACGTAAAACCTGACGCCTTGAAAATGTATAGGTACCCACTTAAAATTAACTAGCCGTCGATTTTAATTTTTATAAATTTCATTTATCCAGTGTCACTTTCACAATTAAGAAGAATCTAAGGAGTGTGTGTGAATCTACACATAGGAGAGCCGTGGGAGAGCCATGCTTACCGTGGGATGGCTCTCGGCACGTAGTGATACCACGGCCTCACAGAAAACCGGTGTTAAGCAATTCATTTGTTGCCTTTCACTGAGTGAGTGAGGTTACCAGAGCCCAAATCCCCCTCCCCCCTCCCGATGACTCGAGCGAGAGGGACTCCAAGGGCGGCAACGCACTTGTTACTTTCGAGTTACAGGTATCCATGGGCGGCGGTAGTTGCTTACCATCAGGTGACCCGTCTGCTCGTTTAATTCGTCGTCGTCTGATTTCAAAATAAGCCGAGCTAGTACTTACTATGGTTACCATACTACTGATAAACATGTCTATAAAACTATATTACTAAATCATCATAATCATCAGCCTATCACCGTCAACTGCTGAACAAAGGCCTCACCCATGGAGCGTCAACTATCCCTATCTTGAGTCTTGGACAGTCCGTATGAACCCATTACCAGCCACTTTCCTCAGGTCTTTATCTTCTATATTATTTTACGCAAACACAATAAATGGTCGTAATCATCATATAGTGTTTTATCTCGGGTTGAGAATCAAATCCACGACCTCTCGCTTAACAATTTGGATCGCTAACAGCTAGATACATGTTTTCATTGTCTATGTGTTTGCCTTTTTATATTTCTTGATATATTTGAGGAAGAGGTGACAACCTTTTGAGCTTGGCTATTAAATAAGACTACAAATTCAAATAAAAATAGGTACCTAAACGTTACGCAACAGAGCTAGCATCCGCGCTCAAATCTTTTTAAAACCTGTATTATACACGACCACTACTTAAATATTGTGATTCCTTTTCATAGAGGAAATGAGTAACTTAGAAGTCAATAAAACACAGAAAAAAGAGACAAACAAGAAAAAAGTTCTCATAACAAAAGTAAAAAGACAAAGTGCCGCAACAACGCAGCCCCACAAGCATAGTGATCATCTTCAGAGATCAACCGAGAATCAGAGAGTTAACAAACTACGATTTTCTTCGAGAGATTAATAGGAAAAATAATTTACACATGTTTGTTTTAACTCAAATACGACAGTAAAACACGTCTCACAACACTAATTCCAAATTCCCAAAGAAAATATTTCACAGCCCAAAAAAAACATCGGTAATCGAAAACGCGCTTATCCGGCCGAAGATGTAAACGGGAACAAACAGAGATCGTATTCCCGCCGCCCGCCGCGCTGTCAAACTGACGTTTGTTTTGGCGCCAAAATACATAATGCCGAGTTGAGCTGCGTTTGTTTTCACTTCGGCACATCACAGTGAGACATTACAAACACGTTTTGCCGTTGACGAAACTAATATTTACGAAACTACAATGAAATATAAACCTTATGATGATGTCGGTACAATCTTTAGCGATTGTCACTTTTATTTACAAATCGCAAAGTAGTGTTTGTTAGTGTAATACTATATTTTAGCAGCAAAGATGGAAGGGTGAAAAGATAAACATTATAGGTTATTTTAGTGAATTTCATCTTTGGTCTGTAGACGAGAGTGGCGCCCGACTTATGATTGACGTTACGTTAGGTTTTTATTTTAGAAATAGGACTTGATAGAAAAATTTATTAAAATCTACTTAAAAGGATCCATGCAGGTTTATAGTATATGGTATTAATCTTAATGAATTCTCGCATGCCAAGATATTGTCTGTAAACAATTTATGTGTGTTATGAAGGATCACAAAACCCTCCTTTCTAAGGAGAGGCCTATGTCCTGTTAGAGGCTGTTGATGTGATGCGAACGGGTGTGTCATCCCTCCAACACAACGGGACGATCTTCCGACAAGGTGAGGTGATCGTGGCTGGTAGATTGCGGCCTAACGATTGATGTTCTGAAATTTATAAATACTAAACTTCAATTGCGCGATGTAGAATTAGTAGTTATAGTCACAATATTTTTTAATCGTCACTATGTTTGTTCTGGGTTGGAATCGAACCCAAAACTCTGGCTTAACAGTCAGGATTGCTGACCACGAACAGGTCATGGTCAGGTCAGTCATGTACCTATATATATATTATATTATATTAAAAATACATAAAAAAAAGCCGTGTGGTGTCGTGGGACACCCGATAGGAACGAAGTTGTGACGATCGAGTAAAACTGATTTGACACGATTTTAATTACAACGCCATCTATGAAAGCGGCTATTACCTACATATTAAAAACAATTAAAACAATTTATACATTGGTAAAATCTCCTTGCGAAATGATTTCCTATCTATTCGATAGATGGCGCTGAATGTCTGACAAGAATTCACGAAAATAAATAGCAAAAAGCCAACATCACGTGGTATTCCCAGGCGGTCACCCATCCAAGTACTAACCACGCCCGATGTTGCTTAACTTCGGTGATCGGACGAGAACCGGTGTATTCAACATGGTATGGACGTTGGCGAACGTTAAAGCAAATTTAATGTATGGTATCCACAGTTAGACGTCAATTTATATTAAAAGTGTCGTTCCAAATTTTCGTACGAATTTTTTCCGTCTAGCCCCCTTTCACAACGCGCGATAAGGAACTTCGTTCCAAAAATACATCCATAACAAAATAAACGAACATCAATAAATAACAGTTCAACTTTATAATTAACCCTTTAAAAGTTAACGGAATAGGAAGCGGTGTGTTTACAATGGCGGTCGATACGACCCCATACATCTACAATAGGATAAACACAGGCAAATTACTGTGATACATTACTATTTACGTCAGTAAACAATTGTTTGTTGTACAGAAAACTTATTATCAATCAATTTGAGGAAGCGAGTTTGTCAAACAAATAGTTTCGTAGTTTTAATTTACAATTTTGACATCTTTATCCTGCTCTTCTTAAAGGAAGTTTTGACATAAAACACTGAGAGTTTACGGGTATCTTCCGGTAATTTCTTTATATAGTTCATTCTCCGTCCTAATCCTAAATCATTATTTTAAGACTACGTAATCAAACAACCCAATTAAGCCAGTATCTCTAATATATTCTGTTTGGCCAAAGTAACCCGTTACAATCGTCTGCCATTTTGACCGCACGGCCCCACAAAAGGTTGCCATATACAAATATCCATCTCCCTGCAGTTGTCCCGTCAATTAGCGAAACTCTACACCGGAGTATGGTATCACCTTACTGTTTACACGGCTATTCACAGATGTGCGCGATTCGCTTACCAATAGGGAGCAGGAGAGGCGTTCAGGAAGACTACACTTATAATATTTTTAGGCAATGTGTTATGATGCATGTTTGCCACCGCTAGAATTCCCATCTTCTTTCCTATTGTCCGAAAGCTACTCTGGTAGCTTTGATTTGGGAACGTATTAGATGATCTAATAACGAGATTGTGGGGGCTATGTGTGCCCACCTGGATGTAGCCACCCTGCTACATTTTCAATCAGTAAATCTCTGTGCAGATAAAAAATAAAACTTTGCGTGAACTTTTAACGTTGTTTTTTTATTGTTTGCTAATTTTATGTTGTTGTTATAATTTCGCTAATGATATGTTTTGTTTAATTTTAATCTTAAATTTGATTAATTTTAACTTTAAAATACTGACATAAACAATAATGTATTTAATTGTTAACATTAAAGGGAGGATCCACCGATCAGGCGAGGTGATCATGCCTGGCGGGCTGCGACCCAACGGTTGATGTTGTGAAGTTGTATACACGCTAATCGGCGTGAGAATTTTTCATATCGCGATACAGCATTAGCAACTCCGCAGCTCCGTGTGTCTTTCGTTAGATGGCAGTGTAATATGTTTCTTCGTTTCACCGTACGTGGAAGTCGCTAGCACACATCTATTTCATAAATAAATAGCAGCTATAGTCACTATTCTATTCTATCTCTCAGTCAAATTTCATCCAATTACGTTTAGCAGTTCTCGCTGAAACAACAAACATTAATTCAAACTTACTCATTTATAGTATTATTGTAGTTAAAAAAATCCCCTTATCACAGACAGACTAAATAACATAATTATGGACTGTTGATAAATAAATATGACACTGTAAGCTCAGATTTGTAATCAGATTGAAGTTAACGTTATCATAAACTATATGACGATATAAAACTGTACAAACTTATAACATGACGATAACCGCTTGTGCATCATTTCCTAAAAGTGATAACGATAAAGCGATTGGGAAGGCACCACACTGTCAAATACCCTACAATACCTTCTAATAACATAAAAGACCGTGTCCGTGTGGTGACGGATTAAGAATACAAATTGTCACCACCCCTATTCATCCCGTGGGTGTCGTAAGAGCCGACTTAGGGAGCAAACTAAGCAGGACAACAGCACTGCAAAGAGAAGGAAAACTTGAAACAAACCCTATACCAACCCGTCTGGCCAGCGTGGTATAGTAGGCCAAAACGTCCTCTCTAAGGAGAGGCCTATGTCCAGCAGTGGACTAGTATAGGCTGTTGATGATGTTGATGAACATAAAATACGGCCCTTTAAATGTCTGTCTTCCAATGACTACTATCGACTGCACGGATGGTGTAGTGGTTTAAGCAGTCACCACGCCGCTTCCTACCGCGTTGAGTGTTGTGGGTTTGATCCCCACATGGGACAACACGTTGTGTGATCCGAAAATTGTTTTTCAGAGTCCGGGTGTTATTTGTATCCGTTTTATGTATATTTGTTTAGTCCCCCGCGGTGCAGGATAGTGCGGGAGTTGTAAAAAAATTAATTGACCACAAATCACTGGGTATAAAACCTTCAAACCTTCAAGAAAAGAGCGTACTCCTTCCTCAAAGGCCGGCAACGCGCTTGTGACTCCTGAGTTGCAGGCGTTCATGGGCGGCGGTAGTCGCTTTCCGTCAGGTGACCCGTCTGCTCGTCTGACCCTCTTTCATAAAAAATAATCGGGAAAGTAAGTTGCGTGCAAACATATTTTTTTATATGATATAATCATATCTGAAAATATTTGTTCAGCAATTACAAATCTACTCACCCCCAGGCCTGTTGGTCTAGTGGTTAGTATCCTGACTGCTAAGCCAAAGGCTTCGATTCCCATCTAGGATAAACAATTTGTGTGATGAGCAACGATCATTTATACTGACCCTTTGCGTAATATAAGTATCTTTAATATGTATGTATTTAGAAATATATAAGTATGTTTATCAGCAGTCTGGTTACCATAGTCCAGGGTCTACCTACATTGGGATCAGACGACCGTGTGTGTGATGTGTTAGATTATTATTATTAGTATGTCTTTTAGAAAAAAACAGCCAAAAGTCTTCAAAGATCAATTCCATAGTTGTTTTAACTACAATTTAATCATTTTTTATTTTTTCGTAACAAAACAACATCCTAGATAAACAACTATTAGTTGTTAACAAACAACTTTGAGATATACGCACTAAAACTAATCTATAAAAGAAGAAACTGACAGACTAATTCACTGATTGATCGATAAACGCACAGCTGAAAACGGGTCTAGAGGTATGAAGTTTTGCACAAATGTTCCTTAGTTGACGACTAACAAAGAATTTTTGAATTTCAACCCTAAGGGTGCAAAATGGGAGTTCAAAATTTATAACTTAGTTGTTTGTAGTAGCAGCGTTTTCAAACTAACATTAAATACTCTTTATTAAAAGTAATCAAAAACGTTGAAACAAGTTTTTCAAAACTATACTTAAAAAGTCTGTATACTGAGGGTTTGAAAACGATAAGTTAAAAAAATAGATCCCCTATCTAATAATAATAATATTCTACCACATACACACAACGCCATCTAGTCCCAAACTAAGCAGAGCTTGTACTATGGGTACTAGACAACTGATATAAATACATATATACTTTTTTTTTTTGTAAATACATACATATTATACATAGAAACACCCAGACCAAATCAAACATCAAATGTTCGACTTGAGCGGGAATCGAACCCGCGACCTTTGGAATAGCAGTCCTTTACACAAACCACTACGCCATTCGGTCGTCAATCGTCGGTATCTATTTTATTAACTTATCGTTTCCAAACCCTCAGTATAATTACTAAGATCTCTAATGTTGACGACCACGCGGATGAAGTCGCGGCCAAAACTAGTCCTGTATAAAGCCCCATTTTATTTCATACCGAACACTAACACAAAACGACGCCCAACAAAACATACACATACCTACATACCTTTAGGTATGGTACAACCCTATCGCTACTTATAGCAAAGCTTTTAGCGGAATTGCTCGGGGGTGGGAGTTCCCGACCTCGGTCGATGAACCTCCCTCCCTCCCGGGAGGGCTTTAAAAACACATTCCTTTCGCATCTCGGTCTATTCCGGTTTTATAAGTTTGTTTATTGATGTCAATTGAATTTTAGGCAGTTTGTTTAGGCTTTGAAAAATATAGTCTGTGATAAAGTGTTTTAATAATTATTTAGCTAATATTGTTAATATTACGAAATGAATAAATAATTGTTGTGGGTCAATACCCACAACCAATACTAATACCGATGTATTGGTTGTGGGCTCCGGTTTCCGCATTAAGACTCAAGATGGTCCTTTATTCGTCGTCGTTCGTGAGCCAACCAAGCTCCTTCCAGAAGCGCAGAAGCTTCCTGGGGCCTGCACAGGCTTCTAGGAGCGATTTTGTATCAGGAATGATACTTGCCCGTTGTGTGGCCACTCCCTTGCATTCCAGGATTACGTGGGCGGCCGTTTCTTCTAGTCTGTTAGTTCTAGTCTGCTAAGAATGATCAGTCTACAGGTGAGTCGTGGTGAGACTTCAGTCAGCACCAGGTTAGACTGTCTGCAGTCGGTGAGTTTTTCCATCTTCGGTTGTGTGCTTCACGAGTCCGCTGGCTAGTCCAGTTAATAGTCCTCTGCTGAACATAGGCCTCTACTTAGAAAGGAAGTTTTGGCTTACTATACCACGGTGGCCAGACGGGTTGGTAAAGGGTTGTATCAAGTTTTCCTTTTCTTTGCAATGCTGTTGCCCTGCGTAGTTTGCCCTCTTAGTCCGCTCTTACGACATCCACGGGATGAATAGGGATGGTGACACTCCGTATTCTGAATCCGTCACCACACGGTTACCAATACACTTATATCCTTTAACTATACAATAATGAAGTAAATATGTTTGTTCACAGGTTATTTGGAACGAAATGTGACAAGTGCGGATCCTCCTTTAGTAAGAACGACTTCGTAATGCGCGCCAAGACGAAGATCTACCACATCGACTGCTTCAGATGCTGCGCCTGCTCAAGACAACTTATACCAGGTTCGTGGACGTATATCACCACAATATTATCTCTAAACATTCCTTTAAACCCTCACAATTACCGTCTACACATAATGATTACTTATTTACTTCATTTTTGGTGACTGGATGTGAAGATCTTATAAAGGTGGAAACCATCTCTGGTTCCTAGAGTATATCGATTTCTTCCCGATTTAAAATAACCCCAGGGTTCCACTGCTTGCCAACGATCAGGGAGTCATTGTCACCATTGCATTCTTCCGTATTCGTCTTATCCAAGACGAGTCCTGGTGGACCATCACCAGTAAAAAAGAATCAAAGAAAAACCTTGCTATACCAACCCTTAGTCATAAGCCATATCTATAGCCAAAACACAAAGTTACAAAGTTATTATTTTGTATCTTCGTGTTTTGGCTATAGATATGAGACTATTTCCGAAAACGACACCAATATAGGGGTAGTATTTCATATTTCTAGCATGTTACAGTAAAAGTTAACAATTACAGATCATAAATAGCAATTATAAATAACCAAAATATATATCAATAACCGACAACCGTTGGGGAAAACGAGTTCTTGAGTGGAGACCGCGTCTCGGCAAACTTAGTGTAGGACGCCCACAGGCCAGGTGGAGTGACGATTTGCGCAAGATGGCTGGCAGGAGCTGAATGCGAGAAGCCCAAAATCGATCTAAGTGGCGTGCAATGGGAGAGGCTTACGTCCAGCAGTGGACTGCGATAGGCTGATGATGATGATGATGATGATAAATAGCAATTATTTAAAAGTTAGTAATTAAAAAAGCATTTGATCCTTACTTTCTGCGTCTCTGAAAGGGAACAAAATTTACCCCATCTTTGCAACATGTTTCACTGGTGCATGAATATTCTACAGCCTACCTCGATAAATGGCCTATCCGAAACTAAAATATTTTTTCAACTCGAACTAGTAGTTCCTGAACGCGTTCAACCAAACAAATAAACACTTCAGCTTTTAATAGTAGTGTAGATATGACCAAGGATAATTAATAACTGCTGCTGTTGCGACTGCACGGATGGCGTAGTGGTTTAAGCAGTCACCTTGCCGCTTACTACTGCGCTGAGTGTTGTGGGTCCGATCCCCACACTGGACAACACTTTGTGTGATCCACAAATTGTTGTTCTGAGTCTGGGTGTCCTTTGTGTCCGTTTCATGTATGTTTGTGAAGTCCCCCGCGACACAGGATATATTCCTAGTGCGGGAGTTGTCTTTTATGAAAAGAAAAAAACAGAAAAAGAAACTCGCATTGCAAATTCCTGCCATTTCTGGTTAACTAAAAAATCGCAGTAATCTGCCCTTTTTTGTCATAATATTTAATTAATGTGAATATTCCCAACAGGTGACGAATTCGCGTTACGAGAAGGAGGTGCACTATATTGTAGAGAAGATCACGATGTTTTAGAAAAGGTATAAATTACATTCAAGTACTGATAGTTAAGGTCAATTCTAGCAATGAAAATTCAGTTTCGATTTACTCCCAAACTCACAAATGTCATAAAAGCTATTCTCGTAGTAAAGTATTAAACATCCAACGTTGACTGTAATGTGATTATATCGTATTGTGAACGATAGTTGAATCGGTATTCTGCTAGTCTTAATAATACTTCACTACCAGAATACCTTTTATGATATTTGTGAGATCGAGAGGAGATCGGAACGTAATTTTGAACAAGTTTTCCTTACGAGAATTGACTTTCTGCTGTCTAAACTTATAATTATAACTCAATTAATCAATCCAGCTTGTCATATCCTATCACTGTACTTATTAATTACTAGCTGACCCGCGCAACTTCGTCTGCGTCTTTCAATAGTATTAAAATTTGCTCCGTTTTTGAAACATTCTTCATTGCTGCTCCGGTCCTATTGCTCTTAGCGTGATGATATATAGCCTATAGCCTTCCTCGATAAATGGGCTATCTAACACTGAAAGAATTTTTCAAATCGGATCAGTAGTTCTTGAGATTAGCGCGTTCAAACAAACAAACAAACAAACAAACAAACTCTTCAGCTTTATAATATTAGTATAGATACCTGAACCAAGTAAAATGTCTATTAAGTTGTCTTAATAATTACTTACCATTAAGTTTGTAATGGCAGACTGGTATATGTAAGGCCTTGCAATAGGGATATAAATGTATGTATAGTACTCCTATGGCCTTTTAAAGTCATTAGGGTAATTTCATCTCTGTTATTCTAGTGTTTTTAAAATGATTCTTAATTGTGCTTATGACCTTTCAAACTGCACTGTCACTAATTAAAAAAAAGTTTAAACACTCCGCTGTTCAGCTACAGTCAAAGTCCTAACCACGAATCGAACACAACACTATCGATAAGACTCGGAATAAATATAATTCTTTGCATTCCACTAAAACATTCCTATTGACGACTGGATGGTGTAGTGGTTTGTGTAACGGACTGCTATTCCAAAGGTCGCGGGTTCGATTCCCGCTCAGGTCAAACATTTGTGTGCATGAACATTTGATGTTTGATTTGGTCTGGGTGTTTCTATGTATAATATGTATGTATTTACAAAAAAAAGTATATATGTATTTATATCAGTTGTCTAGTACCCATAGTACAAGCTCTGCTTAGTTTGGGACTTGATGGCGTTGTGTGTATGTGGTAGAATATATTATATATTATTGTTATAACTACTTATAACACAGTCAATACAAATATTTGCACTGAACGGAATCGAAAACACTACCCCCTTGACAATGTAAAAGTCGAATGCACGACTGTATTAGGGTTATCATGTGTACCACCAATGCGTTGTTGATTAATATACTCTGTTTTTTGTTTAGAGTGCAACAGCGAGTGGTGGAACTAGCGGCAACACAGAAAGCAACAACAACACGACCCTCAGCAACAACAACTCACACCATCCACACGAATTAGGATCTATGTCTGGTAAGTGGGAACTCAACATCTACCTACTGCATTTTACAGAAAGCGCAATGACGCCGAGCATTTCCAGATTGTGCAAAATAAAATTGATTTACTTATAGTTGTCTCTTATTTGAATCATCATCATCATCATCATCGACAGCCTTTAATAGTCCACTGCTGGACATAAGCCTCTCCTTAGAAAGGAGGTTTTGGCCTACTATACCACGCTGACCAGACGGTTTGGTATAGGGTTTGTGTCAAGATTTCCTTCTATTTGCAGTGCTGTTGTCCTGCCTAGTTTGCTCCCTTAGTCACCTCTTACGACACCCACGGGATGAATAGATTGAACTTATTTGAATGTTCTGTCCGATGTTTCAATTTTCTGTCTGAGAGTAAATTCCTAATGCGACACACCTATGTATTTGAAGAGAACAAAGAAAGAAAGAGATAGACTCCCACGCAACTAACGCAGAATGCCAACTAGTTAGATCTCTCTTGAATAATACTTCTCATAAAGACCTAACTTCGTTTCTATTTACAGCTGGTTGTTGGTGCATTTTATAGTCTTTATAAGACTTTCATAAAGATCTGCATTTAAATTGATTTTACGTCTTCATCCCCCTTGTCTATGAGCAGGTCGTCAGCACTTACTAACAGACGTAATCCCAAACCTTACAGGCCATGTTAATCAAAGAAGAACCGTTTTTCCCAAGCGTTTCGAAATTCAAAATTCGCCAATGACCTCAGATCCCTGCAATGAGTGTTATGTAAGATAACTCAGACATTAAGATAAGACCTTAGTAATTAAAACGACAACGTCACATTAAGAAATAATAATCAATCTGATAGAACATCAATCAAGGATCTTCAACATCGAAAAACTGAACACGTAGCTTAAAAGATTTACAAGAAATATCTACCAAATAGATAAAAAAATAAATTAAAACATTCTTATCAGAATAAACGGTTTGATATGTCGCGTTTTGGCGCCACTTGCGATTCCATACACCCAATATAAAGAATTCCTTATTGACGTTAATAAATTTTGTATACCAGAGCCTGCCTTAAAAAAAAAAGTTTAGTACACTTTGAAGAAAGGAGGACAAATACACACAGATAAGGTACGTGGGGATCGCACACCGTTATTACAGAATACATCAACTAATATTAGATCTGTATTATCGGACACGCGATTACTAGAACGTTATCGATATCTACAAATTCGAGCATCGATAATCGTTTCGCGATCGTGCTGTGATTTAACGATAACTACTTTGATGTGGGCCGACAAAGGCGCCGATACTTTTGATAAAGCCGAACAAAGTTTGTCCCTTGTTACATTTATCGGTTAATTAAAAGAGTTCTAGTTATTTTTTGTGCAACAGATAATGAATTTGATGGCTATGGTGAAAACAATGGTTGCTCCATTAGGACATAAATATATTTAAGAATTAACAGCGCTTCTGTAAGGGTGAAAGAATTAGGTAGAGAAGTAGCAGAGCCATGCTTAGCCATTAATAAAAATAATAATAATAACTTGTTTGAACTTCAATTTCTTTGTTACAATTCTACAATCCAATAAACGCTTACCGTATTAGGTGTACAAAGTAGACCCTGCCTTCCAAACTACATAGGTATTTCTGTAACTTGAAGGATAGTGATCTTTTTTTCTTTAAAAGACAACTCCTGGATTAGGAATACATCTCGTGTCGACTTATACGAATATACACGGAACGGACACAAAGAACACCCAGACTCAGAACAACATTTTGTGGATCACACTAAGTGTCGTCCCATTTGGAGTCGATTTCCACCTGGGACGACACTTTGTGAGCTGTGAGCCACAACACTCAGTGTAGTAGTAAGCGGCGTGGCAACCGCTTAACCACTACGCCATCCGTGCAGTCAAATATGGGACAGGCTCGATTGGAGTGACACCATGGCCTCACAGAAAACCAGTTTTAAGTCATTATTTTGTTGCTTTTCACGGAGAGAGTGAAGTTACCAGCGGCCAAACCTACCCTTTGCTGTGGGGGAAGGGACACAAAGGACGCGATAGTCACTTACTACCAGGTGACCCGTATGCTCGCTTGTCCCATGTCACTAATATCAGGCGTGGGTGTGTGCTTCTGTATTCTGTACACTAATATAATAACCCTTCTCTTAAAATGACAAAGCTAGGTTTGGCGATCTCCTATCCAGTTGTAGTACTAGAAAAGCAACTAGAATATATAACATATATACCTAACGGTTTGCTTTCTACCCTTGACAAATGATAATATTCTACTACATTCACAAAACGCCATCTAGTCCCAAACTAAGCAGAGCTTGTACTATGGGTACTAAACAACTGTTATAAATACATAGGTACATACTTTTTTTGTAAACACATCCCAGACCAAATCCAACATTAAATGTTCATGCACACAAATGTTTGACTTGAGCGATAATCGAACCCACAACCTTTGGCATAGCAGTCCTTAACACAAACCGCTACGCCACACGGCCGTCATTGAATTGTCGTGATATGTGAAAAGAACGATCATTTGTTTTGTGATCCGATCATTTAGAATATACCTACAGTAAGTAGCTGAACCCAGCCATGTTTTTCTGTGGTACATTGTGTGTTTGAGTGATGAGAAATTAAGAACAAAACTGACGCTAAAAATAGATAAAAACAATCTTTGAAACGGGTTGCATTTCGTGTCAAAATTTTTGAGTTTTTGAAGCGTACACAAACCAACTTAACATTTATTTATAGACTAGCTGGTACCCGCGACTTCATTCGCGTGTAATTTGAAAAGCGCTGCCATAGTGGGTTCGGTTTCCGGACCGATCAAAATTTTAAAGGGGTTTTCTGAGAGGAAAAATAGCTTAAGTTATTCCTTATGTAGACAACTACCTGGTAGTAAAATATTACCGAAATTGGTCCAGCCGTTTAGAAGATAGACAGACAGACAAACTGGTTTTTAGGCATAAGTATCGTATAAATAACCGTGTGAGCATGAATAAAACCTATAATTTTGACATTACAAACAGACATTTCAATTTTATTTATATGTATAGTTTTTAGATAGTAGAATTGGGATTAGACGGTTTCTAAAGAATCATTTTTTTTAAATATTCAAACCGATCCCAGTAGGACATACATTATTAACCTTTTTTAATAAAAGTGCCGAGGACACTGTCCACCCCAAATTTAATCTAATTATGCTTAATTATAAATGTACAAAGTCGTCATTGGATCAGAATTGGATTATGAAGGTGTTAAGTGGGGATCTAGTCACACTAATCCTTCATTACTGACCCTCTGTAAAATTGGATGATTTGTTTATTGTAGTTCTAGTGTGGGATTAGTTAAGACTGATATGACTGACTGCACGGATGGCGTAGTGGTTTAAGCGGTCGCCACGCCGCTCACTACTACGCTGAGTGTTGTGGGTCCGATCCCTACATGGGACGACACTTTGTGTGATCCACAAATTGTTGTTCTGAGTCTGGGTGTTCTTTGTGTCCGTTTCATGTATGTTTGTAAAGTCCCCCGCGACACAGGATATATTCCTAATGCGGGAGTTGTCTTTTTTTAAAACAAAAAAAAATAGTACATAATTATTTGAGAATATGTTCGAATATGAATTGGGACTGGCAGAAGTCAAGAAGTGGCCTTAGGTTGATGACTTACAGTTGACTGTCAAGGGTTTTTTGTGGAATAAGGGGGCAAATGAACAAATGGATTGATCTATCATCATCAACAGCCTATAACAGTCCACTGCTGGACATAGGCCTCTCCTTAGAAAAGAAGTTTTGGCCTACTATACCACGCTGGCCAGACGGGTTGATATAGAGTTTGTTTCATGTTTTCCTTCTCTTTTCAGTGCAGTTTTCCTGCGTAGTTTTCTCCCTTAGTCGGCTCTTACGACACCCGCGAGATGAATAGGGGTGACATTCCGTATTCTTAATCCGTCACCACACGGACTACTCCAACCCAACAAATGAATTACATGATGGTAAAGGATTACCGTCGTCCATTTATATATTTATTTATTCTTAGTAGTAAGAGGAAAACGTTAATACAAAATAAACGAGACTTTACACCAACTTTACAATATTAAACTATGCTCCTTCTAATACACATAGTCCATGGATCCTGGATCTTAAGAGAAACGAGTTCGTTACCACCAATTAGGTATCTTCCCCCCTCTGAAGTGGAGGTTAATTTTATTTATTTAGATATATAACTTAATGCACAATGCATTATATTATTCTCTGCAAGTCGACCTTCGGGTGATGTAGGAAAATAATGCAGTAGAAAATCCTTTGAAAAAAAATTGGACCGACTTCAAACAATACTAACAAAGAGCACTAAAAACCTAGCAGCAATCGCGGTTGATTTGCTGTCATTTTTTGAGGAGTTCCGTTGTCTGTCTTCGAAACACGTCATCGGATATATATGAAATTTAAATATGACTATTTCAGAAAAATCCCTTTCGAACAATAAAAGAACATACATAAAAAAAAACATCCGAATTGATAAGCTGCTTTTTGAAGTCGGTTCAAAACGAAAAATTTGACTTTATTTCCTCTAGGGGAGGTTTCCTTCAGTAATCTAACTCACTTGGTGGAATTGCTTAATATCGGCTTTATATGAAGACGGCACACGTGTCAAAGCATGACTCCCACGAAAAAATCTTCTTCTCTCTATACCTACTTTAAATAAGTGTGTTCCGTAAAACTTTGTATCAAAATAAAATCTTCTGATTGTAGCAAGTATCGGCCGCAATTCTATTTTTTTGTATAAACGTACAAGCCACTGTCATTCCATTGACACGCTATGGAGACGCTATTGGCATCAGTCAAATATCGGTATTCTACTAACATATATTCATAGTGTCAATAGACCGTCGATGTAGTGACAATGGCTCATCAATGGTGATATGAACAACATTGCCATATCTGGACAATTAAATACTTATATCATTTCCTTACAAATTTAAATGTTCCGTTTACCAAATTATTACTAAGACATCGACGACATTTGTATCAGTGACCCGTCATCGGGCCATTGGTCTTACATGGTTAATAGATTTTTTTTATTTCTTAAATGATTTATGATATTGTTTCAAATTATTTACATTACAATATATATATTTATTTACATTACATACTTATAAACGAATTTTACAAAAAAATAATTACAGACAGGCATGAGAAAGAGCAAAGTTAGTAGAATACGAAAGGTGCAAAACTATACCGACGACAGTCCATCGTGGTATAGTAGGCCAAAACCTCCTTTTTAAGGAGAGGCCTATGTCCAGCAGTGGACTGTTAAAGGCTGTTGATGATGATGATGATGATGATGACAGATCAGACAGATGATGATATAATTTTAAAATAGCAGAATTGAGTCCCTGGTCGTGAAATCCTTTTTGTATTCAAAGAATTATCGTTAATTATGTATGTTTGTCTACAGATTCTGGCAGTGAATCAGGATCCCACAAAAGCGGTCGCGCTCGAACTTCAACTGCTACGGACGGCAAACCCACGCGAGTACGAACTGTGTTGAATGAGAAGCAGTTACACACATTGAGGTATGTGGCTTTTTAGATCTTATTATTCAGAAACAGTATGTGTAATGTCCTCATCCTCGTATCTTCTCTAATCTTCTCCAATAGACGGGCCTGTTAGTCTAGCAGCTGGTGATCCTGACTGCTCACTGTCCACCCATTACAAATAAATATATAAGTACATATGTCCAACTGGTTACTATACCACAGGCTCTGCCTAGTTTGGGATTAGACGGCCGTGTGTGATGTGCGAAGTTATTGTTATTATTGTTGTGAACATGTGGGTGGTTATTATGAACTAATTTTGAGTTAAATACGTGAAGCCAGCTCTATAGACTATTGCCAGCCTACGGTCAGAGTTGGTCTTCGTCATACGGTCTTAATAAGCCCTAAATTTAGGATATTGCGTATACAATTATACACTTTTTGAGTGTAAACTTTAAATGTTAAAGGGTCGTTTACTTTTCAACCTAAATCAAACACAAGGTTTTGATAATTGAGAATTTTGTAAGGAAGCTACTATCTATGGACCGTCAACACTATCCATCTCACATTTATGACGACACACTGGTTTCAGAAGTTAAAATATGTAAATTCAAACATTCTCTCATAATCTTATAACATACTTATAGAACATGCTACGCAGCCAACCCTCGGCCTGACGCTCTCATGAAAGAACAGCTCGTAGAGATGACCGGCCTCAGTCCAAGAGTCATAAGGGTCTGGTTCCAGAACAAACGCTGCAAAGACAAGAAGAAAACGATCCAGCTGAAGATGCAGATGCAGCAGGAAAAGGTAAGAATAAATAAGCATTAAACATTATCTGAATAAATACATACATTCACGCCTGCCGTCCCGTAGGAGTAGACAGGGGGCATGTTAATACACATTTTTGTCAAGAATTATTTGGTCAGCACTACAAAGAGAAGGAAAACTTGACACAAACCCTATACCAAGCCGTCTGGCCAGCGTGGTATAGTAGGCCAAAACCTTCTTTCTAAGGAGAGGCCTATGTCCAGCAGTGGACTATTAAAGGCTGTTGATGATGATGATTTGGTCTAACATAGAAGACAAGCACGTTGAAAGTTAAATATAAAGAAATTATTAGTATTTTGAAAGAGAATTGTAGAAGTACAAGCAAAAGCTTACACTCCCACATATGAAAGAAAAAGACACATTCTATTAGAGATTAGTTCTCCACTTCTTCCTCCAAACCTTTGCCCAATCGGTTCGGCTATATGTGTACTACAATACGGCTGATTTTTACGAGGACCATCCACCGCCATCAGACCTCCACAACCCAAGTACTAGGCTATTAGGAAGTTCTTTAGAAAGACCGTTGTCGTACAGATGCTCGTATGGTAACCAGGACGTTAACGTGCTCTCCGAGGTACGGAGGGGTCTCCATGTGTCAAGAATGGTCACCCATCCATAGACTGACCTGGCAATGACTACTTAACTTTGCAATGTGTTAACCTACTTGGTTACCTCTTGGCCATGAGCCCCTTATTTCTCCACTATGATTTAGGATAAGGCTCTGATACAGAAACCGCTACAAAGTAAAGTTCATCTAAACTGCTCATTTTCTAGTCAACTCTTACAAGAAAGCTGATCTCTTTTTTATGTAAAAAAACCAATCCAGACCTCTCTCTTGTTAAAGGTGATATCTTATCCTCATTTGCAACAGGAAGGAAGACGTCTGGGCTACATGTCAATGGGGGTCCCCCTGGTGGCGGGGTCCCCGGTTCGCCACGAGCCCGCGGGTTCACTCGCGCTCGAGGTCACCGCCTACCAGCCCCCCTGGAAGGCGCTCTCGGACTTCGCCCTCCACGCCGACCTCGACAGGGCGCCGCAGCATAGCGCAGCCTTCCAGCAGTTGGTTAACCAGGTACATTTTAGATATAGACCGATATCTAGGAATTGACGAACAAGGATTGACTCCAACATGTCACCGGGTTAAGATAATACTTGGTAAAGTATTACATATCTGACTGCACGGATAGAGTAGTGGTTTAAGCGGTCGCCATGCCGCTTCCTATTGCACGGAGTGTTGTGGGTTCAAACCCACATGAGACAACACTTTGTGTGATCCACAAATTGTTGTTCTGAGTCTGGGTGTTCTTTGTGTCCCTTTCATGTATGTTTGTAAAGTCCCCCGCGACACAGGATATATTCTTATTTGATGATGGATGGAAGTTTGTTATTCGATCACGTCAGAACGGCTTAACAGATCTAGATGACATTTGGCACAGTGATAGTCGGGAATAGCACATAGGCTACTTTCATCGAGGAGAAGATGATTGACAAAACTGGATTTATTTATTGGACAAAAGCTATGTATTTTTGTGGGGTTGATGGTAACTATTATTGAAAACACTAAAATTTAAAAGAACTTTGAAAGTACCTCCATCCTTCTTTATAAATAAAAATTAAATTTAAATATACCTATAAATATCAGAATTTTATCGTTATCTTTTTATTGATAACCCCGGTGTGGTTTACCCAAGTGGGTCAGGGTCATTATCAAAACGGAGTCAATGGAGTGGTAAATCTTATTTCTTTAAATTTTACGCTATCACATATTCTGGTATTAGAGTATTTGAAATAATTCTTTTATTTGATTAATTTTAACGATATGAGAAGCTTGTAAAGTAACAAATACTTTGGCATTTTTGTTTTTTATACATAAACGTCAACATTTTATACAATGGTAGCTGACTAGACAGGTGTTATCCTTCAAGACTTAAAGTAGTCGCATATAATGTGTGTGCACGGATGCGGGAGTGGTTTAAGCGGTCGCCACGCCGCTTACTACTACGCTGAGTGTTGTGGGTCCGATCCCCACATGGGACGACACTTTGTGTGATCCACAAATTGTTGTCCTGAGTCTGTGTTCTTTGTGTCCGTTTCATGTATGTTTGTAAAGTCCCCCGCGACACAGGATATATTCCTAATGCGGGAGTTGTCTTTTTTATAAGAAACAAAAAAATACTGTGACAATTTTTAAGTCCATAGTAGAATACCGATATTCCGATATTTTATACCGATATTTTTTTCAAGTTTCAGTCAAAATACGATATAATGATAACATCTGAAGGCATATTCTAATAATCTTAGAACAGAACGAAAAGTGATTGAATTGCGACTGAATTACGAATGGATTTTAATTGGTATTCTGTATATAAAAATACTTTCCATCAATCTCATATTGATCAACATTAAATCTTATAGAAATGTCACCCTTGACGTAAAAACAGAGATCAGAATACGAATTACGTTTTATCCGCATTAAAGTATCACTGACTAACACTATAGCAGAATACCGTTATAACCTTTTTTCAAGTATCGGTCAAAATACGATATAATTACATTACAGTCAACGTTGGATGTTTAATACTTTACTACCACAATCCCTTTTATGACATTTGTGAGATCAAGAGTAGATCGGAACTGAATTTTGATCGAATTTTTATAACGATTGGCCTTCTGACATCACACGCAAGCACGTCAGTCTCTTTTTTATTACGAAATCTCTTCAGCATGGGCCAAATATTTGTATGATCTATAAATAAATATATAAATTATTTCGGACTTTGGGTGTTTTGCTATGTAAAATATGTATGTATTAGAAAAAAATGTAATAAATATTCTATCAGTCAATCTAGCTGTCATAGTACAAGCTCTGCTTAGTTTGAAACTAGATGGCGTTGTGTGTTTGATGTCCGAAAATATTAGTATCATTATCTCTGTGTGAGTATAGATTGCAGAAAAGCGAAAGAAAACATTTTTAAACATAAAAAAGGACCTTTAATTTTCCTATGTTTTAAAGGCGAGGTTACTAAAATGACTGAGCTATTAGGTATTATTAGTCTATTAGGTAATATTAAAGCAAAACTAAGTTTATTGTCTCGTTCCAGATGCACGGCTACGACATCCCGAACCTCCCCCCTCCGCGCGCGCCGCACGGCGAGGACAACTACGTGACGTACCTGGAGAGCGACGACAGCCTCCCCCCCTCGCCCTAGTGCCGCCTCTCCTAGCCCCCCGCGCCAGCGCTGCCCCCCTACCTCGTGTACGACAGTTGCAGTGTCGTGTAATAACTGTTCCCTTATACTACAGCGACAAAACTAGTCCACTACAACGACAAATGTTTCTTACCAGTACGACAGATGTGTACAAGTATCGTCGTACATTTTGCAATGCCGTGTGAAGTGTTGCCGAATTTCCAACTTCGAGTGTTTTTTTATACTACAGCCATATACATAATTTACTACAGTCACAAATACTTCTTACCAGAACGACAGTTGTATGAAATTGTTTCCATACTTCGTGCAATGTCGTGTAATAACATATATAGTATGGCCGAATTTTTAGCTACAATGTGTTTTTGGGTACTACAGCTACAAACCTAGTTTACTACAGCGACAATTATATTACAGTAGTACGATAATATCTAACTCATGAAATTTCGTATAATAATAAATATAACCTAAACTAAAGTTAACTGAAAGTCATATTGAAACTGCAATCTTGTACATTAGTACAACGACAAATCTAACTTACTACATGAACAAATATTAATACATTACTGAAAAACAAAGACGGCCTGTTATGATATTGAATAAAAGCAACTACTGTAATCTAGAATGTCGATATACAACACAAACAAACAAATTAACGAGCTGGCTGTAACATATCTGTTAATTCTTTGTTTATTTCCTAGTTTCGGTGAAATATCTATCTATTCGGCATAAAAGTTTCGTACATTTTTAATTACTATACTTAATACGGTTGACAGCCCTAACGCTATCAGGAAAAGTACCAGATTTTCATGGTACCAATAAACTGATGACTCGCACGTATCAAGTGCCTAACAGGATATGTTGTCTTTAAACATGCTTTGTGTGATAATTGGAAATAATTTCTGTCCTAAATCATGACCACGAGTTGACATATGCTGATGAAATATCAAAATTAATTTTTTTTACAAAATCAGCCATTTTACTTAAAATTATTATTTTTTACACTTGAGTTAAAAAATAAAATATTAAGCTGACCCGAGAATGAGTTTTTAAATTATCTATAAATATTCGCTGAACTAATAGTCACTAAAACAATGAAAACCCAACAATAAAGTTGTGGTAAGTTACAATAAAAGTTGAAAATAAAAGGTTCCAAGAATTTCTACAGGTATATAATATAGTTGTTGGAACCCTAAAATGAAGTTGCGGGAACCTTAAACTGATCGTCAACAACAACAGAGAGTTGTAGTGCTATAAAACCGTGACCTTTTCCGAAAGTTCCCCCCCAGTTGCCGTAGTGGTTTAAGCGGTCGCCACACCGCTTACTACTACGCTGAGTGTTGTGGGTCCGATCCCCACATGGGATGGGATGATGGGACTTTGTGTGATCCACAAATTGTTGTTCTGAGTCTGAGTGTTCTTTGTGTGTTAGCAACTCTTGAGGGCTCGTTGATAGTAAAGTTTTTAAAAACTTGGAATGTATGTTTTTTGGAGACGGTTATTAATACATTACGATAATTAGGGATGCCTTTAATAGCAGAGTCTGTGTGTTCTTTGTGTCCGTTTCATGTATGTTTGTAAAGTCCACCGCGACACAGGATTTATTCCTAATGCGGGAGTTGTCTTTTTTAAAGAAAGAAAGAAAGTCTGTGCGCTGCATTACATGAGCATAATATTTTATTTTCTTTATCAAGTTATTAACTGGGAGAGTGCAAACTTGTATTTTACGTGACTGCCACTGAATTCTTACATTTAGTTATATGGACGATAAATAATAAATATTACAGTCGAGATTATTATTTCATAAAACAATGTTATAAATATAATATACAAAAATAAATGTGTATTATATCAATATTTTATAAAACTATTACTGTTGTCCATAAAACTAAAAAAAACTAACTATTTACTATTAATTGTGATGTTTACCATTAGTTAAAATAAATAAATAATAAAAAAATGTACTTATAGTGATAATTTTTTCTATGAGTATATTTTATTTTATTTTTCACTTTTATTACGATCTGTTAGTGTTTTTAATGTATATAAAATATCTTGTAAATATAATATTGTATAAAATTATAAATAATTATTTACCTACTAATTATAAATACTTATATAAGTTTATATTAAGACCTTCTTAAATCGATGTAAAAATAGACACTTTTTATACAATTTTATTTTCCTGTAATTTTAATGTAAAATTCATATTTGTTAAAATTTTGTAAGAATAAACCTTTTGAATGCTGATGCTGCACTTCACGTATTTTTTTAAATGGATGACACGTGTAATATTTAAAATAATATGTGGAAAATTCTTTTTAATAAAAATGTTATTTTGTATTCTTGGTGGGGGTTCTGATTTCTTTGTTAAAGCACTTTCGCTTTCTACATAGACTTTTTAGTCTATGCAAAGAATAGAGTAGAGTAGAGCGTTGAGAATTTGATATCTTCTCACTTGGAAAAATAAAACTCCATAAGTAATTTGAAATTTCTGTACGTGCATAACTAAACTTCAAAAAATACGATTTTAATTAATTTCCTTTTGAAGGAACGTCACCTGTACCCTGCCCATACCTAATTAAGATATATTCCATATTCATATCATGAGTAAATATCTCTTCTAGTATAAAAAAAAAAAGTTGCAATGTACGTTTATTGCGAAATATTTTGCTTTTAAGGACAATGAAACCCTCCCAAAGACAAAGTAACCCGCCATTAGCACCGACCTGTCACTGTCACATTACATGAAACGTTTGCATTCGAAAGTTGAATATCATATTTTTTTAAACAACGCATATTCTAGACAAGTATAACAATTGATTTGTATGTAAAAAAAAGTAACAAATATCGCCTTAACTCGATACCTAGAGATTACCACGAAGTTAATTTATTCAGTAGTTAAATACAATGTATTTAGATTGTGAGTATAATTAAATAAAAAATATTGAATACGTATTAATATATTGTTTCTTTGTTTTGTTTTTGTTCCTATTCCAAACACTAGCTGACGCGCATCCCCTGCATCTCTCAAAAGGAATACATTTTCCCGTTTTTGCAACAGTTTTTATGATACACGGCTCCTAGTGATCTTAGCGTGGTGTTGTATAGCCTTCCTCAATAAATAGGCTATCTATCTAAAAGAATTTTATAACTCAGACCAGTTCCTGAGATTACCGAGTCAAATCATACAAACAAACAAGCTCTTAAACTTTATAATATTAATAAAGATCTAACAAATATCTTGTAGTGATCAGAGATTGAAATAAAACGACGTAAGGGGTCTGTGGACCCCTTACGTCGGAACGAAGTTTCTTTTGCTTTTTGGTTTACTCTAATGGTCTTTACTCTGCAGTCATTATATTATAAAATAGCAAGTTAATAGAGAGAAATTGAAAAATTAATTATAAAATATATTTATTATGTATAAAATAAATCATGATAAATTAAACACTAAACACAGAATTATCTGGGATAATTAAGTTATATGGGCGCGCGGGGGCGCTGTGTGCGGAGATGTAAGTATATATTTTATATACGTCTGTGACTATAGCAAGAAGTGTCGGAAAAAAGTCTTGTTACACATTTTTCGGTCTCATAGTGTTTAAAGCGCGATAAGGAACTTCGATAAAAAAAAATTGCGGGCCAATAGAATGTTTAAGAGTGACCTTTGCGACAGAGACTCATATCGGCTTCGATACCTTTAATATCAATATAGTATTTTATAAGAAGAGGCCTATGTCCAGCAGTGGACTAGTAGGTAAAGGCCGTTGATGATGATTTTTCACTTCTATAACTATCAACAGTTTGGAACCTTAAGCGACAGCTACTTATACTTGACTTTAATATTTAACAGTAAAAAGTTAATTATTCAGCAAAACGCTAAGGTATTATACGATCCAAAGGTAGGTAAATGGCTTAAAATATGGCAAAGACTCTCCTCCGGTAACTGTTTAAACTCCCGCAATTAAAATTACGGGAGAATTCTCTTGAGTACTCACTCACTATCTTTTTAAGAAATAACCGTTTGATATGAAGTTAACTGACATCAACCTTTCCTTGGAGGCAGAAGAAACTGCTGCACATATCCTTCTGGAGTGCAGTGTTGTGGTCACATATCTACCAGGCAAAATTTTTGGGGTGGGACGACTGTACCCGAGGTTATCGGTGATATCAGCAGGTGGTGTAGCAGACATTAACCCAAACCACACACATCCAAATTAAAATATAGAGATATCTTAGAGATTCAAGGAACTAGTAGCGCCCTCAAGTGGCTAATGGAATACATCCTAAATAACAATGACCATTTTAGGTAACAGCGCCATCTAACGGTTATTCTTCGCTACTGATGAGAAATTAACGAAGTTAAATAAAACTAACATATACCACGAGATGGCCGTATTATATGAATTTTAACTAGACAATTTTTAATATTAAATTCTAAGGTCTAAAATCAATAATACCTGCGCGTCTAGACGGTTTTGAGCCAAAGAGATCCAACCAGTCTAGCTTTGTTCCTGTACACGGACCACGCTTGATATTTACCTGTGAGTAATGTTATGAATGAATTTATTTAAACATTTATCTTTTTATACATTGAGAATAATTGTTTTAGTTTACATTATGTTTTATTTAATGATAAAAAGTGTTGTGCTGTTAAAGTTTTAAGTGTTGTTTATGAATGTAGAGGCATTAATTTGTAGAACTCCACGGTAAAGAAAAATATATTATTATGATACCGTCTAGGACTAGGATGCGTTTGGATGGCAATTATCACCAATAATCCAAATATGAAAATCGTCAACAATATTTTTTTTTAAAGCGCCTACACGAATTCAATTAGTGCTAATATTTCTAATGATAGTTGCTATTTGAAATTTTGGTGGACAAAAAAACTAAATAATCGATCATAGGGCGCTGAAACATAATTTCACGTTAATATAATCAAGGGCTGTCGTTGTTCCCTGCACGGATGGCGTAGTGATTTAAGCGGTCGCCGTACCGCTTTCTACTGCGCTGAGTGTTGTGGGTTCGATCCCCACATGGAACAACACTTTGTGTGATATCCGAATTTTTGTTCTGGGTCTGGGTGTTCATTGTGTCCGTTTCGTGTCTGTTGGTGTCTGTTGTCTAATGTGGAGGTATCTTATTTAATTAAAATAAGATATATTTTTTTATTATATTTATTTATTTTAGATACACCAATCTCATTGTGTTTTCGATTTAATGCAAAATACGATCGAAGAATGCAAAGAACTAACAAGTGCTGCCATTGCAAAAAGTTTTATTCTACCTGTACACTTCATAATTTAGAGGGTATAGATAGAAGAAACTTATTATCCAAGTATCTCTACAATAGTATCATTTTTTGCAAACGTTTACTGTTTATTTGTATCTTCTTAAATTCTATTTTTTTTTTATGTGAAGCATGTAATGTCGCGGTTGAAACCACCTGTTGGCATGGCAACGCGTCCTACGTCATACGTCACCACTAAACAGATAAAACTTCTAATACGTTGTACGCATGTCTGCGCGACTGGGCGAACCTGTTCGCACTCATCTCGGCGGTGCAATGAATATATCTTTATTGTATAAACTGTGGTTTACTGTAGTATCTTAAATAAAAAATCATGTTTTTTTATTAAGAAGTGTACAAATTTTAGTTTAGATTACGCCATATTTATTTTCTTTTATTAACATGCCTTTTATGCATATTATCTGTACGATATAAATTTTTAACACGCCTCCGCGCCATTGACTGCATCAGTGGTGCATAGTTAACGTTTGTGACTGCTGTGCTGAGGTCTCGGGTTCGATACCCGGATCGGACCAAATGTTTGTGTAGTCAAAAAATTTTTGTTTCTGAATTTGGGTATTTTCTATGTATAATATGTATGTATTTACAAAAAAGTATATAAGTATTTCTATCAGTCAATCTAGGTTTTAATAGTACAAGCTCTGCTTAGTTGGTTAGATGTCTGAAATATTTATTTATTTATTTATTTAAAATCTGACCGAACATCATGAGAAGTTTAATTTTCCTTTTCAGCGAACCATCCGACCCACACGAGCAGCTCAACATGGTGAATCACCATCGAAAGATGAAAATGATGTTCAGGATAATTGTGAGTACAAATTTAACTTTAAAAAGCAGCTACATCAACAGCCTTTAATAGTCCACTGCTGGACACGGGCCTCTCCTTAGAAAGGAGGTTTTGGCCTACTATACCACGCTGGCCAGACGGGTTGGTATAGGGTTTGTGTCAAGTTTTCCTTCTTTTTGCAGTGCTGGTAACCCGAGTAGTTTTGCACCCTTAGTCGGCTCTTAAGACACCCACGTGATGAATTGGGGTAGTGACATTCCGTATTCCTAATCCGTTACTAATCTACACATTTTAAGGAATGTTGAATAATGTCTATCTTAAAAAAAAATGTTTTAATTATTTCAGAGGCAAGCAAGCTTATCTGCGGCGTTAAAAATGATAATAAGAGATGAAATAAGGCGCAAGCAACAAGCTCGTAACACACCGAAATTATTGCAGTTAGCCTCTATCATTGATCCAACAGGCATAGGTACAACACTGAAACACCTTTTTTGTTCCATATACAATACTCATGATACAAATCAGAGGTGACAAAACCTCAGTAATACGTCATGTTAAAGAAAACACTTAATTTTGCAGCGAAAGACTTGCCCCATGAAAAAATGATTGCATGCGCAGAAAAACTGCGAAAGAGATATCTAAAAGCCAAAAAAACTATGTGTTCATATTGCAAAGGACAAGGTACGTACATATATTTTATTTTTAATTTGCGTTAAGGTTTAAGCCTAGGACTTCAGGGACGATAACTACAAATACTGCCCATTAGTGATTGTTGCACTAGACTATCATGCCTAATTGAATGTATCCTCTTACTGTTTAAAGTGTAAACAATTGTTGGTAAGTAAATGAAGTAAACTAAAAAAGAAAAACTGTCTGCACAGATAGCTTAGTGTCGACCGCCTCGCCGCTTCCTACTGCGCTGAATGTTGTGGGTTCGATCCCCACATGGGATGACACTTTGTGTGATCCACAAATTGTCGTTCTGAGTCCGGGTGTTCTTTGTACCATTTATGTTTGTTCGTCAAGTCCCCCGTGACATAGGATAATATATTCCTAATGCGGGAGTTGTCATTTAAGAGAGAAGAGAAAAAAACAGAAGAAAGAAATAAAAATATATGTGTCAGCTCCGAATCACGACTCGAGTTTACTCCTTAAGAACAATTCGGCTGTACACAAGAATACAAGCTATACACACATATGTGAAAGGTGCGCACAAAAAATGTAACGAGGACATTCTATCACTAAATTTTACTCTATATATTTTTTTCATACCGGGCGCCTTAATTATAAATCGATTCTCAAGGAATAAACTCCAAAAATTGTATTCGAGGAGGAAATATCCACACCCTGAGATTATAAGCCCCAATTATAAGTTCCAAAAATAAACTTTTATGAATTTGCTAGAAAAGAAGAATCAAAGGTATATGCTTAAAACTCACTAGACATATATTATCCGTGTGGTGACGGATTAAGAATATGGAATGTCGCCACCCCTATTCATCGCGGTGGCGTAGGAGCCGACTAAGGGAGCAAACTACGCAAGATAACAGCACTGAAAAGAGAAGGAAAACTTGACACAAACCTTATACCAACCCGTCTGGCCAGCGTGGTATAGAAGGTATAAAATCTCCTTTTTAAGGAGAGGCCTATGTCCAGCAGTGAACTATTAAAGGCTGTTGATGTGATGATGTGACACTAGACATAAGTAACAAAGCTTTTTGTTGCAGCTGTCACAACTGTAGACACATCTTTTAAAGTGGACGGTCACGAGGAAGAAGTTCAACTGCAAGCTGTCATTGTAGATCTCAACAAACTAGAAGAAGCAGGTATTTCTCGACTTGAGGACATCTTAACCGTCAACTGAACCCGCCTTTGAAGGAGATTTTATATTTTAAAATAAAAAAAAATGTTTTAGAACTTCATGTTTTATACAACTTTACCTCTAAATACTGATAATTGTATTTGTGGAATATACTCTTTTAAACTCTCATTTTTTATTAAAATTATATATATATATATCCTCTAATTACACTAAAAACAACTTGTGCCACTATAGTTCATTTAATCTAATAGGTACCGTTTGACGTTACGTATTTTTTCAACTTTGTATTGGCGTAACTCACATAATTAAAATAAACTTTTCCGTAAAACCATGGAATTATGAAACTGTTTCTATTTTATCACAAGATGTACAGTTCTTAGTAACTAAATATTTATGGCGTAGTGGTTTAAGCGGTCGCCACGCCGCTCACTACTGCACTGAGTGTTGTAGGTCCGATCCCCACTCAGGACGACATTTTGTGTGATCCACAAATGGTTGTTCTAAGTATGGATGTTCTTTGTGTCCGCTTAATGTATTTTTGTAAAGGATATATTCCTAATGCTTAAGGTGTCTTTAAAAAATAATCATTAAATCTTTTCATTAAAGCAAAATAAACAATATATATAATTTACACTTCACTTCACTCACTTTGACCAATGTATTAAACTCGATAATTAAATAGTGGCATAACCCCAGTAACGTTCTCTTACCGTGTACACTGTACACTCCCACAACGGTGAGCGCAATATCTCTAATCTGTGGATGAGCGGTAATCAAGTCTCACCCAGCCATCAACCTCGGCAAATCTCATTTCAATTTTTATTTAATACTCAAAACGTAAATTATTACGCTCCAATTGACATTCAAAGTTAAGTTTACTTAAGTTTGTTTTCTGTTTTTTACTTAAACATTAGAACTGTTCATTAATTACTCAAACGACAATAGATTGTAACCTGTCAGAATTAGAAAAAATCTGTGTGAATTAGAAAAATTGTTTGATCAGATTTTTTTCAATGACAATAATGTTAAATTGATGTTTGCGCAAATTGACTGTACTTTGAGTTCTAAATAAAGTTTATGATTTTGACAAGATGGTAGATTTTTAATTACTGGCAATTAGAAAGTTCAGTTGATAAAATTGTCATTCTTATCAAATCACAACACAAGTGTCAACTACATGTCAAGACATTGTTTGTTTATTCATGTCAAAGACTTCCAAATGCAATGAGCATATATTTTTTTAGCTTTTATTTAGTTTATACGACCCTAATAATTGACAGTGTGACTTTTAATTTCCTGACACAAATACTCCTTCTTAATGCGAATTAGATACTTATCAAAACGATATAAGTCAATATAATATTTATGTGATCAAAATTCAAAATGACGAAAATAAACAACGAAGTTGATGACTCCAGAGAATCTAGAGGATTCTCTAAGGTATGTTTTTTTAGTATTTTAAGTCGGAAAAGTTAAAATTACGCATTAAAAAATACTTTGTTCATTGTTAAGTCAGTGGAAAGTATAGACAAAGAAATTTCTGTTCAGGTATCATGCAGCTTACCCGACGGATGTCTTAAAAAAATAGTTCGTATCTCCTTATTAATTATGCTTTACAAGTAAAAAAATTTAGTATTCAATTCAACTTAGACTGTCATTAAAGATCCATTCTTTTAATGGATCTTTAATGACATTCTGTGTTTTGCGATGTCCAATCTAACTTTATCTAATCTAAAACAACAATATCCTAAGGGATTAAAAATACTGAGATATGGTTGGCAAAGGCGTATTTGCAATTCTTTAATACAATATAATAGCATTAATTACCATAAATTGTATTTTTATTGCAGAATGTACCACACAAAGTTTTGTTTTAAATATTATAAAATAAAGTGCCCTACCATCTCAATATATATGTTTATCTGAACACACCAAACTCAGAAAGTATCTCACGGATTTTTGTTCAGTTTTAAGTAATAGATAGAGTGATTCACGAGGAACTTTTAGCTATATAATTAATAATTTAAATTACGTTACCCCTTCTTATAAATCATTTGCATTGCCGTATTCATTACAGAATATAACAGAGCTTGTTGAAAATTTCAAACTGATATAATATAGGATAATTTCATAATAACAATATGAATAACTTTAGAGGCCGTTAGTTCTTCTACTAAGGCCTTTCTTCTTCTTTCTTCAGTATCTATAAAGAAGGAAAAAATACCAACTAATAGAGCTGTCCGTGTGGTGACGGTGTTCATGTTGTGACGGATTATGTCCGTGTGGTGACGTATTAAGAATACAGAGTGTCACCACCCCTATTCATCCCGTGGGTATCGTAAGAGCCGACTAAGGGAAAAAAACTACGCAGAACAACAGCACTGCAGAGAGAAGGAAAACTTGACACAAACCCTATACCAACCCGTCTGGCCAGCGTGGTATAGTAGGCCAAAACCTCCTTTCTAAGGAGAGGCTTATGTCCAGCAGTTTACTATTAAAGGCTGTTGATGATTGATGATTGATGAGAGTAGTTTTTTAAAGATTAGTAATAGAGTTAAATGTTTATTACTGGCTTAAATAATTCAAAGTCTTTATCATAAGATAAAGAAATGGTGGTAGTGTAGATTTAAACCTTGTGATACTATATTTTAAGTAGGTAGATAATAGATATATGTTTGCTGTGGTAGTAGATTATTAATTTCCCGTTGTGAGTCATTTGCCTTATCAATTACTTCATAAAAGATTCTCGATTTATTTATACTGATGGTTATAGTTATTTAGGGGTATGTAAACCCTCTTAATAACGTGTAAAACGCATAAAAAAGTAACACAAAATAGCGATTATATATAGATAACAATTATGTAATGTGTATACACGTCAATACTAGTTTAAAAGAAAAGTGTCACAAATTTGGTTGTTTTCTAAAAAAATATTTACTTATTCGTATTTGTCAGGCACTTAAAGTGACACTATAGGATTTTCTCCAATAAAATAACTACTAAAAATAGGTATTATAACGGGAGGTCTACTCTTTCATTTCAAATGATAAAAAAAAACTATTTTAATTATAAATTATTAAATTATAATAAATATTTCTGATAGAACTGCAGTTTCAGATCATAGTTCAATGATCTTCAAAGCAATCTCGTCTCAGACCTGCATCTGCATTTATAGGTTTTCTGTTTAATTTTCAACTAACTTATAATTAAGGAGGAATAATCAGTGTTGCCAACCTAGTGGATTTCCACTAAAACTGCTGATTTAGTAGCGAAATTTTGCTTTTCGTGGCTAGTAGTAATACTAAGATTGTAGAGGACTTAGGAAATGCTGTTGAAAGATGAACTCTGAGAACTGTTTGTGTATGCAAACCTCAAGAACGTTTGGTAGGAAAGGAATAATGGGGATTGGATATAAGTGATCAGGAAGAGAAGGATTACTACTTTTAGGTAATGAGACGATGTAGGCTTTCTGCCAGAGAGAGGTTTCGGAGTCGAGAAAGAAGTCAATAATATGGGCTACAACTTTGAGGATGTAATCAAGGATGATAACCATCTACCTAGGGCTTGGAAACCATTGCGTTACAACGAACAGATGTGATGAACAGAAGGCACAGGAGAAAATTCAAAGTGACAATATTGGGTGTAGGCCTAGTGATATAATTTAAGGTCCAACTTTATGATCTCGTTGAGTAGCAGAAGAGAAATGTGGATTGATATAATTAAAACCAATGAAACTGGGTCCGTTGTTGTCTACCAATGCCCAACGTGTTAAGGAACTTCCGTATACTATAGGTGCAATCGTTGGTCGTCAAAGAGGCCCAAGGGACTTCGACATTTGAGGAATTAGCGATTTTTGGTAATACTCTCTTAATACTGCCTCATTTTAATGCCGATGTTGAGTTGAGAGACTATAGATTTAAACAGAAGAATAATAATAATATTTTCGGACATCTTACACACAACGCCATCTAGTTTCAAACTAAGCAGAGCTTGTACTATGAAGGCTAGAAGAAGACTTATATACTTACATACTTTTTTTTGTGAATACATATCGTATCATATCATTCAGACTATACATAGAAAACACCTAAACTCTGAAAAAAATATTTGCAGATCATACATATATTTGGTCCGACCCGGGCATCGAACCCGAGACCTCAGCACAGCAGTCGCATACATACGCTACCACTTCACCATCTATCTAATCAATTGAATAGAATGAAGTTAAATCTTTTATTAAGTTAAGAATTCGCTGTTGTTTGAAGTTGGAAGGCGAATGCTGCAACAACTATGAAATTCCAATAAACATTGTAAAACAAATCGGTACCAAAGAATCGTATTAACCTGGAACCGACGAGATGGTGCTGGCAAAAATTATAAGTCAGTCAGTCAAGTAAAGGAAACTAGTTATTAATATACTTATGATTTTCTTTCGTAATTACTAAAAAAAATGTTTAGTGGGCAATTTAGTGCCTATTAGAGAAGGGTCGTTTTTCGTTAGTGGTTTTCTGGTATTTGTAGATGTCGAATCTGGTGAAGAATTCATTTAACTGTTGGCAGCACTGAGAATAATTTTCTACTTACGTCCAAACAACCACAGCCACAGATTATATAATTATATAGACGAGGCATGTAAACCGAACGTTTTCTTTTTGCATTTTTAAAATATCCCTTTCATAGAGGCGATATCGAAGTATTACTTTGAGACAGCTTAAGATCGTGCTAAAGCTACATGATACCTGCTATTTCAGTTTATAATTAAATTATTTTTGTTACTTAGGGCTTAAAACCTAAGTTTAACAAATTATTATTATTATTGGGAGCTGGTAGGTCCTCTGCTAACTTCATACACTCAGTGAAAGCAACAAACGAATTTCTGAACACTGGACACCTGTGTTATCTCTCCGGTCGTGTAGCCCATACGTGGGCAGCATGTACTATATGTCCTACACTATCTTATTTCGGGATTGATTTTACAGCTTGACATGGGTGAGCACGGTGGTGCGACGAGCGACGATGATGAACGAGCCGAAAAACCCTGGCATCGGGTTAATTTCATTCATTATTTGCTTTTTATAACCACGCCGAGTCTTGCAATGATAAAATTTGTGAGACTCGGTGATTATTATTTGCAAGACTTGATATCAGATTTTAAATAAAATGGCGTTGTCTTATTTGGAGCATAGGATTTGGGGAAAAGAAAATCCTGTCGATTACATCTAGGTATATTATAAATAAAGCCTCAACTGACAGCTAGTATAAAAAAACAGCTATGTGAGTTGTAAATTATCTCAAACAAGAGGTTTTTCTACCTCTGACAGTTATTATACGAGTAAATATGTTAATGAATATGTCTGATTTTTGTGTTTTTAAATGTTGATCAGATATGTTGAGCTCCTACAAATTGTTTTTTTATACCTATCAAGTCTTGCAAAACATCTTGGCATGTGCATGCATTTTACTTCATTTCCATGCTTCAACATGCTCTTCTTCCCATAGCTACACCATGAATAAATGTTACGATAATATTCATAAAGCATACCTAAATATTATGTCACTTTATGATCCTTTTAGTCCTTAATAACGCTCATACTGGCACACATCAAAACAATGTTGTGGTATATTTAATAGTGCCATTGTATCTATCCATGAGTTTGTTTGCCCTTTCTTCTCATGAGGCTCAACCCCTTGGAAACGGGCAGTTGTAGATCGGCACAGGCGTATCATACATTTTGTATGGGTTTGCTTTTTGTTAAATTTATTTGCTTACTATTTGACAAAACAGAGATTGTTACTTTTGTGTGTGTTGATCTATGACTTTAGAGTCTACATAAAAGACAATTTGAAACAATTTTGTCAATTTTATGAAATAAAGAGAGTTTGAGTTTGATCACAAAACCACCTCAACTATTCACTAAATTTTTAATAATTACACCATTGAAATATCTAGATAGGTTCTCAACGCCGTAAAAGCGTCGAAAAAAAAATGTTCGACTGTTGGCAATTAAGTTTTTTCCGCTGTTGATGTGGGTGTCATGTGTGTTGTTATTGTGGTTTTTTTTAAAGACAACTCCCGCCTTAGGAATATATCAAACACACATGAAACGGACACAAAGAACACCCAGACTCAGAACAACAATTTGTGAAAAAAACAGTGTCGTCTCATGTGGGTTTGTTTTAGTTGTTGTGTAGTGCGAAACTCTATCTAAACAAGTAAATGATTTAAGGCTGCATCATAATATTTGATCATTAGAACACGCTTTTCACTTAGAAGTACTCGTTGTCTATCCATATAATATACATAGGTATATTATTCTCGATAAAATTAAATATTTTGGGCTAAACAGTAACTGTTAGTTATCTTTATCAAGTATTAGGTAGACTATACGTTTTTTTACCACCGACCAAAGGATATCCATTTTGATTGTCAAATATATTTTCCAAAGATATTTGATAATCAAAATGGACTTCACGGGTGGCGTAGTGGTTTAAACGGTCGCCACGCGGCTTTTAGTGTTGTGGGTTCAAACCCCACATGGGACAACGCTTTGTGTGATCCACAAATTGTTGTTCTGAGTCTGGGTGTACTTTATGTCCGTTTCATGTATGTTTGTAAAGTCCCCCGCGACACAAAATTTATTCCTAGTGCGTAAAAAGATAAAAATTGACATTGACGAACTTAAAAAAACACACATATAACATAGGTACTTATAAACCCTTATACATATGAGCCCTTTCTAAAATGGAATCTACGTCATTTTATAGTTGGTGTGAATTGTAGTTTTTTTTTTAATTCTATAATTTTAGGTTGCAAAGCAGTTCAGTAAGAAAGGTGAACATTTTAATGAACCTGTGGGATCAGTAAGTTTTAAATACATTGGAGTTTATTGGGTCGTGATGTCATTCGGCTTTTTTGTGTAATAATAAAATTAAAACGGCTATCCCATTATAGTAATAGTAAGGGTAGTAGGGTTTTTTGAAATATCCGTGGTTTTTGGGCGCTTGGATTTAAAACAGATTACTTTTAACCTGTTACAATAAGATTTATGTTCTTTGAGTATATTTTAAGGGTGTAAAATAGTTATGTTTCTTTTGTTGTCAATTTCATATGTATGCAAATACTAATAAAAAAAGTAGTAAGTAGTTGAACAAAACATTATCGTTTCTAAGGAAGCAATGGTCTGTTAAAGGCTATTGATGATTATCAAATAGTAGGAATATAAAAGAACAAGCGAGCTTTACAGAAGTTGTACTACTTGTACGATCTGACGGCCAACTCTAGCACCGCGCTCTCATTGGTCAATACAAATAGCGCACGCTTTCCCAGCTTCCTGTTACATATTTAAGTTTTTTTTCATGAACACAGTTTCACAGAATGAAAAGAGAAATAAGAAATATCCATAGAACAAGTTAAAAATAAAAGTTATGACGTATGATTATGATTAAATCCACATTTTGACGTAATTTACTTGTATGTTTATTGCCTTTGAAATACAATGGTACTGAGTTGTTATTTACCTATTCTCTTCACATCGATTCACCATTATTAAATCTTATCACCCTTTTAATAATCTCAATTATTTTCATTTATAAGTTCTTCCACGATTCTTCTTGACACAATTAAATAGTAATTTTCTTTGAAATCTAACATAGTACGGCACGGAACATAGAACACACACACACACATACACACACACACACACACACAGTAATTTTGCACTAACCCTCATTTTCTATTTTTAATTTTATTATTGATTATTAATCTGTGGGATTTGGGCACTAAGGAATATTTTAGATTTAACTCTAATGCATGAGTCTGTCATAATATATAATATGTTTGTGTGCTGTATTGATATTGCTTTTTTGTATGTGTTTTAAGTTGCTGACAAAGACCTAGTAGAAGTAAGGTTGAAATACAATCGAATACTTACTTTATTTGCATAACACGGGTACATAAATGTGTAAAAAAATATATAAATATTGCTTTACTTATTACGGAGCAAACGGAAAATATTCCCGTATTTCTTTTCCAAAAAAAAATCTTTTCAAAATCGGTTCCTGAAGTAACAAACATAAAACTCACAAACTCCTCTGCTTTTGAAATCGATTAAATTCACAGATGGGCGGTATTTGATGTAAATATTAACAAACCCATTGGCAGCTGGGCAAAAGTTTCTATTTTTATACATTTGGCACCTGCCACCGGGGTTATAAGATCTGCCGAGATCCAATATGTTGAGTTATCTAACATCTACAGTTCAATATTTTTTTTTTAATAAAAATTCAGTTCCTACCTACTATCAATCTCACAAATGTCACAAAAGGTATTCTCGTAGTAAAATAGTAAAGTATTGCTGAGACTAGTAGAATACTTATTGAAATTTCAGTCACCACGATATAACCACATTACACTCACCGTTAGATGTTTAATGCCTTGTTTAAATGCGTGCCGAGGCTCGGCAAACGTCTACAAGCGCCAGGTCATTATAAACGCTTGGATGCCATTTACACGCTTGCGAGTGTGCTATTGTGTTCCGGACAGGCAAACACAGCACACGTGGACATATTTTTATTCAAAATATAAACGTGCATTATCTAACCCTACTGCTCAACTAAACTGCTCAATCAGTAGTGCATTGAGACTTAATGTTGATTCCCGACTGCTCAACTACAATATTTGTAGTATCAAATTGAGCAGTAGGGAACAAGCACGCGCCAACGTTTAAATACGTCGCAAACGCTTGCCGCGAGCTCCCTTTGATCTGTGTTCAAAAACCGACACTAGTCCCGATCGACGACGAGCACACGCGAGCTCGAGAGCCCGTAAACGGCCCATAATATTTTACCACGAGAATACCTTGTGAGATATATTCTCTACTACATGTATATATATGTATATATATCTCGTGAGATCGAGAATAGATCGGAACTGACCTGGAATGTAAGACTTATCTTTCACTTACTTGTTGTGTGAAACTCTTAATAAATCTTCATAAAAAATGTTCGATTTCTTCAATTATGATTTACATTTTTAGGTTCCTAGTGTTGTACTGATATTAGTACTCGGAGTATATCTGTTGCTTGGGTTCTTGACGCAACTCGTAGAAGATGATATGCCCAGTGTTGTTAAGATTTCTTCTCTGGACAGAGATGTAAGTATATTTTTATTAAATGTGATTTTACATGATTATTTTTTATTTCGTGCTTCTTACTTTGAAAATGACGAACTTCTAAACAACCAATCCCTTATTTTAGCCAATTAAGGGTGAAATTTCTAAAAACCCTTTCTTAGTGGGTACGTACAATATAAAAAGCATTAGAAAATAAACACTACTACCAAAAAATCGAAGTTTTATACTTTCCAACATCCATTTTGCACCCTTAGGGGTGGAATTTTTGAGAATTCTTTCTTAGTGCACACCTAAAGAATCTAAGGAACATTTGTGCAAAATTTCATACTTCTAGACCCAGAGTTTTAGCTGTGCGTTGACCAATCAGTCAGTGAATCAGTCTGTCAGTTATATAGATTTAATTTGATGGGACTGTTTGTCTATAGTCCATCAACGTCGTGCGCGACCGTCCTGCGGGGTGACAGATGGTGGCGGGGACGAGGGACTCAAGATGTCAGCGGGTAGCGGGGAAGGGAAACGCTGTAGCCGTGTGCTAGAATGACGCGCTACCTCGCCCCCGCCACTGTCTGTCACCCCGCGAGACGGGCGGAGATTGCCGGGTTATAGTGGTCAGAAGTCGTGGGTGCGTTTCCTATCCAGGACAAAAATATTTGGAAAGCATGGATATTTTTGTGGATATATGGAATGTTGGGGTGTAGTTTATCTGTAATATGTATGTATTTAGAAGCATATAGGTATGTTTATCGTCGGGTTATCATAGTACAAGCTCTGTCTAGTTTGGGACCAAATGGCCTTGTGTGGGATATGTTAAGTTATTATTATTAAAAAATAAATTCTTGCACAATAATAAATCACATCACATCAACAGCCTTCAATAGTCTACTGCTCTACATAGGCCTCTCCTTAGAAAATAGGTTTTGGCCTATTATACCACACTGGCCAGACGAGTTGGTATAGGGTTTGTGTCAAGTTTTCCTTCTCTCTGCAGTGCTGTTGTTCTGCGTAGTTTTCTCCCTTAGTCGCCTTTTACGTCACCCACGGGATGAATAGGGGTGGTGACACTCTGTATTCTTAATCCGTCACCACACGGACAATAATAAATACAGAGACTTTTACATATAATCTCTTACAGACTTCTGACAGATTTAGTGAGGAGTCAGCTCTGCGTTATCTGGGCAAGATCTTAGGAGATAAACCGAGGGTATCAGGCACCAAATACCACTTTGTGAAGACCCGCGATATGAAAAGTTTGGTGGATGACATCGCTGCGAGTGCGACCATAAAAGTCGAAACTGACTGGCAGATGGTTACCGGTGAGTAGTATAATTTACCTTGCTTCTCCCCTCTTCCTCCCCTTACTATCTCCTTTCCTATTCTCCTCTCTCTAACTCTTATACAGTCTTCTTTCTTCTCGTATACACCCGCTCTTCCCTCTCTCTTTCTCTCAGTCTGCCCTCATTCTCTTTCTTTCCTTTTCTGTCTCTAGCATTTCCTAATTCAGTTCGTACTCTCATTCTCCTTTCTATACATACATCTTCAATTATTCCAAAGACAACTAAAACAAGACTTTAAAGTTTCGTATTAAAGTTTAATTTCGTTACTCACGTCATTTCAGGTGACTACTTTCTGAAGAGTTCTGCACCGTTTTTTAACTTCTACCACAATTGCTCGAACATCATCGCGTTGTTGGAAGGAGACAGCGGTTACCACAGCGATGGATCTTTAGGCAGCTCCATACTTGTGAACTGCCACTACGATTCTGTACCCTTTGCTATGGGTAAGAAGAATTATTTTACATTTTGTATCTGTCCGTGTAGTGACGGATTAAGAATACGGAATGTCACCACCCCGATTCATCCCGTGGGTGTCGTAAGAGCCGACTTAGGGCGCAAAGCAGCGCAGTACACCAGCACTGGAAAAAGAAGGGAAACTTGACACAAACCCTATATCAACCCGTCTGGCCAGCGTGGTATAGTAGGCCAAAACCTCCTTTATAAGGAGAGGCTTATGTCCAGCAGTGGACTATTAAAGGATGATGATGATGATCTGATCTTACAATAGAAAGAAACATGATAATTAACTGTGATCGATTCTAAAACTTGGAAGTGGACTTCTCTGGTTGAATTGAGATAGGTGAAAGAACTCCATACAGTATATAGTACAGTATACAGTAATGCTTCAGCACAAATGGGCCAGCTCGACCTGAGTCTTAGGGTGCACAGAAAACCGGTGTTAGCATCGCATTTCATTAAGTGACTTAGGTTAGGACATAACCACTCCATCGGTGGGATCCGAGGGGATTTTCGCACAGGAAAAGAAAGGAGTGGAAGCCATTCAAACGTTGACACTTCTGACTCTGAGTTGCAGGTATTAATGAGTGGAGGTAGGCACTTATCATCAGGTTACCCCTTTTGCTCATCAGACCATTATACTATAAAAAAAGTACCAGAAAAAAAAGGTAAATTTCAGTAAGAAAAATGGACAGGCTGAGGAATCTTAGGTTAGGGATACCTCAAGTCTTGGACTGGAGAGCGGGGAGACCAGTTTCATGTTCTCGCATGTAAGTGCTATGATCGGCGAAGTCACTGAGTCAGGGACTGCAATTAACCATACATAAGTTCTATTCCCAGAACAAGACTTTTATTTTGGTGTTGAGAGGTGGACTGTGTGAGAAAAGGAGTGAAAAGATAAATGAAAGAAGAGAATGGAAGAAATAAAAAAATACTTGCGCCAACCTCAACTTAAATTGAGACAAGGGTTGGCAGGTGATGAAGAAGTTCTATTCACAGAATCCATAAGAGCACAGAGTTCCCATACCGCAAAAACTATAATTCTATTCTATTAGCTTTTATAATTTCATCCTTTATATGTGACAGGAGCATCAGATAACGGCATTTTCTGCGCCGCAATGGCAGAAACTCTCTCAAGATTATCAAAAAGAAGAACCAAACTGAAACACAACGTTATATTCTTATTTAATGGCGCTGAAGAGAATCCTTTACAGGTAAGAAAATATACACATATTTTTGTAAAATTGAGAATTTGTGGCTCCTGAGTTGCAGGCGTTCATGGGCGGTGGTAGTCACTTTCCATCAGGTGAGCCGTCTGTTCGTTTGCTTACATTATATCGAATAGAACTTAAAAGTTTATTGGTAGAATAAGTACATAGCTAATATTTTTAAACAATATTTGTTGTATGTAAGTAATAATTTAAAATCTATACTGCAAATGGTACAAATTATAACAAAAATTAATAACTTAATTTATGAAAAGCTACTATTAAAGAAAATTATGATGTTAAAAATTTTGGTTTAAGCGCTCGTATTTACTTAGTTTAAAAATTTTCAACTGGACGAATGGCGTAGTGGTTTAAGCGGTCGCCACGCCACTTACTACCACGCTGAGTGTTGTGGGTTCGATCCCCACATGGGACGACACTGTGTGATCCACAAATTGTTGTTCTGAGTCTGGGTGTTCTTTGTGTCCGTTTCATGCGTGTTAGTAAAGTCCCCCGCGACACAAGATATATTCCTAATGCGGCAGTTGTCTTTTTTTTAATTTAAAAAAAAAATCATTCAGATCAAGGTATTTAATTTCCTTAGTTATCTAAACAGGTAAATCTCGCGATAAGCTTTTATATCATATAAATTACAATAAGTGGTTAGTAACAGTTTATTTTATTCTTTTTAGTGTATTTAAATAAAAGTTTCTTTTTAAAAAGGTTCCTTTAATTTATTATTTACTTTTTAGCTATCGCTGAACAGTTCCTCAATTCTGATATTTTATGTTAACGCTAAGCCACTGTCATTTCATTGAGATGACATTGAAATCGGTCAAAATATCAGTGCATTGTCATCCAAACTAAACGTGTACACAACATTTATATCAACCGGTTGAAGATATCTACTTCAAAATTGAGTTGCAAGATTATACCCGAACAAACATAGTTACATGCGTACACCCATACATACAAGTTAAATAAAAGCTTGTAATGAAAATTGAATAATCTCTTCGAACTGTGACCTTTCAACTCACATCAACAGCCTTTAATAGTCCACTACTGAACATAGGCCTCTCCTTAGAAAGGAGGTTTTGACCTACTATACGACGCTGGCCAGACGGATTGGTATAGGGTTTATGTCAAGTTTTCCTTCTCTCTCCAGTGCTATTGTCCTGCGTGGTTTGCTCCCTTAGTCGCCTTTTACGACACCCACGGGATGAATAGGGGTGGTGACACTCTGTATTCTTAATCCGTCACCACACGGACCATTCGAACTGTGTCGAACTGTGACCTTTAAATAATAATAATAATAAATCTCTATCAGGTATCTTAGGCCTATACAAATAGTTATATATACAAAAATTTAGAATAGAGATAGAGATGGAGATAGACATTTTAATAAGCTATAAATAAAAATGCTCTTTCGAAATTAAACAGACATCCCCAGCAAAATTTAACAGCATGGCAATAAAATGTAAAAATGTGTTACTTTCAGGCGAGCCACGCCTTCCTCAGTCACCCCTGGTCTCGAGGAGCTGTGGCCCTCATAAACTTGGATTCTGCGGGGATGAATGGAAAACCTATGGTATTTCAGGTATGGAAACATAATAGGCGTAAATAGTAATATCTATGGTAAAGAAAAATAAACAGGAGACATTGACCTAAAACGCAGTTAGTTTATGGTAATTTTTTGTCTTCTTTGCTGTTCTGTGATAAACTTAGTTAAATATTTATAATTATACCCAGACACAGATCGTGACCAATACACAGTAGAATAAATTTATAGGAAAAGTGGGATTTTGATTGGCAACAGACTCCTCGACCCCGCAGTGGCACCGCGTTACAATCAATTCTCGGCTCCATAGGACCTTAGCGTGACGTTAAACGGTTTGACGGGCCTGTTAGTCTAGTGGCTAGTGACCCTGACTGCTCAGCCGGAGGTCGTGGGTTCGATTCCCACCCAGGACAAATACTGTGTTATAAGCACGGTAATTTGTTCTGTGTTTGAGTGTAATTTATCTATAATATGTATGTATTTAAAAATATATATTATGTTTATCAGCAGTCTGGCTCCGCCTAGTTTGGGATCAGACGGCTGCGTGTGAGATGTGTGAGATATTATATTATATATTATAAAAGAGTCGCGAGAATTGGGTTTTTTTTATCTAACAGTTTTATAGATTGAGCTCACAAAAACAAAAACTTAAAGTGTCCAATCTGTCGAACGGGTTATCGTCTGCGGTATTTCCGTACCAATACGACTGTCAAACCTTCAAGAAAAGAGCGTACTCCTTCCTAACAGGTCGGCAACGCGTTTGTGACTCCTGAATTTCAGACGTTCATGGGCGGCGATGGTCACTTTCCATCAGGTGACCCCGTCTGCTCGTGTGCCTTGAAGGAGCATTAAATAAAAGTGTTTGAAGAATGAAAGTTTTAATTCGTAATAACTTTTGATCAGGTGACAGACCCTAGGGTCATCAGCGCGTACAGTCGTACAGCAAGCAGGCCAGCTGCCCAAGGGCTGGCTGAGTTCCTGTTCACAGCAGGAGTTATTCGTTCCGACACGGACTTTAGGGTATTCAGAGATTTTGGGAATATTCACGGTATGTTTTATATGTAAATATAATGTTATGCTTTAAGGGCTTTTGTAACAAAAACTTATAGCTACGAAATACACGAGTTGATACTTAAACAAGTAGGAATTAAGAAAAAAAAGAATAGACTTTTAAATGAGGGGGTCATCCATAAATTACGTAACATGACGTTTACACAAAGAGAAAATCATAATAAAAAGAATTTTATTCTGTCTATGGCTACGTATAGTAGAAGAGACTTACAACAAACTTGAATAGTAAGAATAGAAATTATACTTATAGAAAAATACGTCGATATGAGTGAAATACGATCTTTAGCCACTTCAAGGAAGAAGCGTTGATATTCTCTAGATAAATTGTCTGTCCTCCTCGGGAACGCTCTGCCTTTGGAAATCAGGATAGGATTCATCACATCCCTAAAGTTTTATATAGTGTATTATATGTACATATATGTATGTATGTAACTCAGCAAGTATATGAGTATGTGTATCTCTGTCACCCTGGTTCTGTCTATATCCTTTATTATTATTATCTCGTTACATATAAAACTTAATTTCCAGTGCACCTACTCAGACATTACTACACCCAAAGGTAGACTGGGACAAAATGCCTGTGGCATGAAGTCCGCCATTGTACAATGAATTGTTGTTCGTGCAAAAAGAATAAAAATTAAACAAATTGGGGTATATTTCTGTTTTGCGTAACTATACCCTAATAAAAAATGATTTGATTCCCTAGGGTTGACGTCCTTCCCTCTGCAGTGCTGTTGTTCTGCGTAGTTTTTTTTTCCCTTAGTCGGCTCTTACGACACCCACGGGATGAATAGGGCTGACCCAGGATATGAAGATGAATTTCTTTTATGTGAAGAAGCTCTGCAAAAGATATTCCGAAAGTTCTACTAAACTATAAATTATTTATAATTTGATCCAATTTATTTCCCCAGGTATCGACATAGCGTTCACCAAAATGGGTCACGTGTACCACACCCGGAACGACGCGGTCGAGCTCATCAGACCAGGGGTGGTTCAGAACGCCGGGGATATGCTGCTGGGGCTCGTCACGCGGGTCGCTGATCTTGAAAATATCGGAGAGAAGGTGCTTTGTCTAACAGCTTTAGTATCATAATTTTTGAGGGGGCTGTTGGTCCAACACCAGGGACTTCCTTTCTAGGGTATACCTGGTTCCCCAGCTATTAGTACCCGGCGACGGCGTGCGGTTTTAGTCGGTTCGTGTCCGACATGCCACCGACAGGTGGTATCCGAGGGGATCTCCGCACGGAAAAAAAAAAAAAAAAAAAAAAAAAAGGGGGCTGTTGGTCCAGTAGGTAGTGATCCTGACTGCTAAGCCAGCGGTTGTGGGTTTCCCACCCGAGACAAACAATTATGTGATGAGCACGATCATTTGTTCTGTGTCTGAGTGTTATTTTGCTTACCATCAGGTGACCCGTATGCTCATTTGCCCCTTTAGCCATAAAAAAAGACGTGTGAGATGTGTGAGGCTATATATTTTATTATGATGTACTTTATGGCATAGCTTATAGCTTTTAATTTTACAAGGTTTTCTTAACACCTAGATGAGAAATGAATCTTTTGTATGAATTGAAACAAAATTTACTTACGAGATTAAATAGTTTTAAAATAATTATATTTACTGATGTTCACACAGTATCATATAAAGTATATAGTTGAGAATAGACTACAAAATAAAAATGCGACGAATTTACCAGAGACTATACCATAGATAAACATTACAGATAGTACAAATTTTAACACAATCCAATCTAAACCGAACAAATAAGGGATAACACCGTCAGATATTCTTCTATATATAATACTAGCTGACCCGCGCAACTTCGTCTGCGTCTCTCAATAGTAATAAATTTTCTCCGTTTTTGAAACATTCTTCATTGGTGCTCCGCTCCTATTGGTCTTAGCGTGATGATATATAGCCTATAGCCTTCCTCGATAAATGGGCTATCTAAAACTGAAAGAATTTTTCAAATCGGACCAGTAGTTCCTGAGATTAGCGCGTTCAAACAAACAAACTCTTCAGCTTTATAATATTAGTATAGATCAATGATTATGTTATAAAAGTGTTTTTTCATTTACACTTTAAATTACGCAACTGAAAAGTTACGTTCTTCTAATAACCTCCTTCTTCGTCCTTCTCATAATTCTAGTATTCTTCATTAATTCTTCTTTCGCAGTCCAAGTCATAAATCTCTGGAACGCAGGTACCCACTCGAAATCAGGATGTTTACTTACCGATTTACTCTTAAACTGAAGTTCCCAAGCTCTATAGGGAGTTGTTGATGAAGTCATCTATAAATCAAATCATGTATAATGTTTTAAAATAAAACGTTTTTATTATTATTTATATTTAACTGTATGATAACTGGTCTGTACTGGCTGACTGTATGATAACTGGTCCGTGTGGTGACGGATTAAGAATACGGAGTGTCACCACCCCTATTCATCCCGTGGGTGTCGTAAGAGACGCCTAAGGGAAAAAACTAAGCAGGACAACAGCACTGCAGAGAGAAGGAAAACTTGACACAAACCCTATACCAATCCGTCTGGCCAGCGTGGTATAGTAGGCCAAAACCTCCTTTCTAAGGAGAGGCTTATGTCCAGCAGTGGACTATTAAAGGCTGTTGATGAACTGTATGATAAGATTTATAAAATGATTTAACCCTATATTCCTAAAATATTATGTGTTGCATTTTATATAAGTCTTATTTTCATTAGATTTCTCCTTTTCTATTAGAAATCGCCTGCTGTTTTGAGGTAATATAAAGGAACTAGGTTTTGCCTAAAAAGTTGCCTATGTTACTTGCTGATTTTACGAGCTCGTACATGATTTGATGACTCTACACTTTACAATATATATGTGGAGGAACGGGTGTCATGTCCCTCCAACACAAAGGGAGGATCCTCCGACCAGGCGAGGTGATAATGCCTGGCGGGCCGAGGCCCAACGGTTGATGTTGGGAAGTTGTATATATGCTAATCGGCGAGGGAATTCTTCATATCGCGATACAGGATTAGCAATTTTTATTAGTAGTTACTCCGTAGTTCGGTGTGTCTTCATTAGATGGCGCTGTAGTATGTTTCTGTTTCTTTGTATGTGGGAGTCTCCACATACATATAGAATAATACACGTTTCACAACGTGCGTGCAATATCGATAGCTGGACTCAACACACGACGCGTGGTAGTAGAAAATCCCTGATTAGGTAAATTTGTAATAATTATCTCAGTAAAAATAAAGCGGGTTCCGCGTTAACTAAAGCACATTCTTATTTTATCTGAACATCACCTGCGCCACTGCTCCAACAGCTATCTGATATCACTGTACCCTGGTAATGTACCTTTCTATTGATGAATGAATTCTTAAAATCGGTTTAGTGGTTTAGACGTGAAAGCGTTACAAACAAACTCACTTCATATTTATAATATAAGTAAGGAAGTATGGATACCAACCCCTCAACCTCTTGCTTGGTTTCCAGATGAGGCCGACTGCTGCGGTGTACTTCGACTACCTCAACGCGTTCATGGTGACGTACTCGTACACCGCCGCGTACGTAGTCGACGTGCTCGTCGTACTCGCCGGACTTGCTTCTGTTTACTATTATCTGTGGCTCGTCGGCGCCAGTGAGTACTGCAAACGTTACCCTTTAAACTTAGTCACTAGCCAATTGGACTTACGCGGGGATACCCAAACTATTTCGGGCAAAAGACCCCTTTTGTAAAATTAACTGATAGATTAGACCCCATTACTGCACACTTATCGACTGGTTGTGTTTTTAAAAAGTACAACAATGATACTTCCTACCAAAATATTAGTTATTCTTATAACAAATTGGTACACGTAACACAACTAATACAGTATCTTGAAAGTTTCAAAAAGAATTATATTAATTAATAGGGGTAGACTTTTAGCCCTCTTCGAACCCCAAATCAGTTTTCGTTTCTGTCCAGGGGTCAACAGAATGGGGAAACCGATTTCGTCTACGAGGGGTCGATATCGACCACTTTGGGAATCCCTGGTCTAGCGGTTAGTGACGCTGACTGCTCAACCAGAGGTCGTGGGTTCGATTCACCTCCAGCACAAAAAATGTGTGATGAGCATGATCTTTTTTTTAAATTATTATTAATTCATTCAAAGTTTTCAATTTTCATTCAAACTTCTATAAGATACATTGATATACATAACAGTTCCTAAGCAACGAAGGTTCAGAAGAAATGGTCGCACTTTAGGTTTAAAGTTCATTGTTTTGTATCTGGGTGAAATTTATCTAAAATATACATGTGTTTAAAATATATAAATATATTTATCAGCAGTCTGGTTACCATAGCACAGTCTCTGCCTAGTTTGGGATCAGACAGACGTGTGTGAGATGTGTCTAGTTATTATTATTATTAGTATGTATGGTACCTTTGACTAAACAACTTGGCCTAAAATCTTAGGTTAATAGTGTTTTGACGACAAATAAAATTAGTTTTGAAAGTAAAATTACTTGTAGCTGAATAAAATGTATATAAAAACAACTTCCATTGTAACTGAAAAAAATACTTAAAAAAAGAGATAAAAAATGTCATTAACTACATTGTCTGATTTAGAATTTGAATGCAACATCTAGGTTCATATAAGTACTAAGAACACCTAATTGTACATGGTCAATATAATCCCCTGTTTCAGGAGTATCATCCCTCAAGGAGTTATCGTTAGCGGCAGTGAGTCGGCTGCTGTCCATGGTGGCGGGGGCCGCGGTCGGCGCTTTGTTTGTAGTCATCATGGTCGCCACCACTACACAGATGAGGTGAATAAAACCACTGTCATATATTCTTCACAGCTCAGAGATCCATTAATGTCAATGCATCGACCACCTCAAGCAAAAGTAGTCCTTCTGTGTGGAATAAATAAGGCATATAATAGACTGCGCGTGATATATATATATAGATGTTGCCGTATAAACCATTTTGTACTTTATTATATGAACACTAGAGTCGCTCTTTATTTATATGATCTCTAAGTGGACTTTCTGTACGTTATTTGAGAATTAGCGTTTTTTTTAAATATCACAGCGTGGAATACAATGATGTTGATTATGTATTGCAGGTACCTGTCTAGAGCGTGGCTGGTGGTGCCGCTGTACTGGATCCCATACCTCATCGCGGCTATCGTCACATCTCATGCTTTCGACATGTGGAGATGGAAAAAAGTGAGTTTTAATCTTGGTATTACTATCTTTTTTTCAATTGTATACTGAGGGCGTATTTTAGTAAGCAATTGATTCCGGTTCTGTATCGTCCCAATGATTTAATATCATTTTCATAATGTTTAAATGCAACCATCCGTATTGTGACGGATTAAGAATACCGAGTGTCACCACCCCTATTCATATCGTGGGTGTCGTAAAAGCCGACTAAGGGAGAAAACTAAGCAGGACAACAGCACTACGAAGGGAAGAAAAACCTGACACAAACCCTATACCAACCTGTCTGGCCAGCGTGGTATAGTAGGCCAAATCTCCTTTCTAAGGAGAGTCTTATGTCCAACTGGACTATTACAGGATATTTTTTTTTGGGAAAATACAATATTCAGACTACACAAAAAAAAGAATATAGAAATTTAAAATGATGTTATTAACAAAGTCTGGTTATTTTTTTAAGACGTAATCGATGACAGGTGCGTTTCCGAAATCTAATCTAAATCCAAAATTTAATTTAAAATATTAAGGGTTTGTAGCTGGGTAAAGGGAGTCTTCAATTCTTGGATAAGAATCTAGGATGAAACTGCAGTAGATCGAAAAAACCTGGGTCGAGTATACCTACTTGGGATTGGAGAGGACACCAGGGCTTCGACCATCAGTTGCTATATTTTTTTTATTTGTTTACAGTCAGGCCTCTCTCGCTCTCTCCGCATGCTCCAGGCGATGGCATCTACGCGACTCCTTCTCTCCGTGATCCTGCTAATATTAGTGTGTATACCCAGCCTCACCCCTCTGAGGTACTTGGTGGGAGTGCCACTGCTCATAATGACCACCACGTCAATTATGTCTATCACCGTGGTCAGATATATCAGGCTTACAGGTGAGTACATTAATAACTGCACGGATGGCGGAGTGGTTGAAGCGGTCACCTCGGCGCTTCCTACTGCGCTCAGGGGTTTGATACTCACATGGGACAACACTTTGTGTGATCCACAAATTATGGTTCTGAGTCTGAATGTCCTTTTGTCTGTTTCATGTAAAGTGTAAACTCCCTCGCGAAATAGGATGTGTTGCTAGTGCGGGAGTTGTCTTAAAAAACAACAGTGACATTCAGGGAGTGCCGACAGAGGTGAAAACTTGAAATTTTTAGATTAAAGCAGATTTTTTTGTGTTTTTTCTATTTGAAAAGTTCCGACATGAATGTATATCTATGTTGGACGTATATACACAATATATGTTTAAATTATATACAGTTATATTATCAATGTATTTCAACCCAAACTCAACTCTCGTGTAAACGGGGCCAATTTATTTAGATACTTATATACAGAGGTGTCGGTAATGGTAACAGTCCAAATGTCCAAGAAGATTTCACTTCAAAAATGGATTAAAGAAAAAAATCCTTCTCACCGGTTTTCTGTGAAGCTTTATCTCTGGTCGAGCCACCCAATTCGTGCCGAAGTATGAAACGAAGTTAAAAAATTAAAAGTATACAAATAAAAAGTAATTAATAATTATTTTCAATATTTCAGGCTGGCAACACCTGATCCTAGAAGTGTTATTGTCTCTACCAGTAGTGATGTGGACGTTGTCGCTGGCGCTGCGCCTGGACGCCATGATGCTGCCCCTCATGGGCAGGTCTGACCTCAGTTACCCCGACTACACCGTGGGGCTGCTGAACATTGGGCTGGTGATTTTGGTCGCCACTGGTGTGGTGAGAACTATTTATATACTAAAGTAAAATATACCTAAATTAATAGCGTGGCAAATAAACATCATGTAATCTGACATGATTAATTACCCAACTTAAAAAAGGATGTAAGGTTTTCACTTCGACGTTAATGGGGTGGTTGACTGTCTCGATACAAATAAATAAAATTGAAGTCTGTAATATCAAAATAATGGATAGATACCCATGCCTAAAACTAGTTTAAATATTTTCTGTGTGTCTGTCTGTTTGTTCGGGTAATCTTCAAAAGGTTAGACCTATTTAGTATAGCTTTTATATAATTATAATATAATTAAATCCTAAATAATCAATGTGATATGTGTTACAATTGAATAGTCTAATATAGATTACTTGCTCGAAAATAACTGTAATGTAGGTATTTATTCAACACTTTCTATACAAAACCCAGGGATACAATGAGCTTATTGAGAATCTTAACAGCGCGATTAAAATTTTTGGCAAAGAGCCATCTATCGAGCTGTGTGAGAACTCTCCATGTAATATTCAAAATTATGTCAAATTTAATTCGTCTATTATTTGCAATTTGGACAGTTTCCTTAACAAATAGTGACGTCATTAGTCGTTATCGTTACATTATCGTTTTGAATATGATAAAAAGTAAAGGTGTCAAATATCCTATTTTTGTTATTTTTATTTCAATATACTTTTTATTTAAAATGAATTAAGTACTTTTAATTTGTGCACATTAAAGTTAGTGATACATTTTAAAGATTATTTTTTTTTATTAACAAACAAAAAAACGAAGTAAACAAAGGTATTAATGACCGCAAATAAAAAAAACAACTTATACGAAATTAATACCATACCAAAAATTGAAATTTGAAACGGAACCTGTTTCGAAATAAATAAAAATTGTAAAAAACAAATCCAAAAAGATATGCCCCGGGTGAGGATCGAACTCACGACCTTAAGATTATGAGACTTACGCGCTGCCTACTGCGCCACCGAGGCTCTTGTATGGCTATATCAAATAACCGATTTATTTAAAAACGTTACAATAGTGAATATTTTATTTTAGGCAGATTTAGTATACAAAACATAATATATAAACGCCATGGTAAAAAATGATTTTATATATGAGCAAAATATAAAGTAAAAAACCTTATTGCCACAACTTTCCGCCATCATTTTCATTCTCATCACCTGGATAGTTGGCGCTCCACTACTGTGCGCTTTTTGCCCCGCACAACCAATCTGTGGAACGGGTTATCGTCTGCGGTATTTCCGTACCGATACGACCTTCAAACCTTCAAGAAAAGAGCGTACTCCTTCCTAAAAGGCCGGCAACGCGTTTATGACTCCTGAGCGGCAGACGTTAATGGGCGACGATAGTCACTTTCCAACAAGTGACCTGGACCTGGACATAGGCCTCTCCTTAGAAAGGTGGTTTTGGCCTACTATACAAAGCGGACCAGACGGGTTGATTATAGGGTTTGTTCCAAGTTTTCCTTCTCTTTGCAGTGCTGTTGTCTTGCGTAGTTTGCTTCCTTAGTCGCCTCTCACGACACCCACGGGATGTTTTTTTTCATTTGTTGTACTTAATTTGGTGTTATTAAATATTATTATTATTATTATTTATAATTGAAACTCATCTAAATACTGTTTATTTACAGTCGGGCCTCGAACTCCTGTTCTCTCGGAAGCATATGTGGCTGGTGATGACCGCGGTAGGGATCCCATGTATCGTGCTAATGTTCATCCCCTTCAGCCCTTATGATGAAAATGGGGTGGCTCTACAAAGGCATTATTGGTTTGTGAGTATATTTGTCATAATAATCTAGAAAAATATGGTGTGATTTTATAGAAATATATTAGAAGTTTTGATAAAGTAGGCGTAGAATACAGGATTAAATAAATTTCTAGTTTTTTTAGTTTTTTTTTGGAATTTATATTAGGAATGTTACGGAATAAGTGTACTGACACTCAATGTTTTGAAATTTTTATTTATTGAAGTCGTGTTCGAAGCCAAATTCCGTACAATTAGTAATTTTTAAGGTCAAAAAGTAATATTGAGATTGATTTAGGAAAAGAAAAAGCTCAAATTTGGTTGGTTTTACCTAAATAAAATTGCAGTCGAACCGAAATTGAATATGGTACGCGATATCCAACCTTTTTAATTAAAAAGATTTAAAAAGGACAATAAACTATTTCGCTAAATTAGTGATCCATTTTATGAAACAAAGATATTAAGTTTAAATAAAATTCAAGCAAAACTATACAACCGTTCCAGCTTTAAGAAGTAATATACACACACACAAAAATAGGTACTAGTAACATGCATAATTTAAGTAATTTCAATCTTTTTAGCATTCACAAATAACATCATACGATATAAACGGGACCCAAACATCTCAGACGTCGGGGATCTTGGTGATGAAGATGGACCCGTACGGTGTGAGGGACGTGATCTCCGCCCTCTCCTCCTCAGGAATGGACCTCGAAGTTCGGACGGACTTTGGCGCTGATTGTGACACCATGGTGTACTGTGGGATGCCTACATATAGATCAGCGTTTGGGCGGCAAAAGTGTGTACACCTATTTTATCTCATAAATCTATACTAATATTATAAAGCTGAAGAGTTTGTTTGTTTGTTTGTTTGAACGCGCTAATCTCAGGAACTACAGGTCCGATTTGAAAAATTCTTTCAGTGTTAGATAGCCCATTTATCGAGGAAGGCTATAAGATATATATCATCACGGTAAGAGCAATAGGAGCGGAGCACCAATGAAGAATGTTTCAAAAACGGATAAAATTTATTACTATTGAGAGACGCAGACGAAGTTGCGCGGGTCAGCTAGTGTATAATAATAATAATATTGTACCACATTCACACAACGCCATCTAGTCCCAAACTAAGCAGAGCTTGTACTAGACAACTGTTATAAATACATATATACTTTTTTTTTGTAAATACGTACATATTATACATAGAAACACCCAGACCAAATCAAACATTAAAAGTTTATGCACACAAATGTTTGACTTGAGTGGGAATCGAACCCGCGACCTTTAGAATAGCAGTCCGTTACACAAACCACTACGCCATCCGGTCGTCTATGCGAATATTGTATAGATGGAAAGTTTGTTGGTTTGTTCCAATCGCAGGAACTACTGGTGTGTTTTATTGTCACGGTGAGCGCGTTCGCGTTTGACGTTGCGATTGGTGAAGATTTCATTGCGGCTAATCTCAACGCCGACGATGATGATGATATCCTCTGGGTATTTAGCTCCATCATCAGATCAGTTCCAGTATGACCTTCAATCTACATTTAGATACAAATTGTCATTTCGATACGAAAACAGGGTATTTGAGCGGAGTATTCAATTAATAAAAGTAGTCGGTTAGTTACTAAAATTGAACTGTATTACAAACACTCACTATTACAAACAAGAAATCACATATATATCGCTTCGATGTTAATTCGCTGTGTCGTAAAACGATACTATCTCGTACGGCTAACACACTCCGCTTTTATAGGGCTATTTAAATAACTGGAATGATCCCTAGTACTCGATAGACAGTCCCAGACAAAGAAGAATATTCCAGTATCAGTAATCTGCGGTTAACCGCTACTTGCATCTAGCGCTGCAAGTAGCGGTTAACTTTTAACTTTTTTAGCAAATTATTAATTATAATCTTAAGAGTTGTGCGTCACTTGATACTAGATGGAGCTGTCCTCCACTAACTACATAATACAAGAACCATTTAATCCTATCGCGCAACAATACCTTAGCCATATTAGTTACTTTTTATCATTTTTCAAAACGACAATTTTGTATGAAAAATGTACTAAATAGCAACTTGTGACGTCACTATTTTAGTACGTACTACTCAATTGAAGAATATGTTTGTGAATGTATAAAAATTGTTCTAATGACGGGCCTCTTGGTCTAGTGGTTAGTGACCCTGACTGCTAAGCCGGAGGTCGTGGGTTCGATTCCCACCCAGGACAAACATTGTGTGATGAGCACGATCATTGTCTGGGTGTAATTTATCTAAATATGTATGTATTTAGAAATATACAAGTATGTCAGCAGTCTGGTTACCATAGCACAGGCTCTGCCTAGTTTGGAATCAGACAGCCGTGTGTGAGATGTGTAAAGGTAAAAAAAAAAAAATGCTATAGTGAACTACCCTATTTGAATTAGATAAAATTTTACTTTTAAAATTTGTATTCAAATATTGAATGATCGACTGCACGACTGCACGGATGGCGTAGTGGTTTAAGTGGTCACCACGCCGCTTCCTACTACGCCGAGTGTTGTGGGTTCAAACCCCACATGGGACGACACTTTGTGAGATCCACAAATTGTTGTTCTAAGTCTGGGTGTTCTTTGTGTCCGTTTCATGTGTGTTTGTAAAGTCCCCCGCGACACAGGGTATATTCCTAATGCGGGAGTTGTCTTTTTAAAAAAAAAGAAAAAAAAAATGAGTACTGTTAAAACATAATACTTTAAACTTTCCAGCCGTAACGCCATGTTCATATACACGGATCCGCCCGCCCCTGCCCAGTACGACCCCCCCATTTCCTTCACAGTGGAGTCCAAGATCTGTTCAGGGAACACCTGCACTTACTATTTCCGCATGACTGGTAAGTTTATATGTTGTACCGCCGCCCATGGACACCTGCAACTCAAAAGTCACAAGTGCGTTCCATACTTGTGGAATATCGGCTTCGACGATTTTCTTGCGATACCAATACCATCCGGATGTACTCTGAACGCGTATGCTGATGACGGCTTATTACTGGTGGAATCTGATACTAGGGCGGGGCTTGAGAGATTAGCCAATAGATGTTTGAACTTGATATCTCAATGGGGTGAACGTAATCGCTTAACTTTTGCACCCAACAAAACCTTCCAGCTACTTTTAAAAGGTAACCTCAAATCACCGCCGAGCATTAGATTTGACAATGTTACTGTAAAAAATAAAACCGCAGTGTGTTACCTAGGATTAGTTTTAGAAAGAAACTTTTCATTTATCGAACATATTAAAATAGTTAATGAAAAGTCTAAAAAGAGTTTCTGTGCATTGACAAGGATATCAACTGCGACATGGGGTCTATCATTTAATACATTAAAGATCATATACGGAGCTACTTATTTAGGTTCTATGTGCTATGGTGCACCTGTATGGGCCGATAGGGCGACCGTAGGTGCTGTCCGTCGCAAACTGTTACAAGGCCAACGACTTGCACTGATATTCTTGTGTAAGGCATATAGGACGGTCAGCACTGAGGCTTTGCCGGTGTTGGCAGGTGTCCTTCCGGTCGATCTCGAGGTGCAGAGACGTGCAGCCATGTACTATTCAAGACAAAACATGGAATGCGATTTCTTGGGCGCGCGGGATCGCGGTAAAATTACAAGATTGCTGCAACAGCAGTCCGATGTCTATAATGACCTCATAGACGAATGGCAGCAACGCTGGGACGAATCATCCAAGGGGCGCCATCTTTACCAATTTTTCCCATCTGTTCGCGAACGGTTGTCGAGGACATGGCTTGAGGTGGATCACTGTGTCGCTCAATTTCTTACGGGTCATGGTAACTTTAAGAGCAAGTTGTATTCATTTAAATTAGTCGAGTCACCATTGTGTCAATGCTCAACACCTAACTCTCACTATGAACAGTCTGCTCATCATATCCTCTGGGAATGTAGTCTTTGGTATAATGAACGTAATATAATGCTGAATAGCTTGCAGATGACATCTGGGGCGGTATACTATGGGGATCTTGTGTCAACTAGGGTGAATTTCCGTGCGTTTAGGCGATTCTGCCATACATATTATAGAAATCAAACATAATTCACGTAGGACCCGTAATATTTGTGGCCGTGGTGCTTCCCTGTTTAAAAGGGTGTATGCCCATTTTACTTCATTTTGTCTCCCGCTTTGCTAAGGAGGGAAGTGGATTTACTGTATTTCCAACTCCTCCCATTTTCTTCTGATTAATTTCGTTGCGGGTTCCAAGACAGTTTAATTTCTTCCTGGGACTTCCCGAGTGTCATAACTCGGTGTGTTCGTGGGTCACTGCTGTGGATCCTGGTGTACAGGAGTTACAGTGGTGGGCGTGTGGGTGGGATTAGTCCAAAAGTGCGTTGCTGCACTTGGAGTCCCTCCCACTCGAGTCAGCGGGAGGGGGGATTTGGGCTCCGGTAACCTCACTCACTCATTAAAAGGCAACGAAAGAATTGCTTAAAACCGGTTTCCTGTCAGGCCGAGGTATCACTCCGGTCGGGCCGGCCCATTCGTGCAGAAGTATGACTCTCCCACAGTCAATGTACTACACAACTGATGAATGATGAATGTACTATGGGCGCTAGACACCTGATATAAATACATTTATGCTTTTTTTTTGTAAATACTAATTATTATACATACAAACACCCAGACCAAATCAAACATTAAATGTTCATGCACACACATGTTAATAATACTGATTTACTGATCCCGTTTAGTTTAAACATGAATGGCGGCTGCCCTCATATGTGGTGTTATAATCCGGAATATAGAACTAGAGTTGCACGAAAACGATACATTATGTAAATTATATATAAATGCAGTGACCAACGAAACCGCCGACAATGTCGATTGGCGAGACCCGGCAATAATAAAAATCTAAAAATATTAATGTAAAGTTGAAAAGAGGAGACTGTACTATCTATAAGTGAAATGTCTTTGTGTGATTTTTTCATGCTCACAGTTGATCTTTAAAAAAAAAGAAATATTTATAAGTATGTTTATCAGCAGTCTGGTTACCATAGTTCAGGCTCTGCCAAGTTTATCAGATAGCCTTGTGTAAAATGTTTCTAGTTATTATATTACTTTAGTATAACGCTCAGGAAAGAAACAGCGACCACAAACCTATGTGATAATGCATAGAAAGACTAGTAAACAAACATCGTTATCCGGTTACCGGTTAACCATAACACAAGTATTTTATTTAGTTTGGAAACCAGTCTCCCACCATTATGTTATGACAACATTGTACATCTGTTTATATTGTAATGAGGGAGAATTAAACATTTATTATTTACCAGCTGAGACCCACGGTGTTACCCGCGTATGTCGTTAAAACCGCGGGCAACGCCGAAGGGCGACGCTAGTCTAAAAAAAGAAACCTAAGTTACTCCTTATGTCATCAGCTATCTGCCAGTGAAAGTCCCGTCGAAATCGGTCCAGCCGTTCCAGAGATTACCCGGAACAAACAGACAGACAGACAGACAAAAATTGTAAAAAATGTTATTTTGGCATATGTACCGTGTAAACATACATATGCATTTACTAAAAAGCGGTTATTTTAATATTACAAACAGACACTCCAATTTTATTTATTTGTATAGATTATTATTATTATCGTGTTGTAGGTAGCGCCCACAACATAGTGACGTTGTGGCCCTTGGCTAACATCACCATCGAGAGCTGGTCCCTCCAATCACCAGTTGCGGTGTGCTTCACTCAGCTGGAGAGGCCGGTGTACGTCATCTACCATGCCACAGCCACATACATGGAGCGATGGGATCTACAGTTCATGGTTGTGTTCAATGTGAGTTGCTCCCATCTTCTTCTCATCATCAAGTTCTTTGACGGGCCTGTTGGTCTAGTGGTTAGTGACCCTGACTGCTAAACCGGGGGTCGTGGGTTCGATTCCCATCCAGGACAAATATTGTGCGATGAGCACGGTCATTTGTTCTGTGTCTGGGTGTCATTTATCTATAATATGTATGTATTAAGAAATATATAAGTATGTTTATCAGCAGTCTGGTAACCATAGCACAGGCTCTGCCTAGTTTGGGTTCAGACGGCCGGGTGTGAGATGTGTGAAGTTATTATTGTTATTTATTCATCATCACCATTGCTGGATATAAGCCTCTCTTTAGAAAGGAGGTTTTGGCCTACTATATCACGCTGGCCAGTCGGGTTGGTATAGGGTTTGTGTTAAGTTTTCCTTCTCTTTGCAGTGCTGTTGTCCTGCATAGTTTGCTCCCTTAGTCAGCTCTTACGACACCCACGGGATATATAGGGGTGGTGACACTGTATTCTTAATCCGTCACCACACGGATACTCATTTTCTGTAATGTTATTAATGCGTGTGTATTTTACACTTTTATTCTATAACTATTCAATCGACCACCGTGAAATTTTTGGAACGAAGTTCCTTAGCGCGCTTTACACCCTCTTAACGGATGGGAGTGAGACCAAAAAAATGTGTAACAAGACTTTTGTGCGACACTTATTGCTATACTTCGTTCGGACCGGGGGTCACTTTGTCGTATTTAATTTGTTCCTTGTTACTGCAGGTACCACAATCATTGCAGTCTGGACCAATCGTAGAGATATCCCACCACTCCAACAAACTGCAACACCCAGAAGACTTCACAGTTGAATACACGAATATACTCAACTCCATGCCCAAGTACTTCAACATCGCGACAATACTGTCTGTTAGAAATAATTATGTGTTCTGAGGTTTGTGAACTAGACGGTTTATTTCCAATAGTTGGAATATATACTATGATGGCGAGACTCGTCCTTTAGATAAAAGACTGTTACCCCATAAAGCAATCATTTCCCAACTTGTTTTGTTACCGCCCTTCCCCCACTCCCCTACAGCCTACACTCCTACAGCCTGTTTCTACAAAACTGTGATATTAAGTTGGGTAATGAGTGCTGGCGATATAAATACGTAATTAAATACCAGAAATATAGTAAAAAAATTGAACAGCTAAAATATTTTACTTATTACTATTTTACAGAAATAATGAGATTACTTATATGACGACTGTATGGCGTAGTGGTTTGTGTAACGGACTGCTATTCCAAAGGTCGCGGGTTCGATTCCCGCTCAAGTCAAACATTTGTGTGCATGAACATTTGATGTTTGATTTGGTCTGGGTGTTTCTATGTATAATATGTATGTATTTACAAAAAAAAAAAAGTATTTAAGTATTTATATGTGTATGTGGTAGAATATTATTATTATTATTATTATTATATATTATTTTACAGAAATAATGAGATTAATGGGTTAATCGCTTTTTTAATGATGAAATCATAATATATTTAATCACATAGCGATTACCATATTTTTTTAAATTTTCAAACGAAGATTTTCGTTCGATTTTCAAAGAGGATTTTGTTTTCCACAGACATTACACCTTAGCCTCTATTATTATTGAAACAAAATATATATCTTAGAAATGCAAGGGTTGTAATTTTTTTTACATTATACAATATTTGTAAATAATTTTTATCTAGTATAAACAGTGACGTTGATTTAATTTTACACTTTGACAGAATTTATAAACAAAAGTTGAGAAATTAATTAAAATAGTTCTTAGGTGTTTAGTCGTTTTAATATTGTAATATGAATAATATTTATACTGTTAACCATACTATAATGTTAAGATGTACAGTGAGCAAATAAATATTTATTTAATATATTTTTGTATTCTTTTGACCTGCGGTCCAGACTAGATTCATTGTGATATAGTCCATTAAGGACATGACGATTTTATAATAAAATCCTAAGTACAATACAAGACTTTTAAATCCTCAGTAAAGAACAGGCTGTGTCAGAAGGCCTATTACTCCATTGTGTATTATATAGAAGACAAGAATAATCAACAGCCTTTTATAGTCCACTGCTGGACATAGGCCTCTCCTTAGAAAGGAGGTTTTGGCCTACTATACTACGCTGGTCAGACTGGTTGGTATAGGGTTTGTGTCAAGTTTTCCTTCTTTTTGCAGTGCTGGTATCCTGCGTTGTTTTGCACCCTTAGTCGGCTCTTGGCCCACGAGATGAATTGGGGTAGTGACATTTCGTATTCTTAATCCGTCAGTAAACGGATATGCATGAATGTTTGGGATTAATTTAGTACATTTCTTAAGTGCAAATGTAGTGTGAAAATGCCAGTGTGTTCTTTATTTATTATTATCATTTTTTTTGTGGTATTTCACTTTAAATTCTATTCCACCTGAGTACTTAATAACTGACATACTGGCGCACACATCAAAACAATGTTGTATTATAATAGGTCTTTACCTATGAAATTGCCGTTTTGTATGCAATAAGTGAAAGTACTTATAAGGTCTGGTGGTCACATCTGCAACCAGCTTTGGTCAATCGGTCGTCCCCACTGCTTCTTCACGACAACGCGCAACCCCATACTGCGCAACAGACAGTCTCCAAGCTGCAAGACCTGGGGTTGGAAGCTCTCCCTCATCCGCCATACTCACCAGACCTTGCACCTACCGACTATTACTTTTACCAAAATTTAGACAACTTTTTAGTGGGTACAAAAATTCAATTCCCGAGAGGCAGTACAAAATGCCTTTGAAGAGTTTGTTGCCTCCCGTCCAGCTGATTTTTACAAGAAGGGCATCAATAAACTGCCAATGCGTTGGCAAAGATGCGTCGATTGTTTGGGTGATTACTTCGAATAACAGAAATAAAAAAGTTTGAAAAAATAAGTACTTTCACTTATTGCATACAAAACGGCAATTTCATAGGTAAAGACCTATTATTTAACGATGCGACTATGTCTTGCTGTAATTGAAAAAGAATGGCCGTGAGTTTGTTTGCCCTTTCTTCTCAAGAGCCCGAAATGAAACGAATGCCCAGTAATAAATAGTAGCTGCCTTATAACCATTTCGTTTCTGAACTTGACCAACTGGCGTTTATCGAGTAGGTATTTTTTCGTCAGGTTTGATATACTTATAAGGTACTAGCTTTTGCCCGCGGCTCCGCCCGCGTCTCTGTCGGTTAACGCGGTAAAAAGTAGCCGATGTTACTCGCTGATAATGGAACTTTTCCGTGGTGAAAGATTTTTAAAATCTGTTAATGCGTGAAAGCGAACCAGCAAACAAACAAACCCACTTTCACATTATATAAATATGGATTTAATATCTATACAAATAAATAAAATTGGAGTGTCTGTTTGTAATATTAAAATAACCGCTTTTTACTAAATGCATATGTATGTTTACACGATACATATGCCAAAATATCATTTTTTACAATTTTTGTCTGTCTGTCTGTTTGTTCCTGGTAATCTCTGGAACGGCTGGACCGATTTCGACGGGACTTTCACTGGCACATAGCTGATGACATAAGGAGTAACTTGGGCTACTTTTTTTAGACTAGCTTCGCCCCGCGGCGTTGCCTGCGGTTATAACAACAAACGCGGGTAACACGGCACTTTTAAATATAGATTGCGGCGGTATCGTATAGACAAATATCGGTATTTGTATCGGTTTTGTAATTTCCCCCAAAAGCGATTGAAATATACCTCTATTTCAGTATAGTACAATGTACTCTGTGCCTATAGACGCACAGCGGAAACTGAATATGGCCAATGTGAACACTTCCCTGATGTAAAGTGAGCGCTGTCAAAGATAAAGAGCGTGCACACTATAGATTTATGTTTTTGTGTATATCGTAGTGTATATTAGAATGATCTGTATATCTGTTATTTGTCTTGTTATATGTTGTTAATCATCATCATCATCATCAACAGCCTTTACTAGTCCACTGCTGGACATAGGCCTCTCCTTAGAAAGGAGGTATTATGTTATAAATCTTATGACGTATGTATACGGCGTAGCAATTAGGATCTGCAACGGGTTTTACGCATAGCACCATTTTTGGCCCAATTGAAAACCATTTTTTTTTACGTGTGGAAATCCCCTCGGACCGTCACCCCTCCGGGGTTTGCGGCGGGGTGGTGTGTCGGACTCGGACCGACTAAAACCACACGGTGTGCCACTCTGCGCCTGTAACAGGAGGGATCCGGGAACAGCTGTTGTTAAGACATCCGGACCGGGCCCATTTGAAATCCAACGTCAACCTTGGACAACAGGCTTTCATCTGACACAAGGCTCAATTGGGTCCTTTTTTGGCATCGTTGGTAAAAAAATTGTTAAAATTGCCAAAATAAACGTTTTTTTTCTTCTTTCTATTTACATCGTGTCATCTACGAAATTTACTGCAGTGGGATAATTAAACTATTAATCTATGAGAGAAGAAAGATGGCCGAAAAAAACACAGAAATGTAAAAATAAACTTGTTTATTGCACTCAGTCTTCTGATTATAATTGTATTGCGAAAAATACTTTTCAACAACGACGGTTCCTTCACAAAAATAAACTCAAAATATTAAAACATTGTACACTGGTCGAACTTAGATCTCACTGATTTATTCATTTACAATAATGTACAGATTAAATGTATTTTTATAACTACATAAGATGCAACTCTGTTCGACAAATGAACTTAGTCACTAATTTGTAACATTTGATTGTAAATATGAATTTAAAATCTCTTTTATTAGACGAGTTTATTTATATACAAAAAATGCATAATTTTTCTTTCTTAAAACTAATCTAATATATATTTACAGGGTGACAGTGTACAGATCAATTAAAACAACAAATTTCAACTATCCTTCCAACATTTATTTTCTGAGATCTTATAAAAAAATATCACGTTTTTTTACAAATAATAGACAAAATGTAAATTCTAGTATATTTTATTTGCATTTTCAGTAACAATCAATGTAGTGCCTCGATGTCTAAGTTTAAATCGAGGCTGCCTCGTCTTAGCAAGTTGGAGATGAAGCAAATACCACGAGGCGGTCTCGATACAAATATTCAAACTATAGTTTACTAAAATATAGCTTAGTTACAACATTGTGTGTAAGAATAACAAAAAGGTTATAAACCTATATAAGAGTATGGCAAACAATGTGTTGAAGTAGGTAGCAAGATGATACAAAAATATCTTAATTATGGTGTATAGTGTAAAATATTCTGTAGTCACCATAATTATGGTACAATTTGTGTACAAGCTTCTTATGATTTGTTTGTGGCGACGAATGGCTGCGAATAGAAAGCTATTCCAATCATCAATAACGATGATTTTGTGTTACATTGCTTACTAGAACAGTCGTTCAACATAAATACAAAAAAAAACACACTTCGAGAATGGAAAAAACCTAATTTAATTATATATTATTGCTATTTAGTGAGTGTTTTACATCAAAATGATATTTTGACAAACGACTTAGCTAGGAATACACGTATATATTTGAAATTGCAATGCAGAACAATATATTAACGTGTCTTATAATAAACAGTACAAAGTAACATTTGGTATGACTCTCTGTGAGATATTTCTCTCTAATTTGATTTTCTTTTCACGTGGGCTTTTGAAATTATTGGCCTTTTTGATTTCACTTTGAAACAGTGAGTCTTTTTGTAAGTGATTGTATAACCAGTATAACTTCTTAATTGATGGATTATTTGACAAATATTCAAATACGAATATGAGTTGCCTTTGATTATTTGTCAAAGTGTGTATAATGCATTACAGTTTTATAATGTTTTTCAATAAGGTTTTGGTGTTATTTTTAGTAATTACCATTTAGCATACAAAATTTTATGGTATATAATTAAACTTATCCTATTACAAGTTTGCTACATCACTCTGGAAGCAACAGATTTTGGTTGGAGCTGATAATTCTTGATACGAAAAAAATGAAAAACATTATATGATAGTATTTGAACGTAACATAATAGTAATTGAAAAAATAAGCAAGAAAATATTACAGTAATCGTATACTACATACAGGCTAACTCTAGCACAGCGCGTTCATTGGTCAAATCACATAGCGCGCATTTTTCATAAAATCTCTCTCACTGGTGACAGGAAAGCGAGAGGATAGACTTAACACAACATGGCGAAATGAAAACTGATTTTGGGTCTTCACGGTATCGTACCAGTAATCACCAACACCTGGACTACCTATTACAATATTTTCATTGAGCATATAACTTGAACAGGCGGAAGTTAACAGCATGCAGATGTCACCTTTACAAGTGTAATATATTATGTAAACATACAGACAAACACACACATTGCTAAGTATATAATAAAGAACTAATATAAACTGTGACTTCGGAAGGCGAATTTTCGTAATAAAAGTTCGATCACAATTCAGTTCCGATCTCACAACTATCATAAAGGGCATTTTCGTAGTAAAATAGCAAAGTATTACTAAGAAAAGCGGATTATCGATTCAATTTTCGTTTACAATACGAGATAATCACATTACAGTTAACGTTGGATGTTTAATACTTTACTACGAAAATACTTTTTATGATAGTTGTAAGATCGATTGTTGATCGGAACTGAATTGAGACCGAACTATTACTGCGAGAATTACCTTACAGATTGTTATTTTGTAGTTAGGAGACATAAAAACAATATGCTTTAAATAATCCTTAGGAAAGCTTGAGATAATGTTGATTTATTTTAACAAGACAAAGTCAAATACTTTTCTAATACAGAGCAAATAATAATTTCAAATTTTATTCATTATCAAACCTATTAAGGAAACTAAATTACAGAGACACATTTTTTGTAACTGTATGAATTTGTGAAAAGAAAAATGTTTCTAATTATTGTAATTAATATCTGCTCCTTTCTAAGGAGAGGCCTATGTCCAGCAGTGGACTGTTAAAGGCTGTTGAAGAAATTAATATCTCTAGAAATATTATACATACAGATCATTTCTGATACTACGTATTAATACGTTACTTTTGCCCATTAGTGGGGTAATAATTGCAGCATTAAACAGTCCAATAGAATAAAAAAGCAAAAAGTCGTTGATATTTCGTGGTAAGTTACTACAAAAGTTAATAAGATATTTTGTGGTTAAGAGTAACCTTTCTTCAATCGGCATTCATTGCCGTGGGAAAATTTGTAAAAAAAAAACAGTTTTTAATAGAACGTTGTCAGTTTTTAATACGTTGGCAACAAAAAGCGTAAGTATTGCCACTGTAATAATCATTTCAAAAGTAATAAAGTGTAAATTAGATGTACAGGTTTTTTTTTATTTTCGCGGTAATGAATGCCGTTTGATGATTTAAATAAATGTTAGTTTTTTTATACAGTATTCCAACAAACTTTTTGGACAATATTATTTAATATACATTTGTAAGTTCTTACTGCATTTAAAATAATCACAATAATTTTTTTGTGATGTGTGAATGTCAATTTTCTCAATTTTTACGATGATGATGTAGGTAGCAAACGAGCAGACGTGTCACATGATGGTAAGTGATTACCGTCGCTCCAAACTTTAAATGACTATCATTCTTTTGAAAGAATACTAATAACGATAACTGGTATTGTTGATATTATTTAGCTAATCTTTAGCTAAAGTTTAACACTTTGGTCATATATACTAACAAATTAAATTGCCCGCAAAACCATTAATGGCTATTAAGATATTTATACAATTTTGTAACCATTTCGTCTACTTATGCCATTTGCAGTGTTACCAAATATAATACAAACCCAGTATTTGCATGTTATGACAAAAAAATATAGCAAAATGTAATAATGCCATTAACTTATATAATATGTATTAAAAACAACATTAGAATAAGAAAACATGGTTCATATCTATTAAGATATATCGCTAGAGGTTTACTAGCGGGTGAATTTCGTGGACCCGACAGGGGCACTGTACCGAGTTAAGCGACCTGGCAACACTCTGTCAAGCGTCACGGTCAGAAATACACGCGTAAGTAAAACCGTACAACTCTATTAACTCTCTCAGACCTGATGTCCACAATTGAGGACAGAAAAATCAGAACTAAATTGCAGTTTATCTTAAATGTGTAATTTAAAACGATTTCACTCAATAGTCTAAAAAATATTTCAGGTTTGCATGCGTTGTCAAGTTGTAACTTAACCACGCACATACAAAAATACTAAGTTGGATACAGACAAAGTTATATTTAAGTGAGAGAAATATGTTATTTGATTTGATTGCAAAAAACCTTTTTTTTGCTAACATAACAAAACAATATAGATACGCCCAAATATATGTATAACAGACGACAGTTTCCGAGATCCCAAAGAGCAGGTTCTGTACGCCGTTGTCCTTTATACATGACAAAAGTCAAGATAACATAACCCATTTAAAATGAAAAAAAAAAAACCTTTTTAAAGGTTACATTAACATAATAATGACGTGTTAGCTTTGAGTATGGTTACAAAACCGTTGTATTGTTCACTTAGTTCACTATAACATGCGTATTCCTAGCGTAAAGTGACGGTCAATCTGCTGGCTGCCACCATCTTGTTGTTAAATTTCTTTTTGAAACTTTCAGCGGCACTTGGGGTTTTGAACGTGATTTTTGCTGTACGATCTTCCTTGTCCAATATCAAGCTCTGGAACATCAATCCGGGGGTGATTGCGTTTCAATAACATAACTTAAACTTATATACTACTTAAACTAATTAAGTTTTACATGTTAAAATAAGAAAAATGTTAAGTAAAAAAAATTACATCAAGATATCGCTTATATAATGTTGGCCTTATCGAATAGAATTCGTAAATAATTAATTATAATAAAATGTTCAACAAACAAAGCAGTCAGTGTTAATACAAAACAATCACTCAACACTTTTCCTATCTTAATATTTATAAAACAATTTCAATATGGCCAATGGTGAACATTAAAATTAATTAACACACATTTCAAACACAATGAAAATTATGTTGGCTGAATAATAAAAAAAAACATACAGTCTGATCTCAAACTAGGCGGCACAGCCTGGAACCAGGCTACTGATAAACATACTTATACATTACTAAATAAATACATATTATAGATAAATTACACCCTGGTACAGAACAAATCACACAAATATATGTCTTGGGTGGGAATTGATCCCACAAGCAGCTGTACGCAGGTTGGTTACACAGGACCCGTTCAGCAGTCAAACAAATATAATAATAATATGGCTGACATTTTTCTCAATAGAGCTTGTTTTTAAATGTTTCTTGTATGTCTCCAGAATATGAATTATGATAAACTGTTTTCAATATGATAAAACACTGCCACCCAAAACACAAGCATTACTTTCGTTTGGGAGACAGTAACAGTATGTTTGCCACAATATATTTGTGTCTATTTATAAGTCGCCTTGTGAACTATAATTTGCGACAGAAAGATACACTTATAATTGATAAGCAACACATATTAAAATTGTTTTATCTATATTATAAAATATAACATGCATATCGTATGTTTGTTATAGACAAAAATGATTTATATTTTTTAATATTATATCACCTTTTTTTGTAAAATACATTTTGAATACTAGTGTTTACTAAAATTGTATTTGTTTTGTAACATTATGTATAAACAGAACATTGGCTTTTTAGTTTAATATAATAACAATGTATTTATTGATGTTAAATATTGAACTACAAGTTAAAATAAATTATTTAAACTTACTTCAATAAAAATATGTTTCGAGTTAATACTTTATTTGTAAAACAAATATTTTGTTTAAGAAACTTTTAACAATAAAATTAATAGCTCTTAGAGGTTCTATATAAAGGCTGATTGATATTATAACACAATAAAATTATTCACAGGAGTCAAACGAATGGTCGTCCGGACAGTCCGTGTGGTGACGGATTAAGAATACAGAGTGTCACCACCCCTATTCATCCCGTGGGTGTCGTAAGAGGCGACTAAGGAAGCAAACTACGCAGGATAACAGCACTGCAGAGAGAAGGAAAACTTGAAACAAACCCTATACCAACCCGTCTGGCCAGCGTGTGGTATAGTAGGCCAAAACCTCCTTCCTAAGGAGAGGCCTAAGTCCAGCAGTGAACTAGTAAAGGCTGTTGATGAAACGAATGGTATTAAAAGGGTGCAAAGGGTGTAAATTTCCTACAATCTATATAAGAAGAAACTGACAGAGTAATCGATCAACCGCAGCTGCAACCGCAAGTCTAGAAGCATGAGATTTTGCACAAATGCTCCTTAGGTGACGTAGGGGTGCACTAAGAAAGGATTTTTAAAAAGCCACCCCTAAGAGTGGAAAATTATATAAAATGTAGCGTATCCTCTACGATGAATGACGTCGACCACCACGCGAACGAAGTCGATGTCAAAAACGAATACAGAGATAATACTAATTCTCATTAAGTTTAATTGTTATTTATAAATTAGCATTATATGAAACTGAGTCAGAATACTAATTAGATATGTGTCTAGTTAACTGTTTCTAAGATATAGGGGTATAAACGAGCTGAGCAGACGAGTCAAGACGGGTTAAATACTATTTACAAAAAAAGTATTTAAGTAGTCTATCAGTCAATCTAGCTTTCATAGTACAAGCTCTGCTTAGTTTGAAACTAGATGGCGCTGTGTTAGACATCTAATATTATTATTTTTATCTACAAGTGACTCTGTGTTTAGTAGTTTCATTATCAATAAGCCTGTATATAGCCTTATATACTATAACTACAAAGATATCGTCCAAACAGTATTTTAATATATGTACATATAAATATATATTTCACATATGTGTATCACAGTAAAACGTAATTATTATTATTATAAGTAAAATTTAAATCTAGGCTCTGGTGCTTCGATTGTTATTTCTTAAGCAATGTTAGCTGTCATAAGTTAACAATGCTTATAAAAATTTGCTTTTCAAAGACTTCCTTTGATGGTTAGATATTCAAATGTATTTGTCCAGTCGTCCAGTCATTATATCTATGTCTGTCAGGAAAATTGTAAAGTATAGTAATAGTCGTATATCTCATTTACATTTTTTTTTTTTATTAAGAACTGTAATATTAAAAAAAAAACTAACACTTGTTTTCTCATATGGGCTAAATGACTCTATTTGGAATGGATTTTATAGCGGTGGGTTTTTTTTTTATATACAGTAAACAAGTAGGTTGCTGACCTTACGAGTGGTCCGAACATACTAAAAGAATTTCTTAACAAAGGTTTTCTGTGGGCCATGGTATTACTCCGGTTAAGCCGTTTGAGTTTTTTTTTTGTATTTGTATATTTTAACAAGTTTATGTTTTTTTTTAATTTGTTTAATTTTTTTGTTACTTTTCTGTCCTTAAATTTTCTTTATTGCTTGTTATTTCGCTTTCGCTTGGTTGGTATTTTTGTTTTACACTGTGCTTGCTGTGGTCTTCCTGTAAGTGAAGGGTACACTTACTTTATACCCCTTTAGTTAATTAATGTCTTTTATAGCTTTGTGTATATCTTTCGTAGGAGATCCTAATAAATAACTAAATAAATTATTAGTTCTTGCCGACTAATTTTTTTAAAAGATGTTTAGAGATCTTTTATTTAGCCATACTCTTTTAAAGTGAGAGACTCATGGAAACTAGTGCTATATGCACTGATGTAAGTTTGATGATGATGATTCTACAACTACAACTTTTACAGATGTTTCATCTTCATCAGACTTGGAAGGTGATTGCCTACTGCCCGTACATGAACGATGAGGTACGCACACTTTGCCTTTGATTGCCAGCACAGATTTTAAACAACAAGGATAAAAAATACTGTTTATAAGAAACTGCATGATGCGGCTTTAGCCAAGGACTCTGGAATTTATGTTCCAGATCACCAAAACCATGTGAAACATATTTAGAGAGGACAGGAACGTCACCAACTTCTCCATGAGGAACTCTTATTACAGTTCCATACAAGATCTTTTAGCCGTACAGAAGTCTTAGTGAAGCCATGAAAATATTAAAATTACCTCCGTTGAAGTACAACATCCGTATACTGTCTGAGACTGGCCGTCCTAAAGGCACAGGCAACACAATGACCTCTGGTTTTGTCTTCAAGTGCCATCAAGCATTGGAACAGCTTGCCACAACAAATGGGGTGCTCCACCAATGGATCAAAAGTCATAGTAATTCTCACGGGAATGACGCTGCTGATGAGAAGGAGGGGCTCGGCAAACCCGGCCGCCGGCCCAATCACACTCCTGCCACTGCCTTTTAACCAAATTCGATCCTGGGTTAGACAGCGTACTCGTAAAGCGCACAAGCGAAGGTGGAAAAACTCACCCGGCTGCAGACAATCCAAACTGGTGCTGAAGTCTCACCACGACTAACTTGCAGACTGATCGGTCTTAGCAGATTAAATATCCGAATGGTTGCAGGAACCATAACAGGACACCTAGCCTTGAACCGAAAACTATTCATCATTAATACGACGGACAGCAGGCCTACTATGACCTCTTATTGCGACCTAATTACAGATTTTAAACTGAACTGTTTTTACGAATTCCAACGTGTCAAACAAGAATTGCGATTTAGTTTAGGTCGGTTTCATTTGTTTAAAAGTTGTATTAGTGCAAAGAATTCAAAAAAATAAAAATAAAGACTATTCCCATCAAAGACTTGGACATTAGATGAAAAGTTTGTCTTCAAATGTTAAAAAAATGGAAGTGGCCGTCAAATAAATGGGCGTCGAAAACTTTGTCGGATCCAATTTCAAACAGTGGAAATTCTAAATTAAGTGCGCCCTGCAAGCAAAGGGATTAAAAATCAACGAACCACGTCAGATTGCGAACGCCGCAAAATGGGAAAAAAGATGACGGGATGGCGATGTTCCTCATCACGTCAGCTATGGACTTAAAGCAAATTTGTTTACAAGAAAACTGTGAAACTGCTCAAAAAGTAATGTCAAAACTGGAGTCTGTCTTCGAACAAAAGTCAGAACTCACTAAAATGATACATGAACGCTTCTGTAATTACAAAATGTCAGCGACAGACAGCATTGGTCAACACCTTGCAAAGCAGCTGAAGGAAAGTAGAAAAAAGGTCAGTGTCACTGCTATATTGACTAAGATTCTAAGTACTCTGTCATCTAAGTATACATCACTCCGCCATGGATGTCACTTGATCCCAGCAAGTAAACAATTGTAAACTTAACTACACGTTTGTTAGATAAGGAAGCAAGCATGAGTGTAGAGGAAGTTAACGAAACTGCCTTGTTGGTGGCAAAACAGAATACAAAGAGAAAAACCCAGGATACAAAGAAGTAAAGGAAAGGCAGCATCAACGTTCTCCTTGTTGCGATTGTGATAAACCTGGTCATTTTGCCACAGAATGTCGCGCACTTAAAAAAAGTACAGGAGAAAAGAATATGTTGGCTTATGATGTCACAAACTTAAAATCGAATGGTGTCGATGAAAGCCATAAGTGAATTTTGGATAGAGATGCTTCAGCCCATATGTCATTCAACAAGGAATACTTTGTGGTACTACATAAATATGAAGGATCTCCACTGAGGTTAGGAAACCAAGAAGCAATTGAAGTCGGTGGTCAAGAAAACATTTTGATAAAGAGATATGTTTTTGGCCAGTGGGAGATCAGTGTTATGACAGATGTCCTATATGTACCTAAACTCATAGGAACCTTTTTTAGGAAGGGGCTGCTACGCGTCAGGAATACACAATTGTGGAAGCAAATTGTGACACTACAATTAGTAAATAATAACCCGTAGAAACTAAAACTCAAAGCTCTTCAAAACCCTATGTGTTTACTTTTACGTTTACGGACATTTAAATATTCAGAAAATTAAAGATATGTTTAAAAACAATGTGATTACCGGTTTGCAATTGGACCTCTCTGACAGTGACAAGTTTGTATTGAGGGGTGTGCATATGGCAAACATGCTCGAAAACCTTTCAAACTTTCCAGCCGAGGACAGTTACAACCTGATGACATTAAATACAGTGATGTGTGTGGACCGTCAAAAGTGCTATCTGTGCAAGGTATGAAGTACTTTGTCATTTTCAAGAAGGCAGCAACGAGCATATTTTTTATACGGGACTATGGCCTCCCACTCGCCCGCCACTATAGCTCTTGTACATCACATCACATCACTTCAAGAGCCTTTAATAGTCCACTGCTGGACATAGGCCTCTCCTTAGAAAGGAGGTTTGTACACCAGGATCAAAAGCAGTGACCCACGAACACATCGAGTTATGACACTCGGGAAAAAAAAATTACTGCCTTGAAAACCGCAACGAAATTAACCCGAAGAAAACTGGAAGGAGTCCACTTCCCTCCTTAGTAAAGCGAGAGACAAAATGAATACACCCTTTTAAGGGAAGCACCATGGCCTCACCCATGAGCTATATATATGTGTGTGTCTACTTTTTTGAAATTCAAGAATTTCAATGCAAAAATTAATAATCAGATTTGGCATAGGGGCGTATACTCTATACTGATAATGGACGCGAGTATAAGAGCAGAATTTAAGGAATATTTAGAAAGTGAAGGTATTACTCAAGAGTTAACTGCTTTTTATACATCAGAAAAAAAGGCTGTGCTGAGCGAGTTCATAACCGTTGTTGACAGCACTTATGCCATGCCCGTAATGTACCACTTAAGTTATGGGCAGAGGCAGTGAATTGCGTCCTGTATTTGCTCAATCGTACATCTTCGAGTCAAACACCAAACATGGCGCCTATTGAATTGTGGAATTAATGTAAAGCCAAGTATGTCCGTGTAGGGCGGATTAAGAATACGGAATGTCACTACCCCAATTCATCCCGTGGGTGTCGTAAGAGGCGACTAAGGGAGCAAAACAACGCAGGACATCAGCACTGCAAATAGAAGGAAAACTTGATACAATCCCTATACCAACACGTCTGGCCAGCGTGGTATAGTAGGCCGAAACCTCCTTTCTAAGGAGAGGCCTATGTCCAGCAGTGGACTATTAAAGGCTGTTGATGTGATGTGATGTGAAGTATACACCATGTTAGAGCGTTTGGTTGTGAAGGTTTTGCTCATAAACCAGAACAATGCTTGATAGTAAAAGCTGTAAAATAGTGTTAGTTGCATACGACTATAATAATTATACAATATTCGATCGTAAAAAATACTTTTAGTTTCCAGAAATGTTATTTTTAACCGAATTCAAAAAGGAGGTTATCAATTCGAATGTTTATACATATATCGTATGTTCGGTCATAACTCCAATTTCCAAAAAATATTTTTTTGTTCGAAAGGGCTTTATTCCGAAATGGTCCCATTTAAATTTCATATAGATCTGATGATGAGTGTCGGAGACAGACAACGGAACTCTTCAAAAATGACAACAAATCAACCGTGGTTAATGCTAGCTTTTTAGTACTCTTTGTTTGTATTGTTTGAGGTCAGTTTAACTTAAAAAAAAAAAGGATTTATAGCTTGCTGATGAACAAAGCACTCCTAAATTTGACAGAGAGGGATTGAGGAAGAGGAACAAACAGTGGGAGTATCCACAGACAATAATGTTAATGATTCAAACAACCAGAGTGACGATAGTGTCTATGATGAGATGGATCAGGATGAGACAGGAGTCATCTCGAGAAATTGATCTGAATGATATAGCCAGGACAAACATTACGTTACCACCGAGAAAACGGTTTTATGAGGCATACATTATGGAACTGGATATTCCTAATACATTGTAAGTTCTGGTTGAATGCTTTAAATTAAGTAATTGTAGTTTACGAGTATAATGAGAATAACATTTAGAGTCTAGTTGAGGAGAAAGATCAGAGAATGATAGAAGCAAAGAGGGTTGGAACGAAGTTCCTTATCGCGCGTTGTGAAAGGGGGCTAGACGGAAAAAAATCTCACGAAAAGTTGTAACGACACTTTTTATTTTGAATTGTCACTTGTCAGTCATTCAGCGCCATCTATCGAATAGATAGGAAATCATTACTTTTCATCTCAGTAAAATTAAAATTTATGTTCTTAGGTTGAGCAAAAAATATTGTATTCGACATCATTTCTCAAGGTGATTTTACCAATGTATAAATTGTTTTAATTAGAAACCAACTGTAAAATATGTAGGTAATAGCCGCTTTCATAGATGGCGTTGTAATTAAAATTGTGTCGAATTAGTTTTACTCGATCGTCACAACTTCGTTCCTATCGGGTGTCCTACAACACCACACGGCTTTTTTTTTACTATTAAATGAAACCAAGAATTAGAAATAGAGAGGTACAAGGCCCGTCTCATTGCCCGTGGGTTTTCACAAGTCAAATTTATAGATTACAGGGAAACATTTTCTCCCACTACTAGATTTGAATCCTGTTAAGTATTGCTGCATAATATAAATGGAAGATTAGACAGCATTTTTATATACGGAGATTCCAGAAGTAGTGAGAATACTTCTGAATTAAATTTGCAAGCTAAATAGCTCTGTCTATGGACTGAAATGGGTGTTTGAATAAGAAATTTATAATGTTGGCTTTAAGAAATCCCGACAGTTGTGTTTTTACAGGTATTTTTTATGATGTTAAAGCAAGCTTAATTTTGTATGTTGATGACATTTTAGTCATGTTAGAATTCAATTTTGTTGTTCATGAAATAATCAATTATTTTGGAATCGAGTTTAAATAGATTGTGGGATTAGAGATTTTAATAGAAGATTGTATATGTATAAATCAAAGAAGTTATATGGAACGGTTAATTAATGAATTTAATACGAAAGATGCTAATCATGTCGACGTAAACGTAGTAATAGTCAAAGATATGTAATCTGCCCTATAGGGAAGTAATAGGTTGATCGTCGTCGGTCACACAAGTGATAGGAACGAGCCGTCGCGGTGAATATATAGCGTGTCTCAGTCAGGTGTAGCGTCTAGCCGGCGGGCGGCGTTACCTGCACGAGCGGGCCGGCGAGCGTGCGCAGGCGCGTGGCGGTGATGGCGGGCGGCAGGTTGGCCACGGCGGCCACGTGGGCCAGGGCGGGGGGGGCGGGCGCCCCCTCCTCCCCCGAGGAGTCGCTGTCGAAGTGCACGTGCGGCGCGAGGGCGGTGCGCACGGCGCGGCTGAAGATGCCGGCGGTGGCCTTGGCCTCGCCCGCGTCCTTGCGCTGCAGGATCACGCGCCGGTTCGAGAATGACGATTTCTTATCTTCGCTCTCTTTCTCGGCCTGAATCGCATTCCGATGTTACGTGTTAATTGATAAGAAAATAAAATATTCTGGGACGTTTTTGAACTTCTGGATTTAAAAAGATTACATTCCAAAACGTTGACTTCGTTCGTTTTATTTTATTTTATTGCCTTAAGAATTTTTTAAAGCATCAATTTTCATATAAGGCTATGGCTATGAAAAGGCTATGAGCTATGAAAAAATATGAAGAGTAAAATTTAGTGATCGAATGACCTCATTACGTTTTTTATGAGCAACCTATCGTTTAACATGTACATGTATAACTTGTACACTTCTAGTAATAAACTCCAAGTAATACCTTTCTAAGTACCTCACTACGGTAAGTACCTTGTAATACTTCTAGTAATAACTTTCAATACACTTCTTAAATATAATTTTTTTTTGTACATTATTATATAAAAGTAAGTATTGCATACCTCTTTGTTTTCGTAAGTTATTCTCTGTCTGGATTTGACTGTCAAGTTATCTAACTTAGCTTTGGCCTGTAACCAAAATATGTTTTATATTATTTGTTCATTTTGTTTAAGGCAAGCATAGAAATATATAATTCATTTATAATGCACGGACAAATAAAACTGACTTAATGTCACATTCCTTATCAGCCGCTTGCAGCGTGTGTGTACTTAAAAGTCATAAGAAACCGGACTAAAGAACAATTTAAAATTACGAAATTTTAATACAGCACTGGCCATATTTGAAGCTAGCTAGAAGACGGAAAATTTCACATGACATCATGATATTTTGAGTACTTATTAATGGGTCATGTGATATGGTTATGTTCCTTTACATACATGTACCAGATAAAAATGGTGTAAGTACGTATTTACACATAAATAAGATAAAGACACTCGTAAAATAATAATCATAATGGTTATTCAAAATCATCATCAACAGCCTTTAGATATTGTTGGATATAGCGGCCATAGGCCTGTCCTTAGAAAGGAGGTTTTGGCCTACTATACTATGCTGGCTATACTATGAACAGGGGTGGTGACACTCCATATTCTTAATGTGTCACCACACGGATGTTTAATATAATAATTCCTAGCAGCTTTATACGAATTACTGCTCTACTACTACTGATGAGAATCTTAGCGTAATATTAAAATTCATAAATATTTGTCCTCAAATGTAATCATGTTTGTTGACACTAACTGGTTCTAGAAATTAAAATATACAACCAGCATTTTTTTAAGTATTCGCGTTAATTTTCCTCTGCGCTTGGGGACACTGCACCTGGCAGTGTCCCTAAGCGCATGTGAAAATAAGTAATAAAAAAAAAGTAATAAATAATATTAGATTATAAGCTTACCTTAACTTTTTTATTAATAACAATATTCTCCGTGTCCTCAGACTTAGTAGAACTTGTTACAACTGCACGACGAGGTGGAGATTTCTCTGCTGGAAACACAGGGAATAATAATAGTTTCACAGATCTCACACACTGAATATAATTCCAAATTAATCGTGATATGAGATACCAACCTCTCTTTCTCTTTTCCTCTCTCTCTTCATTGAAGACAATCTTTTGTCTTTGCGGTTTCTTACTTTCTTGGCTGCTGGAGGTCTTGGGAGGCAGCTTAGAACGGAGGTCTACTTGAGGTTTAGATTTCGTCGGCTCCGATCTAAAACACAATAGTAATGTTGATTTTGTAAATTTTTGTTTTTTATTATAATCTAAATTATAAGTCAGAAAATAAATAAAGCTTTTTTTAGAATTAGATCCTGTGTCTAACTGGAGACTCTACAAACATACATGAAACAATACGGACATACGGACACAAAGAACACCCAGACTCAGAACAACAATTTGTGGGTCACACAAAGTATTGAATCCAAGCCCGTGGGAGAGCCAAGCTTCTGCATGAATGGGCCGGCTCGACCGGAGTGACACCAAGGTATCACAGAAAACCGATGTTAAGCAATTCTTTCGTTGCCTTTCACTGAGTCAGTGAGGTTACCGGAGCCCAAATCTCCCCTCCCGCTGACTCGAGCGAGAGGGACTAAAAAGGGCAGCAACGCATCTGTTACTTTTGAGTTGCAGGTGTCCATGGGCGGCGGTAGTTGCTTACCATCAGGTGACCCGTCTGCTCGTTTGCCCCTTAAACCACATTCAGCGTGGCAACCGCTTAAACTACTACGCCATTCGTGCAGCTTACGCTATATTTGTTTTAGTTGGATCCGAAACTTACAGCAAACCTGTTTATATTTAATAGTTTTTTAAAATAAAAAAAACACCAATTAAAGCCTATATTTTTTTAGATATTTGTAAATACAAGGAACTGAAAATCAAATGCGGTTTACTGTATAAATATTTTTACTGTTACATTTTTTCACACCAAAACTATCCATAAATTCGTCAATCTACAGTTGACATGTACAAAGGCTGCCTGTATGAAATTGTTTATTTTTTTCTTATTAATTTGATGTATTCTTGTATGCACGGATAGCGTAGTGGTTTAAGCGGTCGCCACGCCCCTTACTACTACGCTGAGTGTTGTGGGTCCGATCCCCACATGGGACGACACTTTGTGTGATTCACAAATTGTTGTCCTGAGTCTGTGTTCTTTGTGTCCATTCCATGTATGTTTGTAACACCCAGACACAGGATATATTCCTAGTGCGGGAGTTACCTTTTTTAAATAAGAAGAAAAAAAATGTATGATGTACTAAACTGGTGTACAATAAAGATTATTCTATTCTAAGAGGAACTTAGTTCATCCTTACTTCTTAGCCTTCTCCTTGAACCGTCCAGTGTCATCATCATCACTCAAGATTCCATCAATGTCACCTAGTATTAGATCTAGGTCATCATCGCTGTCAGTTCTCTTGTCGTCCTTCTTTCCTGGTAGGGGAGGGGTTAAGGCTCGCTCTGGGGATTCTTGCTTTACAGGCATTCTGCGAGGTGGCGTTAGGTTTTCTGGAAATCAAAATTATAGAATTTGTTGGCAACAATCATACAATGCAAATAAAAATTGTAATTTATTTTCTGTGCTGAAGTGTACATAATAATATAATAATAATAACCTCACACATAGCCGTCTGATTCCAAACTAAACAGAGCCTGTACCTATGGTAACCAGACTACTGATAAAAGTACTTAAATATTTGTAAATACATACATATCATAGATAAATTACACCCAAACACAGAATAAATCATCGTGCTCATCACACAATTATTTGTCTCGGATGGGAATCGAACCCACGATAGATCCCTGTGACACACGATAGTGAGTTAGTAGCATATAGTGAGTTAGGGTCACTAACCACTAGAACATAGGGCATGATAGCGATCATTTTCTCTGTGTCTGTCTTGTGTGTGTGTCTGTCTTGTGTGTGTGTGTGTGTGTGTGTGTGTGTGTGTGTGTGTGTGTGTGTGTGTGTGTGTGTGTGTGTGTGTGTGTGTGTGTTATACAGGCATACAGGCTCTGCCGGGATGGGGTGAGGCGGCCGTGTGTGAGATGTGTCAAGTTATTTTTATCACTTTTATTAGTACATTTAGAGTTTTATATGTCCCCGTAAACTCTTTATGGACCTTTATGGACACCTCACTATCTTTATCTGGCCGATTTACAAAGGGTTAACGGCGCGTGTACTATATAATCTCGTATACTTACCAACAGTAGAGTTAACTTGCGCCACTTCCTTAACAGGAGATCTATCTCTAATTATCTCCGTTGTCTTATTCTCTTTGTCAGGTGTAGTTCGTGTGGTGTCCGGTTTGTTGTCCTGTTCAGTGCTCGTGGGCTTGTCTGAGCTTTCCACAGGAGGAACTTCTGGTTTGGGCTCCGGCTTTTGTGCAGATTCCTGTGTCTCGCGTTCCCTGGTGAAAGAAATACGTTAAGGATACATTATAGCATACAGAATCTACGTAAGTTTAATAGTAAAATTATGTAAGTTCCCTTGTAAATAGTTCTACATTATTTCCATTGTGGAACCTGAAACTACAAAAGTTATTTTGAATCAATGAAGATACCCTAATTCTTGCACTCAGGTCCATTAGCGGCGGTGGTCACTCACGATGGTAGGTGACACCTTTTTTTTTATTTTATTTTTTATCCCCTCGGATACCACCGGTGGCATGTCGGACTCGAACCGACTAAAACCGCACGCCGTCTCGGATACTAATAGCCGGGGAACCAGGTATACCCTAGAAAGGAAGTCCCTGGTGCATGGTAGGTGACACCTGATCTCATCTTAAAAAAAAGAAGAAAAACTTACTTTTCTTGAAGTTGTTTGTGTAAGGCTACGGCGTTCTTCCTGCGCCGCACTTCTTTAGCTCTGAGCACTCTCTCGCGCAGACTCTCCTGTTCCCTCAGTCTCCTTTTGTAATCACTATCCTGTGAACATAATTAACAATTCCTATCAACGAACGTTGTTTAATGCCTATGTTCTGCACTTGGGGGATAATATTATTGTCTATATTATATATTATAATATTTCTGATAATTTAAAATTCATCAATTTTTGGCCTACTATACCATGCTATATATAGCGTGGTATAGTAGGCCAAAACCTCCTTTCTAAGGAGAGGCCTATGTCCAGCAGTGGACTAGTATAGGCTGTTGTTGATGATGATGATGATACCATGCTGGCCAGACGGGTTGGTATAGGGTTTGTTTCAAGTTTTCCTTCTCTTTGCAGTGCTGTTGTCCTGCTTAGTTTGCTCCCTTAGAGAGATAGAAAACACCGAAATTCCGAAACAAATATTTGGTCAGACCCGGGACTTGAACCCGAGACCTCAGGACAGCAGTCACTTACGCTACCACTGCACCACCGAGGCAGCCATAAAGACGTGTGTGAGTGTATGCATGTATGTTTGACCTATTCTATTAAAAAGTCTTTATGATTATAAATTTTAATTTAAAAAGGTATTTTAACCATTAGTTTTAAATATAGTTTATTTAAAACTCCTCAGGTGCTACTGCCCTACTCTACTCTACTGCTTCTCTCTACTGCTACTGGCTACTCTTTATATACATAATTATTCTGTGCGTGTGTATATGATTGAATTCCTCCTAAACGGCTGGACCGATATTGATGATTTTTTTGTGTGTATTCAAGTGGATTGAGAATGTTTCAGATTAAAAACACAAACTTTCGAATTTAAGACGTGTGTACAGGATAGTGTCTGTCCGGACAACTAGTTATTTCATAAAATTTTGTTAATTCAAAAAAATTAAAATATATATTCGTTAATTCTCTTTTGACGTGAACAACTTTTCTATAATCTGTGGAAGTGATTGGACGGAAATATGTTACAGAAAGTCGGAGTTGCGCGCGCGCTGTTTGATTTGACCAATGAGTGGGTCGAAATAAGAAATAATCACGCGAGTGAAGCAACGGGCAGAAGCTGGTTTATAATAGAATATACCGCTATTTAGCTCTAAAACTACTAAATTAATTTTAAGATAAAAAATAATTTAGCTGGTCTACGATACTTAGAAGATACCATTTCTTCAATCTTTTATCAAAGATTTATGAATGCCGAAGGTTTTTTTTTTGAAAAGACAACTCCCGCATTAGGAGTACATTCCTGTGTCGCGGGGGACTTTACAAACACACATGAAACGGACACAAAGAACACCCAGACTCAGAACAACAATTTGTGGATCACACAAAGGGTCGTCCCATGTGGGGTTTGAACCCACGACACTCGGCACAGTAGAAAGAGGCGTGGCGACCGCTTAAACCACTACGCTATCCGTGCAGTCGTTGTCGTTATATAACAGTTAAGTACCTGTTTCTTGCCTATTAGTTAATCGGTTTTTTTTAATTTTAATATCCACTAGAAGTTTACAAAATACAATGATATTACACAAAGATACATTACCTCATCATAATGTCTGGTCTCTTCGGGACGTGGTCTCCTCTCACGATCGCCTCCCCTATCCCTATCTGTTCCCCTCTCGCGCTCGGGGAGAGGGGAGCGGCGTGGGGATGGAGAACGGCGCGGCGGGCTAGGAGTCCGCATCCTGGACACAACACATGAGATTAAAACATTCATCATCATCGTCAACAGCCTTTAATAGTCCACGGCTGGACATAAGCCTCTCCTTAGAAAGGAAGTTTTGGCCTACTATACCACGCTGGCCAGACGGGTTGGTATAGGGTTTGTGTCAAGTTTTCCTTCTCTTTGCAGTTTTGTTGTTCTGCGTAGTTTTTTCCCTTAGTTGACTCTTACAACACCCACGGGATGAATAGGGGTGGTGACAATCTGTATTCTTAATCCGTCACCACACGGGCATTAAAACATTACCAAACAATTATTACACAGGTATTTAACGAGTATTTTTACCTACTCAAACAAGTTAACTGTTTTTTTAAAGAAAACATTTTTTTATGGTTTAGGGGACAAACACGCAGAGGGAACACCTGATGCCAAGTGTCTACCATCGCCATGGACACTTATTTATTTATTTAAAACTCAATGCACATGTTGTACAAAGGCAGACTTAATGCCATGAGGCATTCTCTCCCAGTCAACCTTCAGGTGATGTAGAAATATGATGCGGTAGGTGCAAAATAAAATATTAAATTTAACATAATTGAAGTCCAGAGATATGAAGAATATTTAAATACACATACATAAATTTAATATAATATGAAAATTCTCAGTCAGATACTAGCATTGTGACTGTTCTGCCAATTCACTTACTTACTCAGTTTTCACTAAGTGTTCCTTTCATCCGTGTGGTGACGGATTAAGAACACAGAGTGTCACCACCCCTATATATCCCGTGGGTGTCGTAAGAGCTGACTAAGGGAGAGAACTACGCAGGACAACAGCACTGCAAAGAGAAGGAAAACTTGAAACAAACCCTATACCAACCCGTCCAGTGGTATAGTAGGCCAAAACCGCCTTTCTAATTTAGCTGTTGATGAAGTGAGTGAGGTTGCCAGAGTCCAAACCCCTCCTGACTTTGGAGAAGGTGTTTTGGGTCCGGATGTCTTAATATCAGCTGTTCCCGGATCCCACCTATCTCAGGCGCGGAATGGCATATCGTGTGGTTTTAGTCGGTTCGATTTCCACATACCGCCCCGCCGCAACCCCCGGTGGGGTGACGGCCCGAGAAGGTTGCCACGAGTTTAAAAATAATGGGGAAGATGACCATGGGTGGCGATAATTCCTTACCATCAATTGAACCGTCAACTTATGACTTCAAAAAAGCATCGAAAAAAATTGAATTGAACAAAGCATTGAATATGAGATAAAAGATAACTCACCTCCGTCTAAGCCCAGCTCTATTCGCGTTAATGAACTCCTCCTGCCTGCGGAGTAGATCGTCATCATCGTTCCTGCGGTAAGGTGTGTGGGCCAACTCATTCTCAATCTCAATTGTTGTGTTCTCTATGTACCTGTAACAAAGAAAAAGCTATTAATATATAACATTTTTTTTTTATATAAAAAGACAACGCCCGCATTAGGAATAAATCCTGTGTCGCGGGGGACTTTACAAACACACATGAAACGGACACAAAGAACACCCAGACTCAGAACAAAAATTTGTGGATCACACAAAGTGTCGTCCCATGTGGGGTTTGAACCCACAACACTCGGCGTAGTAGGAAGCGGCGTGGCGACCGCTTAAACCACTACGCCATCCGTGCAGTCGAACATTGTTCAATGACTGACTTAATAGGTTTATAAAATACTGTCTTAGTTAGTGAAAACAGAAAGCCAATTCTCGTAATAAAAGTTCGGTCTCAATTCAGTTCCGATGAACTCTCGGTCTCACAACTTTCATAAAAGGTATTTGTATGTGATTTTATGGCATTTGAACCGAATTTTTTTTTTTTTAAAGGACAACTCCCCGCGTTAGGAAAATATCCTGTGTCGCGGGGGACTTTACAAACATACATGAAACGGACACAAATAACACCCAGACTTGGAACAACAATTTGTGGATCACACAAAGTGTTGAACCCACGACACTCGGCGTAGTAGGAAGCGGCGTGGCGACCGCTTAAACCGCTACGCCATCCGTGCAGTCAAATTGAATCAGTAATCTGTTAGTCTTAGTAATACTTTACTATTTTACTACGAAAATACCTTTTATGATAGTTTTGAGATCGAAAAATGATCGGAACTGAATTGTGATCGAACTTTTATTAGAAGAATTTGCCTTCTGGTCTTAATGTAGTCTCAGGCTGACCTTAGCCTACACGCGGCATTACGTGATCGCCTTGATTCTCCCTTAACAGTTCGTTAGTGTTAACCCTTGGATGTTGTCAATTAAAAATAATAATAACCTTATATATTTTACAAATGGCTGTCTGATTACAAATTAGACAGTGCCTGTACTGTGGTGACCAGACTGCTGATAAACATACTTACATATTATAGATTAATTACACTCAGACAGACAAATAATCGTGTTTTGTGAATTTTTCCTGGGTGGGATTCGAACCCACCACCTCTGGTTCAGCAATCAGGGTCACGTACCACTAGACCAACAGGTCAATTCTAGTTTACAAATGGTAACGGTATGAAAAAAAATATTGTAGTTTTAAAAAACTAAAAAACACGCTTTCTATAGAAAACCAAACTAAAAAATAGAAAATAAATTTGAAAAAAAGAAGCGTTTGGTGCTTTTTACTCTTGACAACTGGCACCCAACGCTTTTTTTAAAACTATAATTATTTTTTTAAATTAGTGTACTGTCATCGGTCCTCGATATATCTACAAAGTTTGAACGAATTCTGACCGTTTATAGTCAGTCAAAATCACGCCCAAAGGAGTCGGTTACAAACATACAAGTAAAGCTAATATAAAGCGTGTAATAGTTGGTTACCTCTGAGGTGATCTCCTCGTATGTTTCCTGACCGCAGCTCTGGCTAACGCGTTCCGTTGTTCAGCGATGAACCTTTCAGCAGCATCGTCGATGTCTTTCACTGGGCCTAAGTAACGAATACATTACTCTTAATATGTTAAATTTTATCCTGTTTCATGAACAATTTAGTTATATACATGCAGCATAAACATGTTCTATGTATTTTAAATCTTTATATTAATAAAAAGAACTTGAGATTTGTGAGTTTTTTTGTTTTAGTTTTTGGTTGGGGCAGGAAACAGTGTCATTACTTTATTTACTCCAAAGTGACAGATAGTAAGGCTTAGGATTCTGATGTCCACCAGAGGCTATAGAAGTGGCACAAGAGAGATATGATACATATAGTAGAGAACACTCTTCCGTCCAGTAAAGAAGAGCGAAACGACCTCCGCGAGCATTGATTCGAAGAAAACGGGCGTTCGTTACACGTAGCAGAGGCAGGACTGAGATGGTGGCGCTAAGTGTGCTGATCTCCAACGAGGAAGGGGGTATCAAAACCCTAGCATACAATGGTGTGGTTGCTTACTGTTACCGGTTAATAGACTGCCAAGACCGAGTCTTAAAAACAACATCAACTCTCTTAAATATATTTTTTTTTTAATCCAGAAGAATATATTTCCGTTTAGTTTATGCTGCATGCATATATATTTCACCATAAAAAACAGGGGAAAACGTGCGTAAAATTATTAGTCATATCCTGTCAAAATAATTAGTATTTTTTAGATTTTATAGACCAAACACAGTATATCTAGTATTTATCTATATTTAAACATATAATTTAACGCACCATTAATTACTACTGAAACCAAATCGGCAAATAAAACTGTTTCAAAACGGGAAAGGTAAAAAATAAATACCTGCGTGCAAACTACATACATATGAATAAAAGTGCTATACAGGACATGCACACACTAACTGAATCATCAATTTGAACCTTATTTTGAGGTAAACGAAGTATAGAATTGAATGCTTATAATGTCAAGATATATTAAAAAACTATCCTCTGAAGGCCAATACTCGTAATAAAAGTTCGGCCAATATTCAGTTCCTATCAACTCTCGATCTCAAAACTATCATAAAAGGTATTTTCGTAGTTTAAATAGTTTTTCATCGAATCATTTTCTGAAGTATTTCAAATGTCACTGGATGTAGTTATACCAGCCTTAAGAGTAGTGTGTTTTTGGTGACAACTGCACGGATGGCGTAGTGGTTTAAGCGGTCGCCACGCCGCTTCCTACTGCGCTGAGTGTTGTGGGTTCGATCCCCACATGGGACACCACTTTGTGTGATCAACAATTGTTGTTCTGAGTCTAGGTGTTCTTTGTGTCCGTTTCATGTATATTTGTAAAATCCCCCGCGACACATGATAAAATATATACCTATTCATAATGCGGGAGTTGTCTTTTTTAAAGCAGGTGAAAGGCACCGCACGAATTATCTGTACTACTTTTCAAATTCATTCAAACTTCTCTTAACAAACACAACGAAAATTTGCTAAATAGGTACAGTTGTTGTAATTTCATTTATTCCGTAAAAGTGTATTTATATTGAAGAAGATAAATATGAAACCTACACCTAAATTATATCCGCAAAAAAGCCGAAAATTCATGCATCCATAAGCTTATATTTGATGAATATGAATGAATTTATTGTGCCGACTTAAAACGAAATTGAAATGATGGGAGGGCGATGAAGATGAGTCTTAGGATTTCTTAGCTATAGTTGTGGATATGGTTTCCTTAATTATACTATTATTTTTTAGAACCTACAACTAGGCGCCAAATTCTAGATTTATAATTTTAAAATAGCCATTGACAGCACGTTATTTCGTACTTTGTTTACCTTCAAAAAAAATAAGACACAAACGGACAAGTTTCTAATTATATTATTACCGAATTTGTTCTCAACGGTTGCAATGAGCGGCGGCGACTTTTGAATCCGAGTCGGTATGTAGACTGGCAACCCTGTGGCATAAACCACGGGTTCAAATTAAAAGCATACAATATATCTTACACAATAGTTTATTACTTAAAAATGGCATATATATAAATATCATCTTTACAATTACATAAATATCGTGTAAGTTTAAATATTGGGAAATGAACGATCGACTTGTAAAAATATCTAAAAAGATTTATTTGAAGAAATAAATATCATTTTTATATTGATACATATACATTATAATTTAAAGACCTTTGGTAAGGTTTAGAAATGAAATTTTAAAATATTAATTGATACAGATATGTTTTTGTTATCGATTGATTATAGCTAGTTTGAGGATTATCTCAGCTATATTAAAATTAGATACTCATCAACAGCCTATAACAGTCCACTGCTGGACATAGGCCTCTCCTTAGAAAGGAGGTTTTGGCCTACTATACTACGCTGGTCAGACGGGTTGATATGGGATTTGTTTCAAGTTTTCCTTCTCTTTGCAGTGCTGTTGTCCTGCGTAGTTTACTCCCTTAGTCGGCTCTTACGACAGCCACGGAATGAATAGGGGTGGTGACATTTCGTATTCCTAATCCATCACCACACGGACTCTTAGATACTCATCTCAGCTATATAACCAAATTTAAAAAAAAAACACATTAAAATCGGTCGAGCCGTTTCAGAGGATTGCGACCACAAACACCATGACACGAGATATATTAGACGATAATATGTGATGGAATATATTACAGATGATGAACCTATATCAACAACACAAAAAACACTTACCTTCAACAGGCGGTTGAAAAGTCCCTTTGAAATGTGGGTTGATAAGCACTTTTTTCCCTGCCAAACCTCCCGGAGGCAAATTAGGAGGTAGCGATACAGGCAACATTCTGACTTCTGGCTCTTTCAGCAGCTCCACTTTTGGGCCCATCTTGTCCAAACTAGGTCCAGGCATTACTGGTAAAGACTGGCGTATCGTCACTTGAGGAATGTGGCCCGGGTTAGAAACAATTTCACGCATCGGTGGGGCAAATTGTCTTGGAGGAAAACTAGGTCTGAAGAAGTGTGGATCGAAATTCGGCCTGGGGCCAAATTGGGGACGTTCTTCTACACCCTGTCTGTATTGGAAACGTGGGAGGAATTGGGGTCGTTCGATAGGGGGTCGGAACATGGGCATTTCTTGTGGTAAAATGGGGCGCTCAGGAGATATTTCCGGGCCCATTTGTGGTGGAATATTTGGTTCCATTCTTATATCGGGTCGCAGTAACTGGGGCGGTATTTCAGGTCGTAATTCGGGGCGTAATTCAAGGTTCATTTCGGGTCGGATATCTGGCCTCATTTGTGGAGGGTTAGGTCTGATTTGAGGTGGGGGGAACGACGTGCGTTGGTTAAAGTTGCCCTGTAAAAGAAAGTATTAACATATATTATGCAAAGATCAAACAATTACGTCTTATTTAAAGCGGTTTCGCTCGTTGTTATATGATTTTATTAAATTGAAAACTATGATTTGTAATTTTTGGTAATTTTGCAAATAACTTTTGGAGTAATTGTATGTAGTAATGTGTAATAAATAAACTCGCCTTTTATGTTTATGTTACACTTTTATGTAACTACTTAAAGTTTAGAGAAATTCGGTCAGCCCGTTTCCGAGATTAGTCGACAAATAAACAAACAAAAATTTAAAAAATATTGATGTGTGTGTGTATGGTATATATAGGATGTGTGCGGCATACCCTGTGCATGTTGTTCCGTCGGTAGGGGTGCGTCTGGCGCGCCTGGAACGTGGTGCTGCGCCACGACGTGCGGCCGCGCCCCCCACTGCCCGGCCCGCCCCACCCACCACGCGGGATTACCACTTTATCTGACACGATAACAAGATTATGTTCATTTTATTGGAATTACAAAATGGGTGTAAAAAGCTAAATCAAAACATGTTAAAAAAAAATAAAAAATTATAGCCTAGGACATTAATATTACCAGTATCACTTTTTTTGCAAATAAGACTTATATTGGTGTAATTTGTGACTCCACAATTCACACCATCATTAAATTGTATTTCAATTTATTCATTCATTGAAACAATGGCCAAGTCAACTCCCATAAAGTTTTAAATTCATCATCGCAAATATTTTAAGCTCTCATAAACCTGCTGTAACTTGCGCACAAGAGGTTGTGGGTTCAAATCCTGACCAGTAAACTACTGACGTGAACCCATTCCTAACACAAACAATTTAGTTTAGCTGGAGGGTTTAACGGGACCACCAGTAATTTCGGTTGCTAGTACACCTTTTATAATTTTTTTACAGTGATTCCTGTATATGGCAGAAGTATAATACATTTTGCACTTGGTTATAATATTATTTAATATTCACCTAAACTGTCCGGGATATCTCTGACTTGAGGCATCCTCTGTACCCCGGGAGGTCTCTCTGAAATAAAACGTTCACGAGCACCAAGGTCGCCCATATCGCTGAGTGATCCATCTGTAAGACAAAAAAAAAACTATAAAATTACGCAAATAAAGAATTTACAGTCATGTTTTTCATCCCCAAAGAGGATTTTGCAAGCCTGCTGTTAAACCATCACATTTATTTTTAAATGAACATGGTTATAAATTTCTAAATACATATACATGTACACACTATAGAGACATTATCCAGATACAAAACAAATGATTGCGCTCCTCACACAATATTTGCCTATGGTGGGAATCAAACCCATGGTCTCTGGCTTAGCTCGTTAGCCATGTCTCATGTCAGATTGATCACATTATAATTAAGTACATAAACTTACTTGAAATTGGGGTTATGACGTCTGATGGAACAATTTGGGGTGATTCAACAGGTCCCGCTGGCTGTAAGCAAAAAGACCAATGCAATAAAACATACATGTATCCAAATATTTGCACTAAGAGAAAATCATGATCATAGCAGTTACCTACAAATTAGTCATTTCCACTTTACCACAGAGCTTGTCCTAATTATCTGTGTGGTGACGGATTAAGAATACGGTATGTCACCACCACTATACATCGTGCGGTAAGAGCTGACTATGGGTGCAAAACTATGCAGGACAACAGCACTGCAAAGAGAAGGAAAACTTGACACAAACCCTATACCAACCCGTCTGGCCAGAGTGGTATAGGAGGCCAAAACCTCCTTTCTAAGGAGAGCCCTATATCCAGCAGTGTTATAGGCTGTTGATGTGTGTTGCCCTAATTTACAAGTAACGATTTAACGATTTATCTTAAACAACTGTCATCAGATTTGATAATTGACTATTATCTAATTATTTAAAATACTTATTACCCAGGTTGATACAATGGTATTAATAATGAATACTGTAAATAACCAACGCTAATTTTGATTTAGAGAGTTACTATTTTTGTATAATTATTTACTGTACATAGTGCTCATTAACATTTAAGTCATTTACACTAATAGTGATGATTATATTGTAATTTATATAGATTAAGCAAAACAACGCAGGTCACCAGCACTGCAAAAAGAAGGAAAACTTGACACAAACCCTATACCAACCCGTCTGGCCAGCGTGGTGTAGTAGGCCAAAACCTCCTATCTAAGGAGAGGCCTATGTCCAGCAGTGGACTATTAAAGGCTGATGATGTGATGTGATGTGATGATGATGTGATGTGATAGATTAAGAAAGTTCCTTTTTATAAGAATTATTTACTGTAAAATAATATGCTGATACATTCACACTAATAGTGAGAATTATAATGGAATTAATGAATGGAAATAATGGATTTTTACAGGAGCTGTACAGTAACTGCCCCATTTACCTATATTCAATTAGGTTTGAGGAATCTTTCACTTTAGTCTTCTAGCAACTGTTTGGGTGTTCATTAGGGTTACTGCTTTCAACTCAGTTGTTTATATTAATTTAAAGACACTTTTATTAAAATACTACTTTAATTTCATGACTTCTTATATATATATAGATATTATATATATAATATCTCTTTTGCTCTTTAAAAATGTGTATTCGAAATTTGTGTAATAAACAAAGTTCTTTAAATTCAAATAAAAATAAATAATTAGGATTTAAAGTTATATTGATAGGAAATTAAAAAAACTTACAATTGCTGGTGGAACCGCATGTTCTTCATATACTGGTGCTTCATATGGTGCGTATGTTGAATGGTCTCGTGCAGGAGCGTTGCCTACCTCCACTGTTATGTTGGGCACCACACATTCCGTATCAACAACGGGTTGGTAAGGAATTGGCTGTTGAGCAAAACAAATTTAAAATGAGAAACTCCTTATTGTATTTATCTTTACATCACATCATCATCACATCAACAGCCTTTACTAGTCTACTGCTGGACATGGGCCTCTCCTTAGGAAGGAGGTTTTGGCCCACTATACTGGCCTATACTAGTCTACCTTAGGGTGGTGCTGAAATGTGTGACTAGAGATTGATATGTAAAGAAAGAAGAAATTATTGAGAAGTTAGTAATTCTACGTTGTTTATTGAGCTTTGTGACTTTTTCGTGTGACATGGGATATTCTTTTGTTTTTATTTACCATTTATTTAAGTTTAATAATGATCTCTTGAGTGTTTAAAGTAAGAATACTGTTACTTAGTGAATTTAATAACCATAGCAGTTGATGTGGTTATTTGTAAAATTTGTCTGTCTATAGAGGTTTGAGATAACTTTTTTCTTATAAGAATACAATTCACATACATGAGAATCACTAAAATAAGTATAAATATATAATTAAAATACAAAAGCAATGATACTAAATTATCATAAGTTGAGCGTGAAAAGTTCAAAAAATTGTTGGTTAATTAACTATCAAAGCTATCAGTTTATTACTAGTGAAAGTGAAAACAGGAGCAACAGCAAACAAAAGAAACATCGAGTTTGTAAAGGAAGGCTCAATTAAAAAGTCTTCACAATGGCCATACTCAATCATATATTAGTTAAATCTATTATTAATTGACTGGAAATTATTAGTACTCATTTGAAAAACATTACGGAATAATAAAGGATACCTGTGCCTCGTCCAGATCAGAAATCTCTATATGTGAAATCAATTAAGTGTGTAGTACAAGTAGAACTTATGGTACCGTGGGATACCAACATCCCTAAAGACCATGGTTTTAAAACAAAGTAGCACTTTGACTTAACCAGCAAAATAACTAGAAACCAACTCTGTAATATTCTCAAGTGCTTGGACAGTCTGTACTAGGCACTACCTGTAGTAACTAGGCGAGTATATTACCTGGCCTCTTACTTTCCCTAAGGATGGAACTATAATATTATAAGGAATATGAAAATTCGTCAAATAAGATTGGTAGTTCCAAAAAATACCATGTTCGAACAAAATGCTAAGTCTAACTTTATTAGAATAGGTAAAAATACTCATAATTTGTCACTTCATATTACTAACCTGACTGCCATATTCGTGGACTGGATATTCTTGCGGCTGTGGTACCATATTATCAATAGGCTCTCTGAAAGCTGGTCCAATTGAAGTCGGTACATTTTGTGGTGCAGCGTTCTCATAGTCGTCTGCCAATAGCTGTTCCTCTTCTTCATTGCCGAGATTGTAGTCTGCAAGGCTCTGGTCTCCTAAATCGTCACCTAACAAGTCTTCACTGTAATAAAAACGTGAATATTATCGATCACAAACGATTTATAACACATGGTTCTGCAACGCAAATAACTTCACAAATTCACAGGTATTTGTCATAAATTAAGCACAATTTTATATAAATCCACTGTAGCTTAAAAAATCTACTGACATTAATGATATAAATCTACGTTATTGCAAAATAATAAAAATTAATTTAGATTATATTACTAACTTGTCCGACATGTTGACAATAATAGTTCACTTCACAGAGTACTGTGATGTAGTTGTAGATAATAGATAGAAAATTGCTGCGTTCTCGACAGTGCTGCCAGCGCTAAAATTCATTTTTTTGTTCAGAACTCTCTCCCAAATGCAATTTAATAGGAAAAAAAAGATTTTACATCGATTGTAGTATAAACTAAGTATTATCCCAAATTTTTGACACTGATTTTTGTTGATGGCTCGTGGGGATGGAATAAAATCACAATCGCATTAGATGAATCATATGATTTATAAATCTTGTCATGACATCTTTGACTGATTCACAAAACCACTGCTACTTAATTATTATTATTACGCTAGCGCAAGACTCTCGAAAGGTCTAAATCTAAAAAAAGAAAAAAAAAGGTCACCTTTGATAAAAATAATTTTGATTGATTTTAATGTTGTGGCTTTGACGAAATCACAATTACATGTGAAATCGCTGTGACTTAAACCAATCATTTCATCAAATGAACATGAATTAAAAGTAGCAATAATTGCCATGTCTAATGGCTAGAGTAGATTGTTTGAAAATATTATTTTGGCACCGAGCCAAAATCTAGAGCAAAACTGCAAACTCTTCTTTCCATAAAACTATGCTATGCCATTTGCTGTATTTAAGCATTGGTTTTGGTTTCCACTCCAAACAATATTAACCCCCTATTGTCAATAATATTTTGGATTCTCTGGGGTGAAACGATAGCTCTAGATATTTTCTTTATGGCAAGCGAAACCAATCAAATTTTTTTTAATTTGAAAATTGTTGTTTAAAATAAGCCGAAACCGTTTTCTCACAAAATAAGACTTAAAGACTTATTCTTGGTATAAGTACTCGGGGTGCTCATATACTACAAATGTGTTATATTTTTTTAATAATATAACCTTTTGAATTTCTGTGTACATAATTATCTACCATGTTTTAACTCTGCATTGCCCTAACATCGACTGGGAGAAAATGCCTTAGGCATTAAATCCACCTGTGCCACATTGTATTGTTCAGTTGATTTTGTTGCTATTGGGTGTGTTGAGGTCTATGTCCAGCAGTGGACTATTACAGGCTGTTGATGTGTGTGTTGATCTATGACTTTAGAGTGTAGATGATATTAAATAAAAGAAATAATAACGGCTTACTAATTTAAATGACAGCGCAGTTTTGTTTGCATATACAAAATTAAAAGTTTTAGAATAGTTATACTTGTGGCATACAGTAGGTCTCTTTTTTTTACGAGCTTTTTATTAGCTTCACCTGTATGTAACCGACTCTTTTGGGCGTGATTTTGACTGACTTTAAACGGTCAGAATTCATTCAAACTTTGTAGACATATCGAGGACCGGTGACAATACACTAATTTAAAATAAAAAATAATAATATTAAAAAAATATAAAATAGTTTAAAAACTAAAAAACACGCTTTTTATAGAAATTTATTAAAGTATATTTTCTATTTTTTGGTTTGGTTTATTATATTTTTTTTTTATTTTTTAAGAATTATGTTCCACATACATGTTGTATACCACAAATATAGCTAAAAAAACAAACAAGGATAAGGATCGTGGGTGTATTTTCCAGATTAGACCAAATTTATTAGGCACTATTGAGGTTAAGGAATGGAAAAAAAATCGTTTTTAAGCTAAGCTGCGATTAGCTAACGTGAAGTGGGCATGGTTTTGATCGTAGTACAGGAGGGAGGTTAGAAGCCAACCACAAAGCTCGGTTGATAGAGATACAGGGAATTCCCTATATCTCTATCAACCGAGCTTTGTGGTTGTAGATAATTATCTACATCCATCTCTCGTTGCCTATATTGCAAAATTGGGGCTCTTGTTGACTATATGCTTATTTCTCTATGAATAAAACATTATAAATCACACACTCCTAACGGTGAAGAAAATATTAAAAGATAAATTTACAAAATGGCACACATTCAGCTTAGTTTAGTTTTGTTAATTCTACGCAAATGTTTGAAAATTTTGTTTTTTTGGAATATAAGGACGGAATTATTGTTAACATCGTGATTTACTTATAATGGTAGCACTAATATTAACTTGTTGGTATGTATGACACGACTCAATATTTCATCACCAACCCCCCCCCCCCCCCCCCCCTTCCTTCCACCACCTCATAAATTCTAAATATTTTCTTCATAGGTCGTGTCGGTTGGTCGAGTCTGCCAATATATGCCGAAGCGTGAGTTTTATCATATAGGGGCTAAACAAGCCGCGCGGCAAGACGCACCACGAGGCAACCCTGAGGGCCACGGCCGGGGTTGCCCAAGTCGTTGAGCGTATCCGGCGGCTGGGTCTCGAGGTGGCTCTGCACAAGTCCGAGGCCCTGTTCTTCCACGGGCTTCGGAGGAAGCCGCCTGAGGGATCTAGCCTCACGGTAGGAGGCACTCGCATCGGCATCGAGCCCTCGATCAGGTATCTGGGGCTCGTACTCGATGGCCGATGGGACTTCGGATATCATTTCCGAGGTCTGGTCCCCAAGTTGGTTGGGGCAGCGCGTGCGTTGGCGGGGCTGCTACCCATCATGAAGGCACCCGATGACTCCTGCAGGAGACTTTACTCGGGGGTTTTGCGGTCCATGGCTCTTTACGGGGGTCCCTTTACGGGTGCCCAGTATGGGCGGGGGCCCTGAAGGCCAGCAACGTCGCGATACTGCGACGAACGCAGCGAGTGCTGGCCATCAGGATCATAAGGGGGTACCGCACGATCTCCTTTGAGGCGGCGAGTCTCCTGGCCGGAACTCCACCGTGGGACCTGGAGGCGAGAGCCCTTGCGGCTCTGTTTCAGTGGCGCAAGGAGGCGCGGGAGTTGGTCATTGTCCCGAAATTCGAGAAATCGATGACCGGAAAGCCCAACTCCGCCAGGTCATCATAGGGGAGTGGAGGGAACGACTCGGGCAACCGAGCGCCGGGCACGCCGTCATCGCGGCGGTAAGACCCGTTATGGAGGATTGGCTCGAGAGGCGTTACGGGACCCTCTCATACCGACTGACGCAGGTGATCACTGGGAAAGGATGTTTCGGGGATCACCTGTCTCTGATCCGCAAGGAGCCAACGCCTGAGTGCCACCACTACGATGGCCAGACCGTGGACACGGCTCTCCACACGCTGGAGAGGCGAGACCTCGTGGCGGCCATCGGAGTGGGAGTTCTCTCGCTCGATAGCCTGATTGCGGCTATCGTGCGGAGCGAGAGTGCGTGGAACTCTGCCGTCTCCTTCGCGAGCATAACTTGCTCGCAAAGGAGACGGCAGAGCGGGACCGGGAGAGGTTTAGGACTCTCCCGGCCCGCCAGGCCCGGGAACGGGCCAGGTACCGCAGGCGACTCAGGCGCCGGAGGTCGCAGAACGACCTCCGTCCTCCATAAGCGCAGGCCTGGGGGTGACAGGTGAGGCCATCTGTCACCCTAGCAGAAGCAGGCCAGGGTGGCGGCGAGCGCGTTGCGAAGCGCGCTCGCTTCCAGGGAGCACAGGGAACATGGGGTTCACACACGCGGGGGAGGGTCGTCTACTCGTCTGTAGATGACCCGAGGTATGTCGGGGCACCAGGGACTTCCTTTTTAGGGTATACCTGGTTCCCCGGCTATTAGTACCCGAGACGGCGTGCGGTTTTAGTCGGTTCGAGTCCGACATGCCACCGACAGATGGTATCCGAGGGGATTTCCGCAAGGGAAAAAAAAAAAGGGGGTAAACAAGCATGTGGGTCACCTGATGATGACTACCGTCGCCCAGGGATACCTGAAACCCAAGAGTCTCAAGTGTGTTGTAGCCTTTTAAGTCCCTTATCCCAGAATAGGAGTGGCAGGGAGGCGGTTTGGCTCCAGTAATCTTGCTAACACCGGTTTTCCATGAAGCCGTGTTATCACTCCGGTCGAGCCTGCTCATTTGTGCCAAAGCACGGCATTTCCTGATCATCATGTCCGGCGGGTAGCAGTCCGCCGTTAATGTTGGGAAGTAGTATGGGCTGTACTACTTCCATGTCCTGTATCGCGATATTATTATCTTTTACGCCGCGTGTAATAATTTTTAATATCGCGACACAGGACTTGCAGTATCTTCGTAGTTTGATGTGTCTTCGGTAGATGGCACTGGAGTATGTTTTTTGTTTCACTGTATATGGAAGTCGCCATACATCTACGTATCGCACACGTACTATCAAGTAGCTACGTGTCAGACCAGATACGCTTCTGAATTTTATCTCTCTAATCAGAACTCTATCCTCCGGAAATAAACATCGATAACGAAACAGAATTAGCATCGCTCTTCAATGTATGTGATAAAATTGTGTTTAATTTTTAGCAATTTTAAAAGATAAACGTTTGACTCGGAGGGCACCCGTACCGACACCGTTTTTCATGTTTTTTTTGGAGCTACTTCTTACACGTTTACTTCTGTAACTCCTGTACACTAGGATCAACAACACTCTGAGTTATGAGACTCGGGCAGTCCAAGGAAAAGGAAAAAACTGTCTTGGGACCAGCAAAGAAATTATTCAGAAGTAAATTGGAAATATAATTAATCCATTTTTTTGTTTATTACAGCTTGTGACCTCGTCACACAAGCTTATGGTGAAATACTTTTGCAGGTCTACCCTGGTTACCACATAGACCAAAGGAGAGTATCGAAATCGAGCTACGGTTTGCAACTCCCGCCACCAAGCAAACGTTTCCGAGATCGCATCAATTTTAATTTTTAGTACTTTGTTTGTAATTTTTATTTTTGTGGGTTATAATAAAAACAAATAAATGTATTTACGAGTATAATACAGATTCACACGAATGTACTTTGTATAGTTTTTAACCACGCACCACTTCTGCTTGCAAAGGTTGCCTTAACAAAAAAAGTACTTGGATAAATCTGGCTTTGTGCATGCGAAACCGGGACTTGACATTTGTGAGTTAACAGAACTAACTAAATCTATGTTTACTGAAAGGTAAACGAAATGCGTCATAAATAAAAGAGCAGCCATTTTTTTAATTATTTAGGCATATTGAAATTGAAATGTTCTTTAAAGTATCGTACTCAGTTTCATATTTTGCAACCAACAACAGCCCTATCAGTAATATTTTAAGGAATGAATATCTGAAAGGTTAATATTGCCAAATAACAAAAACACAAAACTGTTAATTTAGTAAGTAAATTTTAATTTAAAAATATTTTACATTTATAATACTGTAGCTTACAATAACATTATAGAGAATATATACAAAATATCACAATTTTAAATAAATTTAATATTTCATTTTAATAGTACTGGCCAAATACGACGCGAATACCAGAGCCACAACCTGAAACAAAGAAAATGACAATTAAATTTTGTGATATTACATGAAAGTTAAAAAAAAAGTGCACTGGATACTGGCTTGTAATGTATGTCTTTAAAAAAATTTAAATATAGAGCAAGTTGCGGGCTGTTGTCTATGCTTATACCTCAAATAGATTTTATCTATGAGTGTTACTTGTATGTATGAACATACTCGTATGTTTGGTCGATATATTAAGGACTTTTAACGACACTTCTGATGTTAGTACCATTTTAATACAAAAAAAAATTAGCACAGAATGACTTTTTTACTGTTTTCAATGATTCCTTCCTACGTAATCTCAGGTACCCAGTCATTAGTTTTCAGTGAAGTTAGAATTAAGCTATTAAAATCACACATCGTAAAATATTCTGTTTTCTCTTTTACCAAAGAATTCCCAGAAAGCTCTGATTTTAGAAATAAATTGTCATACGACTCATACGCAGGATGATGTATGGATGGTGTGAATAGAGTTTAACTCTAAATTCAGGATTTGTAGTTAAACTCTGATCCATTCGTGTGTTACACACACTCTGGCGTAAGTCCTTGCAAAAGCTCCGTAAATGAAAGAAAATGCTTTAAGAAGAAAGGAGAAAGGAGGACAAAATAGAGTTGTCTACCTTGACAACCAGACCCTCCAAGTTGGACCAAAACTAATATGGACCTTCTAGCCTTTAAAGTTTCGCGTTCTACTTATAAATTCATTAAACCTGGTCGCAACGTCAGGCAATTCAATACCAATTATACCAGTTATAATACTGTCTATTGACCAGTTCAGGTTCCTATGCCAGTAGCCTCTACAAATCAGAGGACTAAGATACGTGTCTGCGATGGAAAATTTGTATTCTAGCTCTCGCGGTCTAACTGTGTTCTCTACCGTGATTTAGCTAATTCCTTTGCCGAAAAACAATTAAGTACATTTATGAGGAGGGCTACCAGCTAAATTAATAGACACTTTTACATATTGCTCTGATCTCCGGGAAGAAAGAAACAGTGTGAAAGACTGAAATTATCATTCGTAAAGTTAACGTTACTACGACCATCAGGCCATATTGATTGTAATATCATTACGAATAGTCGATAATCACCACTTCCATATCAAGTGATATAAGTCTTTATTTCCTGTCTTGAGGAAAATTACTAAAAATATGAATAATTACTTTATCTAGTAATAAGTACTTATGTGAAGTATTGGCTTCCTGTACCTGATATCTCTGTCTATTTGACTGTAGGAACAATAATACAACAATATGTTTAGATGATATGCTCATATTTCAGGGTTATGTATCAGGGATATGACTGAGTGAGGTTACCGGAGCCCGAATCCACCCGCTGACTCGAGCGGACTTGTGACTTTTCAGTTGCAGGTGTCCATGGACGGCGGTAGTTGCTTACCATCAGGTGAGCCGTCTGCTCGTTTGCCCCCTTATACCATAAAAAAATTTAAAGAGGAATGTGTGTTATACTCAATTACAACCCCAAAACAGGACCTCCGACCAGGTGAGGTTATAATCCCCCGAACTGCCATAGAGGCCAACCCGCGATCGGGCGATGTCCGGGTGTTCCTGGACGTTGCTTTAATGAAAGTTTTTAACCAAAGGGGATTCCCACACTTTTGCGGGCTTTTTGAGCTGTTCCTATATCCCTTCTATTTTAGGGACAGTGTGGCAAATCCTGTGGTATTAATCGATTTGATTCCTACACACCGGTCTTTTACAAACCCTAGTGGGATGGCGGCCTGAGGTGGTTTCCACACGTAATAAAAAGGTAAGGTGATTATCATCTCGGATCTGATGGATCCTGACGCAACGCCTGATCATCAATAGTTACATTACAATATAATTTATTTTGTCCAAATTCCACAAGGTTTTTGATCTGTCTGTATCTACGTTATTATAAATTAGACTAGCTGGTGCCCGCGACTTTGTTCGCGTGTTTGAAAAGCGCTGCCTTAGTGAGTTTGATTCCCGGACCAGGCAAAATTTTATAGGGTTTTTGAGAGGAAAAATAACCTAAGTTACGCCTTATATAGACAGCTATTTGGTTGTAAAATATTATCAAAATCGGTACAGCCGTTTCGAAGATTACCCGGGAACAAACAGACAGACAGACAAAAAATATTTAAACTTGTTTTTAGGCATAGGTATCGTGCAAGTAACCGTGTAAGCATGAAAAAACCTATTATTTTGACATTACAAATAGACACTTCAATCTTACTTATTTAAGACTAGCTGAGACCCGCGGTGTTACCCGCGTTGTTGTTATAACCGCGGGCAACGCCGCGGGGCGAAGCTAGCCTAAGTTACTCCTTATGTCATCAGCTATCTGCAAGTGAAAGTCCCGTCGACATCGGGCCAGCCGTTCCAGAGATTACCCGGAACAAACAGACAGACAGACAGACAGACAAAAATTGTGAAAAATTTTATTTTGGCATATGTACCGTGTAAACATACACATGCATTTAGTAAAAAGCGGTTATTTTAATATTACAAACAGACACTCCAATTTTATTTATTTGTATAGATAGATTAAGTAGATTATGAGCGGTTATTACTTAACTAAACTAAGCAATAAGTATTGTTCACTTACCTCTACAACAATTACAACAATCAGTATGTAACCCAAGTTCCGAGTCCAAGTTTCCACCAACTGTCCCAACGTCGCAGTACATCCGACTTGGAAACTCTCTTCCAAAGTACACAAATCTGAAATATCCCCCTCAGGAATTTCGTTCTCCCCGATGTTGATTAGATCACCTATGTTTATGTCACGTCCGCAGCAAGTTGGTGGGACGTACGATACGTTTTGAAACGTAATGTTGTATGATTCAGGGCCTGTTGTGCCGCAGCATTGTAACTATAAAGTAAATATAATTTATTTATTTGCAGAATCAGAATAATGTCTAGGTTATATTATGTCGGGCACGCCGTCATCGCGGCGGTAAGACCCGTTGTGGAGGATTGGCTCGAGAGGCGTCACGGGACCCTCTCATACCGACTGACGCAGGTGATTACTGGGAAAGGATGTATCGGGGATCACCTGTGTCTGATCCACAAGGAGCCAACACCTGAGTTTCACTTTGAGTGGAGTCTTGAAAGATGTCGAAAGTGAGACAAGAATACGGCGATAGTTTAGGCATGTTGAAAATATGTCTAAACGAGAGTTTATATTGCCTCTGGAGTCGATGAGGGTACATCACGACCATCGTTATAGTGTCTGTGGAGGAACGGGTGTCGTATCCCTCCAGCACAAAGGGAGAATCCTCCGACCAGGCGTGTTATCATGCCTGACGGGCCGCGGCCCACCGGTTGATGTTGGGCAATTGTATATACACCAATCGGCGAGAGAATTCTTCATATCGCGATACAGGATTAGCAATTCTCATTCAGTAGATACTCCGTAGTTCGGTGCGTCTTCGTTAGATGGCGTTGTAGTATGTTTCTGTTTCATTGTATGTAGGAGTCGCCACATATCTAAACCGAAAGTAGACAGCAGAAAACCTGTAATATATATTATTGAAAAAAAACTCACCAGGTATTCCATAGCATGGAAGGTGTGATTTAACGTTGGATCATCGAAGGCCTGGTCCACATAGTTCTCAACAGTTAGTCTTATATAAGAATATTGTGTTAACAATTCAACGACCAGGTAAATTTTGGCGGCGGCTATTATTCCATTTATAACTGCATACTGGAAATGAAAGGAGATTTAGTTGATTTTGTTCTCGACGAGGCTGTCAGACGCACTCGCAGTGGTATAGAATTCAACGGCACAACAGAATCGCAGGATGAACTGTCGCTCAAGGCCAATTATTATATATTGATAATAACGACACACACACAGACACATACATCACATCCAGAAACAGAAGAAGAGATCGTGCGCGCCACACAATTATTTGTCTTGAGTGGGAATCGAACCCACAACATCTGGTTTAGCAATCAGGATTAATAACCACTAAACCAATAGACTCGTCATATCCATATATATGTCTACTTCCACCAGTTCAGTTAGGTTAGTACTTTTTTTATGACATAGGGAGGGTTGAGGGGGGGGGGGGGACGAGCAAGGCAGGTCACCTCATGGCAAGTGACTACTGCCTTTCATAGATTAAGTCAGTCATGCAAGTCAAGAGTTACAAGTCTGTTGCTGCACTTTGAATTTTTTGAACACAAAATTTTCATCCCCACCACTTGGATAAATGTCATTCTACCATTGTGCGCTTTTCAAGACTTTTTGAGACCTCGCACTACCAACCTGTGGAACAAGTTATCGTCTGCGGGTATTTCCGGACCGATAAGATGTTCAAGCCTTAAATAAAAGAGCGCACTCTTTCCTCAAAGGCCGGCAACGCGCTTGTGACTCCTGAGTTGTAGGCGTTCATGGGCGGCGGTAGTCACTTTCCATCTGCCCGATTGCTCGTTTGCCTTCTCTTCCATAAAAAAAAATACTTACAGTTATAAGTAAACACTTTGATTCCACAATAGCCCCACAACATCCGCAGAATGAAACTAAAAATATAAATGCTCCCACTCCAATAACAACATAAGGCAGGAAATGGATGTCTATGTTTGTCTGGGTTAACACCGTGTCGAATACCTCCTGGAACTGGTACAGGGCTGCTACTCCAAGACCTATTAGAGCTAGGCCAAGAAGCTGGAAATAAACAGATTCAATTTAAAAACACAGATAACAAGCTAATTAGAAAATGAAATAAAAACAAAAAAGCCAACGTGTGAAAAAGTATAAAACAACAAGTGACTTTAATTTTTAAAGTTTTCATATATCCAGCGTCATTCGTACAATTAAGTCGAAACCAACGACACCTCCCAAGCAAAAAGCATTCAAACTCTTTGGACTACAGAGCACAACGTATCAGCGTCTGGCCAGCGTGGTATAGTAGGCCAAAACCTCCTTTCTAAGGAGAAGCCTATGTCCAGCAGTGGACTGTTAAAGGCTGTTGATGATTGATGATGAACATCCAACTGCGTTAAGGAACTAGGAAGGTTTGTCGTTTAGTCACATGTGCAGTTTAAGTTTCTGCAATCGGCACTCTTATCTTCAATATTATCTAATCTGGATTATTGTAAGGCTATATTTGATCAATTTAAAGACTCAGATAAAGTATGCATAATAGGTGATTATAACCTGAGCAATATTTATTAAAAGGCACAAAACAAGGCAGATATTACGAAGAAAAGATAATTATATTGAACTAACCGAAGAATTTTGGTCATGAGTACGGTATGTGAAGACTCAATAACAGCTGCATTAAGCTGGAACGACCTGTTTTAGCTCAAATCCAGCTGTCATAAACGATGAACGACTTCAAAAGTAACTAAATAATACGACTTATATACTTCTATCTTTCAAATTTTTATAGCCAATTGACAGCTACCCTTCTATTCTGTGTGTGAGAAGTTTTAACAATAATGGTTAATGTTTAACAAAAAACATTATAAATAAATATGTTTAACAGCCTGAGTATTATTTTAGAATATGGCAGCGCAATCTGGCGGCCACATCATGCAGTAGGTACACTTATTCCGTTTGGAACTTCTGCAAAAGCGCTTTCATTGATAAGTATCCAATTCTGAATGAATTAATGGTTGGTAATAAAAAAATAACTTGTTGAATGTTAACTCGAGTCGAATGGTACTCTTAGCAACCATCAATCTTGTTTGAAAAAAAGGATTTTAGTAGTAAAGTATAAACGTAGACTTTACGGTGACAACCAGTTTAGATTACAGCTAAGCGAATTTTTTTCGCATTGACATTCCCGGTTGACAGCAACATGCTTGCAAAATATGAGCGTTCAATAGCATTCTGCTTACCCCATGGGGCATACATGCGAATGTATGTACATAGGTCGTTCAATCCAATTCAATTGCAAAAATATTGCATACGACGAATTTTGATTTTCACATTTGCCATGGGATTCTGCTATACTAATAAAACCTTTAGAAGTGTGTATGTAAGTCAACTTTATATAGGGCTTTATATATGTATTAGCATTTGGTGGGCAAACACGAGCGAAGCCGTGGGGCTTCGCTCGCGTAAATGTCAATTTTGTCAATAAATTTGACCTTGATAAACAGTGCCATTATTACATAGGTTCGCATCAGGAATGAGGTGATTCGGCAGAGAACCAAGGTCACTGACATAGCCTACCAGATCAGCAAGCTGAAGTGGCAGTGGGCTGGCCATATTAGCCGCAGAACCGACAACCGTTAGGGAAAACGAGTTCTTGAGTGGAGACCGCGTCTCGGCAAACGTAGTGTAGGACGCCCACAAGCCAGTTGGAGTGACGATTTACGCAAAGCGGCTGGCAGGAGCTGGATGCGCGAAGCCCAAAATCGATCTAAATGGCGTGCAATGGGAGGATGTTCAGCAGTGGACTACGATAGGCTGATGATGATGATGATCATAATTAAATAGGTTGAGGTTATGTTATATATAATCTCACTATATCAACATAAAAGATAACGCTCACATCGATTTTGTTGTTTTGATTTTGCATATAGTTAATTAAAGGTGGCATCATCATCGATGATAACTAACTAATCCATCAATACCAATACATAAAACGGAAATGTCTATTTTTAATATCATATCTATATTTAAAAGTATTTACAAGTGAAGTACCACGTCGTTAAGTAGATAAATTACATATTAATGCGGTACTTCATTACCAAAAGTATCCAATGTCTTTACTAGTATTCAATAAATAAAAAAATATAACGTATATTATTAATTAAAAGTTCCTTTCATTAGCGTAAGTTGTAACATGATGAGCAGTTTGGTTTGACAAAGGATGTCTCACCAACTGGCGTCCGTGTTGAGTATGTAAAACATAGCTTTGATGCCTGGGAGGATACCGACGATGCCCTAGGTATATTTTGTGATTTATCCAAAGCATTTGATTACGTCATTCATGAAACGCTGATTAAGAAATTATATCACTGCGATGATAATAGATAAACAAGTAGTAAACTGCTGTATCATAGATACGGCTCTTTTTTTGTTTTACCTATTTATCTGATAATTAGGATTAAAAAAGTGATATTAATGGTAAACGTTAGCAATGTAGTAATGGGAGTTTCACAGGGTTCTATACATGGGCCATTTGGTTCCTAATTTGCAATAATGACTTTTCGCTTGTTGGTAAAAGCAATCATGAATAAATGTATTCAGTTCACTACTTCAAACGTTAAAACATGCAGAATAACTATAGTTTATGGTTTTTTATAGTTGTTTATTCGTTAAAGAGGATGGGTTAGAACTAGAACTACTATTACAGTAAGAGTATCCTGTATCAAATTTTGATTACATTATTGTTCCATTTTCATGGTTATTCAAAATTACTTTTGATTGACTTGGTCAGAAATATTATTAAATTATCGCATTCACTCAACACTGAAGCAGTCATGAAAGGCGATGAACCGACGAATATTGAAACCGCTAAATAAATAACAATAAAAAGACGTGTGCGTCTCGGGGCGCCCGACAGAAGTGATAACTTAAACTATAGATTAGTTTAAGCCTCAAGTTGAACTATTTAATATTGAAATTGTTTAACTTGAGAAAAGCTTAGGTTATTAACTAAATTTTATTTATGTAAAGCGTCTGTCCGAAATACCGGTTAGTTATCACCGCCTACCGCTACCGTATGCGTGAGAGAAAGGAAAGCCAGACAGACTGAGGTATTGAAGCGGTTTACCCTCCCATAAGAAGTTATCACTTCAATAATAATGATTTAATTCAGAAAATGTTCCATATTATGTAAGTAACAATTTGTATACATATTAATGCTATTTGCTTATATAGGTATTTATCTATAAAATATTTGAGTTATTTATATTGTCGATATTAAATATATCTTTGTGCAGCAAAAGTGGACTTTCCGTACAATTTTATAACTTTGATAATGGTTATCAGCTGAGTCAGTAATTCAAAGAATATAGTGATAGTGGTAGGTCAATATATTTATGGAAAGCTGATTTTCTTTCAAAAAAATAGATAAATTTTAGTTGAAAATTGTTATATCTTTTAACACTCGTAATATAAATATATTTTAGGTCCTTGCTTCTAGACTCCATAAAAAAAAAAAGAGTGTGAGATTTTTTATAAAATCACAGATAATATGCTACACTGATGGCGTAGTCGTTTAAGCGGTCGCCACGCCGCTTACTACTACGCTGAGTGTTGTGGGTTTGATCCCCACATGGACGACACTTTGTGAGATCCAAGATTGTTGTTCTGAGTATGGGTGTTCGTTGTGTCCTTTTCATGTATGTTTGTAAAGTCCACCGCGATCCAGGGTATATTCTCTTTTAAAAGTTGTCTTTTAAAAAATAAAATAAATGAACATACAAAAACTCTTTTTTAAATATGTTTCGGCAAGTCCAAAGTAAAACGACTGCTATGCCGTGAATTTCTAAGCTCGATTCCTTCTCACTTCAGTCAAGGCCTAATCATTTGGAAACGAGCAGTTAAAGACTGATACAGACGGACTGTTACGAGGCTAAACTCATCAGAAATTAATCTCAGAATCTGTTTATGCAAATTGATTAAAAAATATTTTTAGAGGAAAATACTACATATCTATTAATAGAGTTGTTAAAATCGTTTTTTTTTAATGATGATCAGACGGGACGGTCTCCGTCCCGTTTCCCTTGATCTCGCGTCCTATCATATTTCCTAACCCTTTACTTTCTTTCTTTTTAATTGGCAAGGAGGATTGGCATAAAAAACTGGCAAATCCTTCGTTGTGACCAGTGCCTTTGGCTGGTTAGTCAGCAATTCCCTTTTTTTTTCGTGCGGAAATCCCCTCGGATACCACCTATCCATGTGTGGCATGTCGGACTCGAACCGACTAAAACCGCACGCCGTCTCGGGTACTAATAACCGGGGAACCAGGTATACCCTAGAAAGGAAGTCCCTGGTGAGTCAGCATTCTAAATAAAATTGAGATAATTGTAGAAAAATTATGAAGTAACAACACATTATTTAACAGAAAGGTTTTCTATCGTTTGTAAAAGATCCTCTACACTTATCTATTCAGAATCGCAGTTTTCGTTGATTTACAAATTTGTTATTTTAGAGACAAACACAAAAAAAACGATTACTATGTATATAGTAATCGTTTTTCGTTAACAGACAAAATCCAAACCTTATCACTTAAAAAAATAGCACACACCCACACACAGAACACACATAAAATTAAATACTAACTGTGAATATAAAATTCACGAAGAACAATATATATTTCACTAGAAACCGGAGACACATTTTTGCTTATTTTCTTCAGCCGCCCTACGCCACGATTGATAACACAATGCGTAAACAATATCACACAAGCTATTCATTTAAGTATTAAATGTTTCATATCTACAAGTAGAAAGATAACGTGACCGTATGTAAATGTAACAATGCCGTTACTCATAGGAAATATCTGTAATATACCTAATAATAGGTAAAATTTATCCTTTTACATTAAAAAGGTTATTGTCAGATTATCCCGCCAAAATTTTACCAATTCTATCCCATAGACACAAACCACGCAAGGAGGTAGGTATGTATATTACAAAAAGAAACGGCAACACTGCACAAAATCTTATCATTTATGCAAGAAACAATATCCTTATCATTTAAAACTCTACAATAAGGCCTAAAGTACCTAAGCGTGATATATGTAAATAGATTTTGTTTTGTATTATTGTCCTGTGTACCTAACTTAAATTATCCTTGTATTGATTTTAGGTATAACAACAGGATGACATCATTACATACCCAGTGGAGTGCAAAATTTCCCTTTTAAATTATAATAATTTTGATTTCTAAATCTGCGGGTCCCGTTAAAACCGAGACGTCAGGCAAGGCTGTTTGTCGGCATGTCCAAGCCGTATAATTTTTTAAGAATGTTAACTATCGTATCATTGTATCGAAATATTAATTGATTTATTGTTTCTTACAACTTCACTTTTTATTATTCATCGCTTCGCAGGATCAGACGACCATTTGCCAGGTGTCTCATTAATAAAAAGTTAAGATTTGAACAATGACCGATAAATCTGTTATTGATTGACATAAATATTTATCATTGTTTCGAGCTACAGAATTTGTTGTCATTGCTTTCAGTTTATCAGACTGATAATAGGTACATTGCGCTTATAATAATAATGTTTTTAATAATCGTAGGTACAATTACGTACACAGTTTTTAATCATTATAAATGATAATGGCAATAATTATTAAAATCCACGTGAGCATGAGCTTCATTTCTTAATCCGTGCCGTGTAGGCACGGATTAAGAATACGGAGTATTAAGAATAGTACGGATTAAGAATACCTCTCTGTTCATCCCGTGGGTGTCGTAAGAGCCGACTACACGGGACTACAGCACTGCAAAGATAAGGAAAACTTGAAACAAACCCGGTACCAGCCCGTCTGACCAGCGTGGTATAGTAGGCCAAAACCTCCTTTCAATGGACTACGAAATGCGAATTTTTTTTTTTGGAATGGGGGGCAAACGAGAAGAGGGGTCACCTGATGGAAAGCGACTGCCGCCGCCCATGAACGCCTGCAACTCAGGAGTAACAAGCGCGTTGCCAGCCTTTGAGGAAGGAGTACGCTCTTTTCTTTTCTTGCTGTTGATGATGGATGATGTGATGATGATGTAATCACTGATCATCAATTGACCCGTCTGTTCATTTGCTGCGAATATCAAAGAAATACTAAGTAGTAGCACTAAGTTAGAATCTACTTTCCTAGATTTTCCTACATGTAATTACAACCGACGTAACGGAAATCAAGGGCCTCAATTCTGCTATTTTAATATTGTATCAATAGACTATCGATGGAATTTCGTCGGAATAGTTTTGCACTTTTCCTATTCTACTAACTATGTAAGCCCAATGACCTCCCGATGACTTGTCACTCTTACAAATATTGTCGATGTCTCTGTAATAGTTTGGTAAACGGTGCATTTTAAATTTGTAAAAAAATGATAAATTTAATTATCCAGGTATGGCAATGTTGTTGATATCACCATTGATCGACATCACCATTGATCGACAGTCTACTGACACTGTAAATTGATGTTAGTAGAATACTGATATTTTGACCGATGTCAATGTCATCTTAATGGCATCTCAATAGCGTGTCAATGGAATGACAGTGGCTTGGCGTTAACATAAAATAGCAGAATTGAGGCCCTGAGCTTTAGTTAATAAAACATGGTAGATTTGAAAGAAAAATATATTTTAATCTCGTAAAAGTTTCTCTTTTATGGCGCGGATGACATACGACGCGACAGTCAGTTTTACCACCTGAAACAAAAATAAAAATTTTAAAGTATGTACATATATACATATGTATAGGAAATCTCTCTTTTTCGTACAACCACCCACCCCAGCAGTAAATAAATAACTTTCCATTATAGCTGTGCTGTTCTTTGCTCTGGTGATAAAAGATTCTTCTCTAGTTGCGGGCAACTAGAGAGACACTCTCACTCTGTGTCTGCCCGTCTGCTGGTTTCCCCCCTATTAACACATTGCAAAGTTAAGCAAATCTATCCAGGTCAGTATATGGATGGGTGACCATTCTTCTAAAAAGATCACCTAGTACTTGGGTTGTGGAGGTCTCTTACTTTTAGGTGGAGCGAATTGGCATTCGCTCCACGTAAAAGTTCAGGCGTAGAAGTAAAGCCGAGCGCAACCTAGTTTGAGAAAAAAAGGCTTGAAGGAAATTTTTTGAAGTACAAAAATTTTTAATCCATTGTACATTATTGGTTTATTAAAACAGGCTTTTAAAGTGTTAAGCTTTTGATCATCACATCATTACTCAGTGCAAAAAGCTCGTTTTTCTCCTATTGTTTATTAAGGAGCTCTCTCGTACTGAACAAATACTGAACGTAGAATTTAGCCTGTCATAAAATGCAATGTTATCGTAACTGAAACTAATAAATAAAAAAGCAACTCTGATAGTTGAGAGCAGTAACTTTCATACAACTTGCAAGATTTGTATACCTAACAAACAAGTCACACCCTGATGTAGAACAATAATTTGTGGATCACACAAAGTGTTGTCCCATATGGGAATCGAACCCACAACACTTTGCACTTAGCTGCACGGGTGGTGCAGTGGTTTAACTGCGCCATCAGTTAATTATTTTCCCTACCTTCTTCCAATCCGCGAGTTGACAGTATGTTTAAAAAAACGAGGGTGCTTTTGACGTAAAACTTCTTGGCTATGACAGAAAGAAACTGTGTGCTCGCACCTCCCTCTCTTGCCCCTACATTAATATACGAAACGTAACTCTCTCTCTTTCTATCTTCACTAACTTACTAACTCTCCCTCTCAACTGCACACTTTTCGTAACGCTCTCGTCACGCATTCACCAGCTTACTCCCCAAGTCAAGCGTGCGTAAAGAAGATTTACTTCAAAATTGGAAATAAATATTAAATTAAATAGATCTATTTATAGAAAGCCTATAATAATACAGATGAAGAAAAGACTACTAATTCATTTTAATCCGGGATAACGTGATTTGCAAACACAAATCAGACGTGACGTGTGACGTAACCGTACAATTTTGATAGTTCTTTTTATTAACCAAGTTGCTGGTGCCCGCGACTTCGTTCGCGTGGAATTAGATAAGCGCTGCCGTAGTGGGTTCGATTCCCTGACCGTGAAATTTTTTGTATTGGTTTTCTGAGAAAAAATATCCTAAGTTACTTCTTGTATATACAGCTACCTGGTAGTAAAATATAAATCGATCAAGCCGTTTTGAAGATTCGGGTAATCTTCAAAACGGCTTCATCGATTTGAACAAACAGTCAGACAGATAGACAGACAGACAAAAAACGTTTAAACTTGTTTTTAGGCATAGGTATCGTGCAAATAACCGTGTGAGCATAAAAGAAACCTATTATTTTGACAATACAAACAGACACTACAATTTTACTTATTTGTATAGATAGAAGATCAGGGCCTCAATTCTGCTATTTTATGTATACGCCAAGCCACTGTCAGACCACTGACACGCTATTGAGATGCCATCGAGTGGCCATTTGCATCGGTATAAATATCGGTAGTTCATAATATATTACGTTTTTTGAGGAAATGATTTATTTATTTTTATTATAATGAATTATTAAAATTAATGAATAACTTAAAATAAATTAATAAAAAAATAAATTTATAAAAAAAAGAAATAAATTATTAAAAAAAAAACAAAAAAAAAATTAAAATAAATCAATAATTTCCTTATAATTTGAAAATACATATATTACGTTTTTGACAGTGGCTTGGCGTAAACATAAAATAGCAGAATTAAGGCCCAGCTGTCTTGCTTATCTTGTCTTTAGTTGGCGCGAAATAACAAATAATGAACTGGTAGGTCAGTAATTTAAATTTGTGGCAATTATTTAAGTTCTTTCTTGATTATGTTCTTCTGAATACAGAAACATATCATTTTCTATGTGACTGCTGTGCTAATTTTACACTTAAAGTAAATTTTCATGAAAACTAAAAATAGAGTGAGTGATGACGACATACGTAGTCACGTGACTATGATGCCGCGTTTTTGTGGCGTTTTTTTTTTATTTGTATTAAAAATTTACTTTTTTTTTATTTAAGGGTAAAATAATGAATTAAATTTTACTACTTTTAATAATGAAAAATTGTCAACTCCCAAATTTTATATAATTGAATATTAATTATATATTAGATATAAAATACTCGTGTCACGGTGTGCGTGGTTGAACTCCTCCGAAACGGCTCGACCGATTTTCGTGAAATTTTGTGTGTATATCGGGTAGGTCTGAGATCCGGCCAACATCTATTTTTCATACACCTAATTTTTATTTTTTGACAAAAAAAATTGAAATAATATATATGGCAAAACAACGTTTGCCGGGTCAGCTAGTATTGTATATATAGTTGAATATTAGTTATAGATATATATATGATAGTTGATATAGGTTGAGGATAGTTGAATATCAGTAGGTACTTTAAAATATTTTTTAAATTTAAAGCTCTTTTTTTTTTAAAGCTCACCTCTCCAGCAATAATAACCATAAATAAATAGCCCAAGTATGTACTCCATGTTTGGACAGCTTCACCAATTAAAGTGGCACAGCCTCGTTGATAAGCGTCTTCTATCAAACACGATGTTCCATTATCTTGAACATCACAGCACGTGGGTGGAAGTTCTGGTGGAATTCCCTCTAAATTTATGTATGCTTCTGGTCCACTCGTACCACAACATTTTAGCTGTAAAGAAAATACATTAAATTGATTTTGGGATAGCCATGTTTTGGCACGTGATGTTGAGCAATTCTGTCGTGGCTGAACTCCCTGATTCTGACTGCGGGGGAAGAGCTCAAAGGGTTGTAAGACACTTGTGACCCCTTGACTTGCAGGGGTCTATGGGCGGCAGTAGTCAATTATCATAAGGTGTAAACGGCGTGAGGGGTCTATGGACCCCTGGTCGGAACGAAACTGTGTCGGAAAAAGTCTTGTTACACAGTTTTTTCACTGTTGTTACACTTCGTTCCAAAATTGATTTTTCCATGAGGAGTTTGTTGTAACATCACTATATTAGTTTAGTAGATTATCATAATAATGTCGCGTCACTAAGATGGCGCTACTACATTGGGATTCATTGTTCAGCTGTCTGTGATAAGAAACCATTATTTTGACATTATAGATACTTCAATGTTATTTATTTGTATAAATAATTATATACCATCCGGTGTTACATAAAAATATAACTGGGTTCTCTGGAACTGTATTTCTTTTAAAATTGAGAGTACCCTACTGCCAAGAAAAGTTTTTCAAACGTATTTTGCATAATTTTACGACGTAGTTCCAAAGAAATTCCGTATAAAGAGGATGTGACAGCATACAAACGAACTTTTATTAATATTTTTAATATTAATAAAAGTTAAATCAAGATAGAAGTAAAAAAATATAATATAAAAATAAATTAATGAGTAAACTTAGATGACTAAACTGTAAAGTTAAATGCGCGATCTTGTCTATGCGCGTTGCTTCTGGCAATACCACCTACCGTTTGGGGAGAGACTTATGTTTAATACCCATGGTTAATTCGACAACTTACCAGAGTCTCTAAGAACTGAACAGCCCTACTCATGCTGGGATCGTCAAAAGCTATGTTCACGTAGTTTTCAACAGTCTGCCTCAGCTGAAGGGTTTGAACTAATAAAACAAATGACGGTGCTATTTTGGCAACCGCCAATACTCTCATTACGTTGGCATACTGAAAAACAAAACACATTTTTTTAAATGAAAAGTAAAACATTACAGAAACAGAGCCATGCTTCGGCAGGAATGGGCCGGCTCGACCGGAGTGATACCACGGCCTCACAGAAAACCGGTGTTAAGCAATTCTTTCGTTGCCTTTCACTGAGTGAGTGACGTTACCGGAGCCCAAATGTGACTCCAAGGGCAGCAACACACTTGTGACTTTTGAGTTGTAGGTGTCTATGGGCGGCGGTAGTTGCTTACCATCAGGTGACCCATCTGCTCGTTTGCCCCCTTATACCATAAAAAAACCAGAAATACAGTAGAGAAAACCGGTGTTAAATAATTATTTCGTAGCTCTTCAGCGAGTGAGAATGGTTGCAGAAGACCAAACCTTCCAGGAAGGGGGGACTTTACTCATAGAGCAAATCATTTATAAAATAGATTTAGAGTAGTATTAATTTAAACAGTTTATTATTATTAAGTATACTTTACTTTAGCTTTTTTTTTCTTGTTTGATTCACATCACACATCAACAGCCTTTAATAGTCCACTGCTGGACATAGGCCTCTCCTTAGAAAGGAGGTTGTGGCCTACTATGCCACGCTGGCCAGACGGGTTGATATAGGGTTTGTATCAAGTTTTCCTTCTCTTTGCAGTGCTGTTGTCCTGCGTAGTTTGCTCCCTTAGTCGCCTCTTACGACACCCACGGGATGAATAGGGGTGGTGACACTCCGTATTCTTAATCCGTCACCACACGGACTACGGACTTGTTTGATTGTTATTAGCTTACTACTTTTACATTACAGTAAATGCTATGTACATCTTAATTGTCATACATATCAGGTATAATGCCACATATTGTCAAAACTAGTTATAAGTATAATTTGTATGATGTGGTAGTACTTATTAATAAATAAATAAATAGAGCGACAACACAATTACGTTACAGGACTATTAAGTTACAATTGCCAATATGTGGCGGTGATTACTTACCATCAGCTGACCAATCTGCTCGTTTGCTCCCTGTTGCACTAAAAAGGTACACAATATAATACATATTAAAATAAACACCTACATTTATAATATAACTAGAATATGTATTAATATGTTTCGTAGCATATTTCTTAAACAATCCAAACATTGTCGGTTATTTTATCCACATGAACTGCTCCGACACAGATAACTCGACATACTGATACTGATACATTGCGATAAAAATTGTGAATGGAACCGTTGAAGGAATGAGAACGAAAGAGGAATCGACGAACGATAGGAGTGAACAAAAATATTAATACACAGATATGTTTAGTGGAGGGTCCAGCGTAGGTCCGGCAGCGCCACGACCTCGAGGAGTCTTAGGTCTGAGTAGTCTCTGGCTAAAGGATGGTGCTAGCCGTGGTCGTCTTATTTTGCGAAGAGGTGATGCATGCCAAAACGGAAAGGAAACGGGAGAGGGCTGGCTGAAAATACCAGGAATGATGCTTTTATCCCAGGCTGCTATTTCTTACATACAACTTTTATTAAACTACTTCTAATTTTTAAATAAAGAATGCTATTTTATAGCACTGGCAACATCCGTGTATAATATGAAAAAAAAGAACCGGAATAAATAAATATATTCGTGCCTACTAATGATACGCACCAAGGTAGTGTGGCTTTAGATTAAAAGATTAATTTTCGTGTCAATGTAATGAAATTCTCTCGACTTTATATTATCGTCTGTGATATCATATGTATTCCAAACATATGGAATTGATTAATTTTTAATGTGTATAATGCAGTCATACATGTTTAAAAATTAAATTGCAATTATTATTTTTGGAATTGGTAAATTGGTATACCACAGTGACCACAGACACGCTTTAACAACAAAACAACACAACTTGCAGACATCATCATCAACAGCCTTTAACAGTCCACTGCTGGACATAGGCCTCTCCTTAGAAAGGAGGTTTTGACCTACTATACCACGCTGGCCAGACGGGTTGGTATAGGGTTTGTGTCAAGTTTTCCTTCTCTCTGCAGTGCTGTTGTTCTGCGTAGTTTTTTTTCCCTTAGTCGACTCTTACGACACCCACGGGATGAAAGTGCTCTGACCCAGGATAAGAACTATTAGTAACAGTATGGTTGTATAATATTAACCCGTTAATTGATTCACAGCGCCGTCTCATTCTTCAGCGGTCACCACCAGCGTAGTACAGCCCTATACCAGCAGATACAAACTGAAAAGAAAAAAATATTTCTAAAATTTGTATAAAACTGTCTCTAACTCAGAAATATGAAATTTAGAATACCTCAGTTTGTTTTTTTTTAATCGTATAGGAGGGTAAACGAGCAGATGGGAAGTAATAATCACAAATTATTCGTCCTGGTTGGGAGTCGATCCCACGACCTGTGGCTAGCAGTCGTCACTAATCTCTAGTGACTACACCAACAGACCCATCGTATACATATAATGTTAGCTTTTAATGCGTTCGCATTATATATATTTTCTCAATCCTTCGGTACTTTTTCTTTCCGCATAAAAAAGCCTACCTATGACCTTTTTCCTAACCTTGACGAATTGTACGTAAATTTCCGTGGGAGAGCCAGGCCACCAATGGACCAGGCCCGACCGTTGTGATAACAGAAACCCGGTGTTACACTATTCTTTCGACGCTGTTCACTGAATGAGTTACCAGTCCATACTTCTGTCTCTCTGATTCTGGGCTGAAGGTCTTAAAGGGCGGCACTGCAATTGTAAGTCTAGGAGTTGTAGGTCTATGAGGGGCGGTAGTCACTTACCATCAGGTGACCCGTCTGCTCGTTTGCCCCCTATACCATTTAAATGTTTATCAGTAAACACATGAAAGTCTAACAAAAGTAAGGATTACCCCCAAAATCAGGTGGAGAGGGGGCCCCTGATTCTGGAGAAGTGACTCAGAGGGTAGCAACGTTCTAGTGACTCTTGAGTTGTAGTTCATGAGCGGTGGTATTCACTTACCATCATGTGACCCGTGTGCTTGTATGACCCCCGTACCACAATGTGTAACAAAAGTCAGGATTACCTGCACAATAGCGAATATCACCAGAATGAACCCCCAGTTCGTGGACTCCTTCTCAAGACCAGCGCGAAGCACATAAGAGCATCCCCTCTGGTAGGCTGTAAATTTAGAACAATACCTCCCTCCTTCGCAGCAAGAGGGTGCAACGAAGTCCTCGCCATCGTACGTCAAGTAGAAATCCGGTCCAAAAGTACCGCAACACTTAAACTGAAAATTAAAGAAAAGGTAATAAAAGACCTGCCGGGCTGGTGTAGTGCAGGGATTCCCAAATTGATCGATATCAACCCCTTGGGGGTAGAAATTAGTTTCCCAGGAATCGACGTAACGAAAACTGATCTTGGGGGTCGACGAGGTCTAAAAATCGATCGCTATTGTTTACCACACGTTCTTATTGACGGACGTGTGGGTGTCGTAAGAGCCGACTAAGGGAACAAACTACAAAGAACAACAGCACTGCAGAGAGAAGGAAAACTTGACACAAACCCTATTCCAACCCGTCTGGCCAGCGTGGTATAAGTAGGCCGGAACCTTCTTTCTAAGGAGAGGCTTATGTCCAGCAGTGGACTAGTAAAAGCTGTTGATGATAAAAATCTAAAGGGTAAGAGGGTTTTATAATCTGGCAACCCAGTGGTACAACAGAATATTGCCAACTTCACACACTCATAGAACGAATTACATACAAACAAGTATTTTCGGCTTTGCAACAACTTACCCGAGATTCTATTTCATGAAAGATTGTCATACTGGGATCGAGGAACGAATCATCCATGAAAGTATCAACGGTTTTCTTTATGGAGTCAGTTTGATTCAGCAAGTACACTCCCCCGCCAAGATTGGCCATTGCCAGCAAGCCCATCAAGATGCCGTACTGAAAAATATTTAAGGAAAACAGTGGGACCAGTGGGCTAAGCTAAAGCTGCCTCGGTGTTGCAGTGGTAGCGTATGCGACTCCTGTATGTAATTATTCTATCAGTCAATCTAGCTTTCTGGCGTTGTGTGTTAGATGTCTCAAAATATTATTTTTATTATAAAAAGGTCGTGGATTTGATTCACACCAGGGAGAAGTATTGTTAATGAGCATGATCATTTGCCTGGTTGACGGGATTACGTAAGGATTGATTATATTATTCGAATGTTGAGTATTTAACACCCCCTAGGGGATCACACTAGTTCTCTGTGAGGTCATGATAACACTAAGGCCAAGACTGCCGATATGAGCAGGACTCGCCCACAGTTAAATTAAGTTATAATTCGTTATATTCTTGATAATAGGCTATCCGTGTGATGTTGGATTAAGAATACGGAGTCTCACCACCTCTATTCATCCCGTGAGTTCTGTAAGAGTCAACTAAGCGAGCAAACTACGCAGAAAAACAACACTGCAAAGAGAAGGTAAACTTGAAAAAAAACCTATACCAACCCGTCTGGCCAGCGTTGTATAGTGGGCCCGAAGAAGCCTATGTCCATCAGTGGACTTTTTTTTTTCTTTTTTTTTTTATTGGGACTAATCCCACCCACACGCCCACCACTGTAACTCCTGTACACCAGGATCCACAGCAGTGACCCACGAACACACCGAGTTATGACACTCGGGAAGTCCCAGGAAGAAATTAAACTGTCTTGGAACCCGCAACGAAATTAATCAGAAGAAAATTGGAGGAGTTGGAAATACAGTAAATCCACTTCCCTCCTTAGCAAAGCGGGAGACAAAATGAAGTAAAATGGGCATACACCCTTTAAAACAGGGAAGCACCACGGCCACAAATATTACGGGTCCTACGTGAGCTATGTTTGATTTCTATAATATGTATGGCAGAATCGCCTAAACGCACGGAAATTCACCCTAGTTGACACAAGATCCCCATAGTATACCGCCCCAGATGTCACCTGCAAGCTATTCAGCATTATATTACGTTCATTATACCAAAGACTACATTCCCAGAGGATATAATGAGCAGACTGTTCATATTGAGAGTTAGGTGTTGAGCATTGACACAATGGTGACTCGACTAATTTAAATGAATAAAGCTTGCTCTTAAAGTTACCATGACCCGTAAGAAATTGAGCGACACAGTGATCCACCTCAAGCCATATCCTCGACAACCGTTCGCGAACAGATGGAAAGAATTGGTAAAGATGGCGCCCCTTGGATGATTCATCCCAGCGTTGTTGCCATTCGTCTATGAGGTCACTATAGACATCGGGCTGCTGTTGAAGCAATCTTGTAATTTTACCGCGATCCCGCGCGCCCAAAAAATCGCAATCCATGTTTTGTTGTCTTGAATAGTACATGGCTGCACGTCTCTGCACCTCGAGATCGACCGGAAGCACACCCGCCAACACCGGCAAAGCCTCAGTGCTAACCGTCCTATATGCCTTACACAAGAATATCAGTGCAAGTCGTTGGCCTTGTAACAGTTTGCGACGGACAGCGCCTACGGTCGCCCTATCGGCCCATACAGGTGCACCATAGCACATAGAACCTAAATAACTGTAACCATCAGTGGACTATCAAAGGCTGTTGTTAATGATGATGATATTGTTATACTTACAGTTACTAGATACCACCTCGATTCCGCCACCAGTCCAATACCTCCGATAACAATTACGACTAATAAAGCAACTCCCAGTGCTATCAGAATATATTTGACGTCTTTCAAGGTCAGCTCTTCCACAATACCAGCGAACAAGTTCACGGGTAATGCCATACTGCTTGCGACCAGTTCGAAGTCGTGGAAAACTAAGATGATGCCGAAGAGCTAAAAAGATACGCAAGTAAATATTAGAATGTTTCACATCACATCAACAGTCTTTAATTGTCCACTGCTGGACACAAGCCTCTCCTTAGAAAGGATGGTTTGGCCTACTATACCACGCTGGCCAGCCGGATTAGTATAGGGTTTGTGTCAAGTTTTCCTTCTCTCTGCAGTGTTGTTGTTCTGCGTAGTTTTTTTCCTTTTGTCGGCTCTTACGACACTTACGGGATGAATAGAATGTTTAAATATCCTTAACTAGCTGACCCGCGCAACTTCGTCTGCGTCTCTCAATAGTAATAAATTTTCTCCGTTTTTGAAACATTCTTCATTGGTGCTCCGCTCGTATTGGTCTTAGCGTGATGATATACAGCCTATAGCTTACCTCGATAAATGGGCTATCTAACACTGAAAGAATTTTTCAAATCGGACCAGTAGTTCCTGAGATTAGCGCGTTCAAACAAACAAACAAACAAACTCTTCAGCTTTGTAATATTAGTATAGATTAAAATTTTCTTAAACGATAAGTATTCAAAGAACTTTAAGACTGGCTTGTTTGACTAGTGGTTAGTGACCCTGATTGCGAAGCCAGAGGTCGTGGTTTCGATTCCCACCCAGGACAAATATTGTGTGACGAGCATAATTTGTTCTGTAGCCATCATTTTGTTCTGTCATCGCATCACATCAACAGTCCTTAATAGTCCACTACTGGACATAGGTCTCTCTTTAGAAAAGAGGTTTTGGTCTACTATACCACGCTGGCCAGACGGGTTGGTATAGGGTTTGTTTCAAGATTGCCTTCTCTTTGCAGTGCTGTTGTCCTGCGCAGTTTTCTACCTTAGTCGGCTCTTACGACACCCACGGGATGTATAGGCTGGTGACACTCCGTATTCTTAATCCGTCACCACACGGTTGCTTCTGTATCTGGATGTAATTTATCTATAACTAGCTGACCCGCGCAACTTCGTCTGCGTCTCTCAATAGTAATAAATTTTCTCCGTTTTTTGAAACATTCTTCATTGGTGCTCCGCTATTGGTCTTAGCGTGATGATATATAGCCTATAGCCTTCCTCGATAAATGGGCTATCTAACACTGAAAGAATTTTTCAAATCGGACCAGTAGTTCCTGAGATTAGCGCGTTCAAACAAACAAACAAACTCTTCAGCTTTATAATATTAGTATATATATGTATTTAGATATCTGTATAATCAGGTCTGGTTATCATAGTACAGGCTCTGCCTTATTCAAGTCACTTTTATTTTACTTTTAACATTCGCTATTTATACGTGCCCGAAATATCTCTTGCCGATTTCGGCTACGGGGCCCGCTGTCTGTTTATTGGAGGGCTAGGATGATAAGCCCTGCCATTTGCAATCAGGTGAATGCAGTAGCCAACTTTACCAGCAATAACGTGGTTGGGTAATACGAATAGGCATTAGATCACAGAACACTAAGAGTTTTGACGTGATCGTGGTATTTCCCTTACGTTTTTATTATTATATACAATAACATATTTTTTTATTTAACTTACAACAAGAAGTGTATTGAGGAGGACGAAAATGAGCATCAATCTTGACATTTTTCTTAACAGCAGTCCAACGCAGGACCAACAAAGTAAAATTATATTACTTAAATCTTAGTTTGAAATCTATACAAATATATTTATGAACTTTTAACTTTGTATCGAAGCTTAGTGACATCATTGTGAATAAAATTATAATATAAATAAACATAAATTATTGCTGTATTCATTGTCAATAACTATTTACAGCACAGAGTACATTGTAATATACTGAAATAGAAGTATATCTCAATCGCTTTTGGAGGAAATTACAAAACAACGCCATCTGTTAGGAGCGAGCAACAACTTTTCTCTTACTCAACATTTGAAAGGATATATTTATACCTACATATCTATAATATAGGTAATACTATATCTATAATAGGCTTTTTCTAAGTGGGTAGTTGAAAGCTCAACATATAACTTTAAAAGCTCTTATAAATAATTTGAAATAAAAATAGAATAGACATATTTTATATAGATTTAATGAATACAATAAAACCTCAATAATAAATACCTGCTAGTCAGTGTTATATCCACAGAAAAAACTAAAGTTTTCAATTTTCAAAAATAAAAACTACACACAGCATCACTATGAGCACTATACAAGAACTACAGGATTGTTTTGAGAAGAGGATGGCTAACTTCGAAGCAGAGCTCCTGAAGAAGGCCTCAAATGCTGCTAGCTTGGCTGGTCTCGCAGAGGAGTTTACTATATTCAAGACTCTCATCTTAGAAACCTTGAAGTCCTTCCAAAGCCAGATGAAGGTGCTTGCGAATGAGGTGGACAACATGGAAACCCGAAGCCGTCGCAAGATACTCCTGGTACATGGTGTCACAGAGGAGAAGGATGAGAATATATCCCGGGTCGTCGCGGAGGTAGCAGCAAGTAAGTTAGGTCTTGACTCATTTACAGCTGATGGTATAAGCCGCTGTCACAGGATGGGCCGACAGACTACGGTCGAAAAACCAAGACCCATCCTAGTTAAATTTAGGGCAGTGGCAGTGCGGGACCGACTCTGGGCGTCTAAGACCAAACTCAGGGGCACTGGTGTGACACTCTCCGAGTTCCTGACCCGATCACGACACTCTGCTTTCATGGCAGCACGTGAGGAATTCGGGATCACTAAGTGTTGGACCAAGGAAGGTACTGTTTACGTTATGGGTCCCGACGGTTCACGCCATCGTATCACTTGTGTGGCAGATCTCGACCAGATAAGGCCAGTGGCTGCAGAAAAGCCAACTGTGACCAAAACTCAAGCTGCGAGACCGAAGAGAGCTGCTGTCGGTTCAAAAAAGTAAATGGTTGCTATGTGGTTCTCCCTTAGATACATTGAATGTAATGTTACACTGTCTGGGTGAATTTCACGCGAGAATCAGTCCAAATATATTTTCCTTACTAACATTTTATGGTTTCGAATATGGTAATCATCAAATAGTTCTGTTCAACATCATTAAACCAGCCGAACACATTTATTTTGTTGATCTACCTTTATTTAAAAAATTCTCAAAACAAAAATAGCTGTCAAGTGTCAAAGAAAGTCAAATTGCGTTCCAGGCCGCATATTTTTCTGCAACACTATTGTTTGTCACTGATTAGTTGTAAGTTTGGAACAAAGTCTTTTGAACGGGAAGTTCGCCCAGAAAATTGTGACACAATTTTGCTTCTTTTTGTTTTTGTTTTCTTTTCTTTTTTGGATTACTTTTATTTAGTTAATATCTTCCAGTAATTTCTAAATGTAAAACACACGACTGGCGGGTGGATCATAAAATTATTTTTTTTATTTTTTTATTGCTACTATTCATATATTATTATTATTTATTGAACATTATTGCTCTATTAGTTTACTTATATATTCTTGAGTCAACTTTATGTCTGACTTGGACAATAATGATGATGACAGTTTTTACTCGATAAACAGTCTTGATTCTAGTTACGTTAGCATACCCTCACTCCATGAGAATCTTAAGTACCAATTTTCTAATGCTCCGCGGAATTTTAATGTAGTCCATATCAATGCCCAGAGTATTCCAGCTCATTTCCCTGATATGCTGGCGACCTTTGATTGCAAAAATATTCACGCAATTTTAGTTTCAGAGACATGGTTAAAACCGTGCCTACCTTCTACACCATATACTCTTCCTGGTTTCAATCTCATAAGGAATGACCGTGTGATCGGTGGTGGGGGTGGTGTTGGCATATACCTGCGACAGCACATTCCCTTTACCATTGTAAACATGTCGTCACAGCCCCCATCACCGGACGCTGGCGAGCACCTCTTTATAGAACTAGTAGTTAATCATGCGAAGATTTTACTTGGTGTTTACTATTCTCCCTCGTTGCGTACTAATTACTTTTCCTCTTTTGAAAAATTACTGGAAAACTTATCTCCCTCTTTTAGCCACACATTAATAATGGGCGATTTCAATACCTGCTTGTTGAAAAATGACCATCGCTCTTCTTCACTACGCAGAATTGTGGACTGTAATAACTTATCACTCTTAACACTTGATGCTACACATCACTTCCCTAACTGCACTCCCTCTCTTCTTGATCTTATCCTAGTCTCTTCTACTGATCATGTCATCAGCCATGGTCAGTATTCCGCTGATGCTTTTTCCTATCATGACTTGATATTTCTCTCTTATGCTATCCGACCACCCAAGGCAAAGCCGAGAATTGTTGAGCAGCGTAATTTTGGCGCGATGAATCTTGTAAGACTTAAGGAAGATGCGCGAAACATCAACTGGAACAATTTGTTAAATTCGCAGTGTGTTAATGATAAAGTCCAAATATTCACAGATAACTTGATACAGCTCTATAACGTCCACGCGCCCTTGCGATCAATAAAACTTAAACATTTACCGGCTCCATGGCTTACTGAGGAGATACGCAGCATTATGTCCAGGAAATGTATAGCGTAAAGCAAATACAAGCGTCGACCAACCGAAGCGAACCTGGAAAAATATGTGTACCTGAGAAATCTCTGCAATAAGATGTGTAGAAACGCACAACGCCAACACATCCACTCTTCCGTAGAAAACGGAGATCCAGCAAAAGTCTGGCAATTTCTAAGAACATTGGGAGTCGGGAGGTCTCGCCAAGAGCCTATTCCCAAAAATGTCAACATTGACTTACTCAATAAACATTTCTCTGCCTCGTCTGACATTAGTGACAGTACAAAAGCTAATACTCTTAGATATATTTCTACTACCCCTACTCCCAACTATCCACCTCTCGTCTTTGATCAGTTGTCCGCTTGTGATGTTAGGAAGGCCATTCTGGCGATCTCATCCAGCGCAGTGGGAAGTGACTGCATCAGTCGAAATATGATTATTCCTATCCTTGACGAAGTTCTACTTATCCTATGCAATATCCTTAATCACTCCGTCACAAGCGGTGTTTTTCCATCTGCATGGAAAGATGCCCAAGTAATCCCTCTTCCAAAAAAAGCTAAACCCTCTTCATTTTCTGACTATCGGCCCATATCTATTTTACCTTTCCTATCCAAAGTACTTGAACGCCTCATCCACTCTCAACTGACTAACTTCCTCTCCAAAAATTCTCTACTGAACCCCTTCCAATCCGGTTTTCGCCCTGGCCATAGCACAACTTCTGCGCTGGTACACATTACAGACAGCATCAGACTAGGCATGGATAGTGGAAAGATCACAGTTCTCACCTTACTTGATTTTAGCAATGCCTTCAATACTGTGGATTTTCACATTCTGCTTGGCGTACTACGGTCTCTTAACATATCTCCAAGGACAATTGATTGGTTTCATAGTTACCTGTCTGGTCGCCGGCAACGGATTTGCATTGATGACTCCATGTCCTCTTGGTGCAGTATTTCTGCTGGTGTACCGCAGGGTGGCGTTCTATCTCCATTACTCTTCGCTGTTTTTATAAACTCAATCTCTAATCAACTAAGTTCCTTCTACCACCTTTATGCAGATGATTTACAAATATATACACAAGCTCCGATTAACATGTTATCGGATGCATTCAACATAATTAATGCTGACCTTCAACGCATTGGCGAGTGGAGTTATAACTATGGACTTATGATTAATCCTATGAAGACACAGGTGTGTGTTATTGGCAGCCCCAGGCTGATCTCAAAAGTTAACTGGACTCTACTGCCCCAAATTCAGTTCGGTGGCACAACTCTTGAGATAAGCACCACTGTAAAAAATTTAGGGATCTACATAGACAACACTTTATCATGGGGTTCACAGATGCAAGAGGTAAGTCGCAGGATATTTGCTTCAGCCGGTTCTCTTCGAAGACTACGCAAATTCCTTCCAACTGCAACTAGGGTTGCGCTTGCACAAGCACTTCTCCTCCCAATTCTCGACTATGCCGATGTCAGCTATCTGAATCTCACTGAAGCACAACTCGATAAGCTTGAGCGACTTCAAAATATGTGTATACGATTCGTATTTGGTTTACGAAAATACGATCACGTCTCTGAATTCCGTCAAATGCTCAAGTGGCTTCCAATTCGCTCTCGCCGGAATACTCATATCCTCATTTTCCTTTACAACATTTTGTTTAATCCCAAAACCCCTTTCTACCTCAAAGAACGATTCAAGTTCCTTAATGACACACACGAAAAATGTCTGCGGTCATCCGTAAGTTTACAACTGGAGATGCCACTGCATTCCACCAAATTTTATGACCAATCCTTCACTGTTGAAGCTGTGCGCTTGTGGAATGCACTGCCGCTTAACATCAGGCAGGCGCAAACATTAAACAGATTTAAGAAAATGGTACAGGACTTTTATTCACCTTAATTGAGTCCATCACGCTTGAGGGTGTAACGAAACTGTTTCTCTTTTCTATATGTTTATTCATTTAAGAATGCGTATTTATATATGTATGTGTATATGTATATTTGCTGGTATAGTATGTAGGTACTTATTAAAATGTAGGTTTATTTATTGTGATATGCATTGTAGATGTAAGTATAAAAATTGTAAATGTTTGTAGATAATATAATATGTCTAGTATATGTAATGTGTATAGTAGATAATGATAAACTAATAGTAGTTTCACAAATGCAGATATTCAACTACTACTGTCTCTCTGCAACTTTTGATCCATCCTAAGGTTGCCTGGAAGAAATTGCATTTAGCAATAAGGCCGCCCTTTGTACACTCGATATTTGATCGCTGTGTTCCTTTCTTGTAACTCTGTAATTTAGTGTGCAAATAAAGAGTTTTCTATCTATCTATCTATCTACTTATTGTATACAGCATTGTTTATATTATATACAAATATACCTATGCAATTAAAACTTTGTAAAATAAAACAATGTATAAAAAACCGTTTATTTTCTTCTTTTCAAGACAACAACGTTTAACAGACATTGCATCACAAAAATAAAGCGTTAAAAATAAGTGTCTCTACCTCAATACTACGCGAAAACAACACACAAGGATAACAAAGATCAGAAGAACCTAGGCTCAACTCACGCATTAATGAAGATATCAGAGAATAATTGTTATTAGTTCCAAGCAAGTAAACATTCAACCCCCAAAAAAAACCGGTATGAATGTCATGTTGACGGACAACATTAATAACGACAGCTGTTGCAAATGTTGCTGCATTAACGCTGAAGAAAAGTACGAAAACAATGGCAATAATGAAATGATACAGGCACTAAGTTAGGATTTCTTAGAATCGTGTGTATTAAAGTGCTAAAAATTTTCAAAAATTTTAATATAAGTCTACATTTATCAATTTTATCATACAAAATAACTACCAACTCAATGTATAAAAAAAATAATGGCAACATTTTATTTCCAAAAGTCATTTTATAATGATTCCAGAAAATAGTGATATACGTTCCGGGATAATTAAAACTAAAACAACTCACTTTTTGTTTTATGCGGATTATACCGAAAGTAATGACATCTATAAGTATCGACTGGCGAAGTACACACGTATGATACGCCTAAATGAAGTGTACGTATTGTTGTTACAATTTTGGAACAAATAAAAAACCATTGTGTTTGGTTTCATTATTTTCGTGAAATTCCAAGGATTGTCGACTAAGATTGTACCGCCTGATTTACAGTAAATATTTCAAATTCGCGACATGATTAAACTGGAACATAGACAAAATAAACTTTTATAAAAGAAGTCATTTTAACATGTAGAAACAAAGAGTTAATATATACCTTTTTTTTTGCTCTATAGTTTACTTATATTGCCCGTGATTCAATACCTCCCTCCTTCGCAGCAAGAGGGTGCAACGAAGTCCTCGCCATCGTACGTCAAGTAGAAATCCGGTCCAAAAGTACCGCAACACTTAAACTGAAAATTAAAGAAAAGGTAATAAAAGACCTGCCGGGCCCGTTGGTGTAGTGGGGGTAGAAATTAGTTTCCCAGGAATCGACGTAAACGAAAACTGATCTTGGGGGTCGACGAGGTCTAAAAATCGATCGCTATTGTTTACCACACGTTCTTATTTGAATTAATTTGAAACTTTCAAGATACCGTATTCCGTGTGGTGCCGGATTAAGAATACGGAGTGTCACTACCCCTATTCATCCCGTGGGTGTCGTAAGAGCCGACTAAGGGAACAAACTACAGAGAACAACAGCACTGCAGAGAGAAGGAAAACTTGACACAAACCCTATTCCAACCCGTCTGGCCAGCGTGGTATAAGTAGGCCGGAACCTTCTTTCTAAGGAGAGGCCTATGTCCAGCAGTGGACTAGTAAAAGCTGTTGATGATAAAAATCTAAAGGGTAAGAGGGTTTTATAATCTGGCAACCCAGTGGTACAACAGAATATTGCCAACTTCACACACTCATCGAACGAATTACATACAAACAAGTATTTTCGGCTTTGCAACAACTTACCCGAGATTCTATTTCATGAAAGATTGTCATACTGGGATCGAGGAACGAATCATCCATGAAAGTATCAACGGTTTTCTTTATGGAGTCAGTTTGATTCAGCAAGTACACTCCCCCGCCAAGATTGGCCATTGCCAGCAAGCCCATCAAGATGCCGTACTGAAAAATATTTAAGGAAAACAGTGGGACCAGTGGGCTAAGCTAAAGCTGCCTCGGTGTTGCAGTGGTAGCGTATGCGACTCCTGTATGTAATTATTCTATCAGTCAATCTAGCTTTCTGGCGTGGTGTGTTAGATGTCTCAAAATGTTATTTTTATTATGAAAAGGTCGTGGATTTGATTCACACCAGGGAGAAATATTGTGTGATGAGCATGATCATTTGCCTGGTTGACGGGATTACGTAAGGATTGATTTTATTATGCGAATGGTGAGTATTTAACACGCCCCCTTAGGGGATCACACTAGTTCTCTGTGAGGTCATGATAACACTAAGGCCAAGACTGCCGATATGAGCAGGACTCGCCCACAGTTAAATTAATTTATAATTCGTTATATTCTTGATAATAGGCTATCCTTGTGATGTTGGATTAAGAATACGGAGTCTAACCTCCCCCCAATAATCCCGTGGGTTCCGTAAAAGTCAATTAAGGGAGCAAACTACGCAGGAAAATAACACTGCAAAGAGAAGGTAAACTTGAAACAAACCCTATACCAACCCGTCTGGCCAGCGTTGTATAGTGGGCCCGAAGAAGCCTATGTCCAGCAGTGGACTATCAAAGGCTGTTATTAATGATGATGATATTATTATACTTACAGTTACTAGATACCACCTCGATTCCGCCACCAGTCCAATACCTCCGATAACAATTACGACTAATAAAGCAACTCCCAGTGCTATCAGAATATATTTGACGTCTTTCAAGGTCAGCTCTTCCACAATACCAGCGAACAAGTTTACGGGTAATGCCATACTGCTTGCGACCAGTTCGAAGTCGTGGAAAACTAGGATGATGCCGAATAGCTAAAAAGATACGCAAGTAAAAATTAGAATATTTCACATCACATCAACAGTCTTTAATTGTCCACTGCTGGACATAAGCCTCTCCTTAGAAAGGATGGTTTGGCCCACTATACCACGCTGGCCAGACGGGTTAGTATAGGGTTTGTGTCAAGTTTTCCTTCTCTCTGCAGTGTTGTTGTTCTGCGTAGTTCTTTTCCCTTTGTCGGCTCTTACGACACTTACGGGATGAATAGAATGTTTAAATATCCTTAAATTAAAATTTTCTTAAACGATAAGTATTCAAAGAACTTTAAGACTGGTTTGTTGGTCTAGTGGTTAGTGACTCTGATTGCGAAGCCAGAGGTCGTGGTTTCGATTCCCACCCAGGACAAATATTGTGTGACGAGCATAATTTGTTCTGTAGCGATCATTTTGTTCTGTCATCGCATCACATCAACAGCCCTTAATAGTCCACTACTGGACATAGGTCTCTCTTTAGAAAAGAGGTTTTGGTCTACTATACCACGCTGGCCAGACGGGTTGGTATAGGGTTTGTTTCAAGATTTCCTTCTCTTTGCAGTGCTGTTGTCCTGCGCAGTTTTCTACCTTAGTCGGCTCTTACGACACCCACGGGATGAATAGCGGTGGTGACACTCCGTATTCTTAATCCGTCGGCACACGGTTTGTTTTGTATCTGTAATTTATTTATTATATGTATGTATATAGATATCTGAATAATCAGGTCTGGTTATCATAGTACAGGGTCTGCCTTATTCAAGACACTTTTTTTTTAACTTTTAACATTCATTATTAATACGTGCCGGAAATATCTCCTTTGCCAATTTCGGCTACATGAACTGCTGTCTGTTTATTGGAGGGCTGGGATGATTAGCCCTGTCATGTACCCTCAGGTGACTGCAGTAGCCAACTTTACCAGCAATAACGTGGTTGCGTACTACGAATATCCATTAGAACCATTAGTCACAGAACACTTAAGAGTTTTGACGTGATCGTAGTATTTGCCGTACGTTTTCGTTATTATATACAATAATATATATTTTTAATTATAAAACTTACAACAAGAAGTGTATTGAGGAGGACAAAAATGAGCATCAATCTTGTCATTTTTCTTAACAGCAGTCCAACGCAGGACCAACAAAGTAAAATTGTATTACTTAAATCTTAGTTTGATATCTATACAAATGTATTTATGAACTTTTAACTTTGTATCGAAGCTTAGTGACATCATTGTGAATAAAATTATAATATAAATAAACGTAAATTATTGCTGTATTCATTGTGAATAACTATATACAGTAATATCTTAAATTCGCGACATGATTAAACTGGAACATAGACAAAATAAACTTTGATAAAAGTTTATCTATAAGTCATTTTAAGATGTAGAAACAAAGAGTTAATATATACCTTTTTTTTTGCTCTATAGTTTACTTATATTGCCCGTGATTTGCTCGCGTGATTATATCTTTTTTCCGTGTTACTAACTCTGTTTGAACTTTCATACAACCGTTCATCCTTTATTTTACTCCCTTAGGGGGTGAAATTTCCAAAACCTTTTTTTAGCGGTTGCTTACAACATAAGGAGCATCCGGTGCTAAAAGTTTCAAGGTTGGAAGTCAGGAATCAGTCAGACAGTCAAGGCATGTTATTTTATATGAATCGATGAAAATAGCAGCGAATTAACGAAAAATACACTTATTGCATACTAGCTGACCCGCGCAACTTCGTCTGCGTCTCTCAATAGTAATAAATTTTCTCCGTTTTTGAAACATTCTTCATTGGTGCTCCGCTTCTATTGGTCTTAGCGTGATGATATATAGCCTATAGCCTTCCTCGATAAATGGGCTATCTAACACTGAAAGAATTTTTCAAATCGGACCAGTAGTTCCTGAGATTAGCGCGTTCAAACAAACAAACAAACAAACTCTTCAGCTTTATAATATTAGTATAGATTTTAACATTGTATAAATGAGTCATTGAACGTCATTTTTACTCCGTAAAAGAGTGACATGACATGACATGATATTTATTTTTAAACTAGCTGAGACCCGCGGTGTTACCCGCGTTTGTTGTTATAACCGCGGGCAACGCCGAGGGGCGAAGCTAGTCTAAAAAAAGTAGCCAAAGTTACTCTTATGTCATCAGCTATCTGCCAGTGAAAGTCCCGTCGAAATCGGTCCAGCCGTTCCAGAGATTACCCGGAACAAACAGACAGAGGGACAGACAAAAATTGTAAAAAATGTTATTTTGGCATATGTACCGTGTAAACATACATATGCATTTAGTAATAAGCGGTTATTTTAATATTACAAACAGACACTCCAATGTTATTTATTTGTATAGATAATAATATATATATTAGTAAATTGTACCTTAGTAGTAATGTTGTTTACATTAATTCGATCAAGATTGTAAACAGAAGAAATCTGTAAAAGCATTCTACTACATGTATAAAATAACAAAACATATTGGCCACTTTTCACTGTGAGATCTTCACTGTATTGCCAACTTTTTTTTTCAAAAAAGGCTTCCTAGCTACCGAAATTACTAGTATTAACCCCTCCAGCTAAGCTAAATTGCTTGTATTAGGAGTGGGTTCATGTCGGTAGTTTACTGGTCAGGATTCGAAGCCACGACCTCTTGATCGCAAGTCCAATGCCTTAACCACTTTTTTTTTCTTTTTTTTTTCCGTGCGGAAATCCCCTCGGATACCACCTATCGGTGGCATGTCGTACTCGAACCGACTAAAACCGCACGCCGTCTTGGGTACTAACAGCCGGGGAACCAGGTATACCCTAGAAAGGAAGTCCCTGGTGCCCCGACATACCTCGGGTCATCTACAGACGAGTAGACGATCCCCCCGTGTGGGAACCCCATGTTCCCTGTGCTCCCTGGAGGCGAGCGCGCTTCGCAACGCGCTCGCCGCCACCCCAGCCTGCTTCTGCTAGGGTGACAGATGGCCTCACCTGTCACCCCCAGGCCTGCGCTTATGGAGGACGGAGGTCGTTCTGCGACCTCCGGCGCCTGAGTCGCCTGTGGTACCTGGCCCGTTCCCGGGCCTGGCGGGCCGGGAGAGTCCTAAACCTCTCCTGGTCCCGCTCCGCCGTCTCCTTCGCGAGCATAACTTGCTCGCAGAAGGAGACGGCAGAGTTCCACGCACTGTCGCTCCGCACGATAGCCGCAATCAGGCTATCGAGCGAGAGAACTCCCACTCCGATGGCCGCCACGAGGTCTCGCCTCTGCTCAACCCACGCCGGGCACTCTGCCAGCGTCTGGAGAGCCGTGTCCACGGTCTGGCCATCGCAGTGGTGGCACTCAGGCGTTGGCTCCTTGCGGATCAGACACAGGTGATCCCCGAAACATCCTTTCCCAGTGATCACCTGCGTCAGTCGGTATGAGAGGGTCCCGTGACGCCTCTCGAGCCAATCCTCATTAACGGGTCTTACCGCCGCGATGACGGCGTGCCCGGCGCTCGGTTGCCCGAGTCGTTCCCTCCACTCCCCTATGATGACCCCCTATGGTGGCGGAGTTGGGATTTCCGGTCATCGATTTCTCGAATCTCGGGACACCAACCCCACTCCCGCGCCTCCTTGCGCCACTGATACAGAGCCGCAAGGGCTCTCGCCTCCAGGTCCCACGGTGGAGTTCCGGCCAGGAGACTCGCCGCCTCAAAGAAGATCGTGCGGTACCCCCGTATGATTCATCAGGATTTATAATCCTCAATCATAAATCCTGATGGCCAGCACTCGCTACGGTCGTCGCAGTATCGCGACTGTGATAACGTAAGGAGTTGCACACCTCCGTAGCCACTATCTATGCCTGTCTACAAGCTATATTATATGTGTCACAAAGTAAAAACAACTGACTATTAAATTGTACATGTCATAGGTGTTAAAATAAAATATCCATATCAAATGTATTTCGATATCATCGTTTATTGGGTTTTACTTGCACTGATCCCCCACAAATTGGTAGCAGAGCGTGGTTATGCGTAAGTATAACCCGTGGGTAAGTCCAAAATGAATATATCGAGTTATCGAAATATTGAACTCCTGAACAAGGGAAATTACGATACCTGGTGTATGCAAGCACAAAAATTATTGCCAAATCCAGCTCCAGAAGAAAAACTTGTTTTTCAAAAAGACGATCTAAAAGCAAGAGCGGACATTTTGCTTTTACTGTCACCATCGGAGTTAAAGGGTGTTTCTCATTTTTCGTGCAAATTAGGCGTCCATTGCAAAAATCTTAATTTTTTCAATAAATATCTATGATTCTTTTAAATCAAATCATATGTTATAAAATTGTGCTTATATGCATGTAACATTTACTGTTCCACATAGCTTATTTAATGTGTTATACGTAAAAAACTTTGCTAAATCTCATTTAATTCGGTGTCCACTTGCTATTCTCCCTATTAAATTTGTATTTAAACCTAAAATATAAATATCAAACCTTAACAAAATAATAATTTTAAGAAACTGTACTAATAAGAGCAACGTTTGAACTTAAAATAATTAATATTAACTCAACAATACAATGAAATTTTATTTTATATATGTTTAGCACATTTTTTTTTCTGATAACCATCGGTTCGTAAGAAAGTGTAAATTGCAGTCTGGGTTTGCCCTTAAATGCTTCTTTGCTGTTACCATACCCCGCGCACATATCTCATTTGGCTGGCAAACATCGTAGCAGGTGCATGCTTGTTCGTGGAAAAAAAATATTTTCGTTTAGAGTTTTGCGGGAGGTGATTATTCTGGAATCGTACTCTTTCCTATCGTCCACACTATTAAGTGAGTAGGTATTTATGATTTTATTAAGTGTGCAGCTAATTTTAAATTTTAATAGATACCTTTGTCGTTTAAAATATGCATTAGGTCCGTTACTTTGATATTTTTTGGGAAACTATGGATAAAGTATTCAAACCTCATTACCTTCTTTCTCAGTGCCTTCGTTTACCGTCGTTTTTTTGAGCGATGGTGATGAGATTAATACGATGGCAATTAGAATGTATTTTATGTTAGTTCATTTTTATTTGCTATTTTCTTTTTGCAAAATTATGTTTGCCAACTGTGACGATAACTGGCTAAGCAAAAAAATACAATTATTAAAATTAAAAAAAATAAAGCATAATAAAAATAAATAAAGCAAATAAAACATTACTTCTATAGATCGCTAAGGATGCCAAAGAAAACCAAACAAACATTGGAACAGAAACGAGAGCGAGATCGACTACAAAAAAAAGTAAATATGCAGAAATAAAGTAAGACCCCGAAAAGGATGTAAAAGAGAAAGCAAAAGAACGAGTAAGATATCTTAAAACAAAAGAACAGAAAATATAAAATGCGCAGCAGATAGAACTCCAAAGAAAAACATGGAGTTAATTCGTAACGTCACTACGAAAGGAAAAAGAAAGAAAAAGTTATACAACAGCTATTACTAGAAAATTCTCCAATAAATAGTGACATTGAAGTAATCTCAGCGAAACAAGATCCTCTCGCTAGACCAACTGTAAGCCCATTACCAAGTTCTTCCTTAAATTGTTTGGGTTCCGGTAACCATAACTCTTGTCAACAGTGCCTAAAAAAGAATGTCCTTCTAAGAAAGCTTCGCTACCGACATAAAAAAGAAATCGGCATTTTGAAACAAGACATAGAAAAAGTGAAAAAACAGAAAGACACCATTAGAAAAATGTTTTACAGAGTAATGAAAAATGAGAAGAAAAATGCAAATATAACGGCTGAAGAAAAAATAGAATATTTGGTACAAAATAAAGGCATTGAAAAACGTGAAGAAATTAAAAAGAAACTAATGTTTAGCGAAATCCTTAGAAGTAGTGTTCAAAAAGGGTATACGTGTTTGAAAAAAAAAGATAAAAATGAGTTTTCTAATGTGGTAATGACGGAAAAAGAAAAAAAAGAAAAATATAAGCTCTTGACGCAAACACATAAGAGTGAGAACTTAACAGAGCAATTAATTTTGGAGTTTTTCGATGATGACGCAGTAACTAGAATTGCAGCTGATAAAAGAGAATACATTACTAGAAACAAAATAAGAAAGCAGAAAAGATACTTAACAGACACATTGACTAATCTTTACAAGAA